GTAAGATATTCCTGGACCCGTGGGTGAAATTAGTGAATCCACCTGTGGATGGACGAGGACGCAGAATGATTGCTAGTCTACCTGGCAATCATGATCTTGGGTTCGGTAACGGCATCCAAGAACCCGTCCGTGATCGTTTCGAGTCCTTCTTTGGGAACCCCAACCGTGTCGATGTTATTGGGAATCATACTTTTGTTTCAGTGGACACTCCTTCGCTGAGCGCGATGGATCAGCCCGATCCATTGACAGGCAGTTCCCCGACAGCTAGCGATCAAAACAGTCCCCAACGCCCGATTTGGAAAGACGCAGATGACTTCCTGGATAAGATGGCTATCCACAAGGCGAAGGCGGAGACAGACGAGCTGCGAATGCTCCAAAACCAGAGTGAGACACGTCATGTGTTCGATTATCGTGTTGTCGACGCTGTCGAGCCCGTTATCCATGAAAAGCCTCAGCCAGAAGGCGTCGGATTCCCTACTATTATTCTCACGCACGTCCCTCTCTACCGCAAGCCAGCCACTCCCTGTGGTCCTCTTCGCGAACGCTACCCGCCATCTTCATTAGATGAAGAACTGGCAGAGGACGAGCCTAACTCCTTGAGAATTGCGGGAGGCTATCAATACCAGAATGTCCTAACGCAAACCATTTCCACCGAATTGGTTTCCAAGGCAGGACCAAACGTCGTCCAGGTGTATTCCGGCGACGATCATGATTACTGTGAAGTGTCTCATCGGGAATTCAACGGCTCGCCCAACGAAATTACAGTCAAAAGTATTTCCTGGGCGATGGGAGTCCGCCAGCCGGGCTTCGTACTCACCAGTTTGTGGAATCCGATTGATCCCAAGACAGGCAAAGCCCTACAAGATGGATCACCACCCACTGTCCAAAATCACCTCTGTATCCTCCCAGATCAGTTGGGAATCTTCTTCTACTACCTCACTATCCTAGGCCTCAGTGTCTCCATCCTCCTCCTCCATTCCATCTACCACGTCCTCTATAACCCAGAACCATCCCCATCCGACGCCATTCTCCCCCTCACCGAGCGCCGCTCTCTCCCACACCATCACCACACCTCCGGTGCGTCTAGCTCTACCCTCTCATCGGCGGGTGGCTTAGCCAGCCGCAATGGCGTGACCTCCACCCGCTACCCGGGCACTCAATCTCCGGAAGATGCTTATCGGGGAACAGACGATCACTTCGAAGCCGTTGCCTCAAAGGACAAGGCTGCATGGCGCCCCGCCTCGGCTACCCAGTCCCGCTCAACGGTGTCTCTCATCGTGCGGGATCTGTACCATTCCATTAAGTTTGTGGCGCAAGTGGTGCTGACTGTGTATTTCATCCTGATCTGGCGCTGGTAGCTAGTCCGGCCAGTTTTTTCTTTTCTTCAGCGAGCATCAGAATAATAGACAAGCATTTCGCCGGAACCTGCCGGATCGTGGCGTAGCTCTAGTTTCTGCTGTATCGTGTGACCGTGTGGTCGGTTCCCACTAACCCCAGCATAATAGGAGAAAACAGTACGGAGTAGAACGGGCTAGAGCTAAGACTACATTAGCTCCCGAGCTGTACGCCACTCGGCAAAAACCACATGACCGGCACGTTTTTTTTTAAAACAAGAATCCCCCGAGTCCGACTTGGCCAGGCACGGAAATTCCCCGACGATTCGCCGGAATTGACTAAAGTGACTAAATGTCGGGAGAGCGTCGGGTTATCTGTCCAATCCGCGTCTCGGGAAAAATAGCGCACTTCACGGGACTAGCCAACTTTGTTTTTTCCCCGGCAAGTTTGGGGGAGTGAAACTTTGGAACGGGAAAATTAATGTTTTGGTTTTCTCAATCCGGCTCCGGTGAACACTGACCGGATCGTGAGTGTCTTTTGGTTATTGGTTCTTGAAATCTCGGGGTACTCCGTACCTGGGGAAAGGAGGGGCAAGGTTTGGGAATTTGTTTTAAAATGCAGTTAAAAAAAAAAAAAATATTGTGTAAAATTCCATTGCATACATGTAATATATATTGTATGTGTGCAAACCACATATGTAATAATCTGTCCAGTCTACAACTATAACCGAATACCAGTTTAAAAACCAAAAATATAGATGTGAATCAAGGCCCGTTGCCTGTTGCCTTTTTCCCCGATGCGGGACGCCGATACCGATCGGCATTGGCTTAACTCGGTCGGTCCCCCGTTTTCGGCATTTCATGTCATGTGGCATGTAAGGGCTATTTTTATCCCCTAACATAGCATTACAACATACATTCTACAGTGTGATGCAAGATACACATTTACATCCCCAACGTGTAGTATTGTCGATCCTATTGTGCAATGCCAATGCCAGGTAAGGTTCAGGGCAAAAACCTTGTGAAAAAAACAAACTCGGCTCGGCGTCGTGCCAATTTCCAGCTGGCCAATGAGCTGCTCGGTTAGATTCCGGGGGCTTAGTCCACCATTTCTCCACTTTCGGTTGAAACCCTATCCCCAGGCCCAAAACAACTAGTCCGAGAATGCTATTCTGGGATTGGATGGCCTTCGGGTCAGGTTTTCGTCCAAGGTTGAGCTTTTCCCCCGCAGTTACTGTTTTCGGGTGTAAATTTCCCGGGGGCCATGTGGTTGCTGGGACCGGGGAAGTACAAATAGACCCGATTGACCTCCAGCTTTTTCTTTCTTTTTTCATACTTACTCTACTTCTACTTCTCTACTTCCTTCAGCTCTCTCTCCTCCCCTATACTCTGATCTTCTCTATACTACACGACACATACACTTGGATCCTTGCATCTATCTGACACTCACAATGGGCTTCGCTTTGAAGAGGCCAGATGATGCCGTGGGCTCTGCTGCCCCGGCTATTATGATTGGATTGTTCGTGGCTTTCGGTGGTGTTCTCTTTGGGTATGTGCTATTCACATTCAAACTCCTATCCTCAATGACACGTCTAACGTCCATCTAGATATGATACAGGTACCATCAGCGGTATCCTCGCCATGAAGAAGTGGCGTGAGATGTTCTCAACCGGCTTCATCAACGAGACAGATGGTCTCCCCGATGTCACATCCTCCGAATCATCAATGATTGTCTCTCTCCTCTCCGCAGGAACTTTCTTCGGTGCCCTCGGCGCCGCCCCCATCGCCGATAAATTCGGTCGACGAATGGGAATGATCATGGAGACCTTCGTCTTCGTCTTCGGAGTCATCCTCCAAACAATCTCAACCTCCATCCCCCTCTTCGTCGCAGGCCGCTTCTTCGCCGGTCTGGGCGTCGGTCTCCTCTCCGCAACAATCCCCCTCTACCAATCCGAGACCGCCCCCAAATGGATCCGCGGTACAGTCGTCGGTGCCTACCAACTCGCCATCACATTCGGTCTCCTCCTCGCCGCCATCGTCAATAACTCCACCAAGGATCGCACAGACACCGGCTGCTACCGTATCCCCATCGCCATTCAATTCGCCTGGGCCATCATCCTCGTCGTCGGCATGCTTCTCCTCCCCGAAACCCCCCGTTTCCTCATCAAGCAAGACCGCTACGAAGAGGCCACCAAGGCCCTCGCTCGCGTCCGCCGCATGGATGTCAACGACCCCGCCGTCGTGGCTGAACTTGCCGAAATCCAGGCAAACCACGAACACGAAATGCGTCTCGGAAAGGCTAGCTACCTCGAGATCGTCCGTGGCTCCCTCGGCAAGCGTCTCGCAACCGGTTGCGCCGTCCAGGGTCTGCAACAGCTCGCTGGTGTCAACTTCATCTTCTACTACGGCACGACCTTCTTCCAGAACTCCGGAATTCAGAATTCCTTCGTCATCACCCTCATCACAAACATTATCAACGTCGTCTCCACCTTCCCCGGTCTCTACATGGTCGAGAAATGGGGTCGTCGTCCTTTGCTCATGTTCGGTGCCGTCGGAATGTGCGTCTCACAATTAATTGTCGCTATCGTCGGCACAGCCACCGACTCCGATGTCTCGAACAAAGTCCTCATCGCCTTCGTCTGCATCTACATCTTCTTCTTTGCCAGTTCCTGGGGTCCGGTTGCTTGGGTCGTCACTGGTGAATTATTCCCCCTCAAGGCTCGCGCTAAGTGTCTCTCCATCACTACCGCCACCAACTGGCTGCTCAACTGGGCTATTGCCTACGCCACACCTTACATGGTGAACAGCGGACCTGGAAATGCCAATCTCCAATCTAAGGTGTTCTTCATCTGGGGTGGATTCTGCTTTGTTTGTGCTGTGTTTGTTTACACTTGCATTTACGAGACTAAGGGTCTTTCCCTCGAACAGGTTGATGAGCTTTATGCCAAGGTTCCCCGTGCTTGGAACTCTGTTGGCTGGGTTCCTTCCGTGAACTACACTGATCAGCTTGAGATTGATGCTGGCGAGAAGCGAGCTGAGGGTGCTACGCACCTTGAGAGTGTCGAGACCAAGACTGAGGTTTGATCTTGATTTTTTGGGATGTTTTACGATTTTCTTTATTTTGTGCCTTAAGCGTGGCTCTTACTTGGACTATATGGTTCTATGGGCTTGATACTTTATTATTATTTTGATATCTATGATCTTTTGCATTGAGATAGAATATGATTCTTATTTTCAATATAGTTTGCAATTCTCTCTTCGTAGATCTAAGACTGAAAATCGCAGACATATAATAAGATTGGAGCCATCGGATGGATTGGATATGTTCGCGGGCAGCAAAACCTATTGATAATCGGAGACAGCGAATAATTGTTCGACCTTTTTCATGTTCCCAGGTTCGCCATCTATACTCTGTACTCCGTATTTGGCAGGGCTTGGCAATCATTAGTCAGCTTTTGAGGTCGGTGAGGGCCTCTTTTCCCGAGATCGCCACCTACAGCGAGACAATGTCGAAACTTATTGAGCGAAAGTAAAATCGACATACTATACTGGGATCAGATAAAGTGCGTCATCATATATCAAAATCTCATTCAATTCAGTTGAACAATTGACCCACCACACGATATAATATATCGTCTTGGCTCATCCCTCATATCCGCCTTGAAGATGTCCCATGACGATCCTTACGAGTGTATGTTTAAGGTCGTTCTTTTAATCAATCACTTAACTTATCTTAAATAGTGAACAACCCATTCAATTTTTCGGGCTTTCCGAACGAACTTGACCTGCTCACATTGTTTCCCGACGCCGCTCGGGGAAATATCATTGTCACACCCAATCATCTTTCTTTCGCAGACAGCGATGTTCAATTACCTTCCTTTGACGAGGGCCTTACGGAATATGAAGGTCCTCATATATCAGAGCCCGGTGTAAACCCAATGCTCGATGAGACCTATCTAGCCTGGCCGGCACAACCAAATCATGACGCTGATTCATCTATAAGAGCCGAAATCTACGGTGGCGAGAATGAGCAGGCTGATAGATCGCATGGCCCAATTTTGAATTATCCTGCGTCAGACCAGGCCAACGATTCATATGGACTGCTATCTCTCAACAAAGCGCCATTGTCGGCCCCAAGGGACAACGGTTACAGTCTGTCGGAGAACCAACACCTACCCTTCAATGGAGTCCCACCGAGGCAGGGAAACAAGCCCAATCGAGGTCTTCCAAGACGTAGAAGCAGATATAATATCGAAAGGCTTGGTGGAAAAACCACCCCTGTCTTTATCCCGACAAATACAAACCCCTCGGATCCTCTGATACGGTGGCAGCAGTCCCCCCTGAAGATGAACCTGCCTCTTTGTCTGCCATCAAGGACGCAGTTCAGAATTCATATATCAACAGCCTACAGAATGGAGATCGGACATGTTTCGATCCTGGATCAGGAATGTCTGACGATCACATTGCCAACCTTTTCCAAACACACCGTCGGACCCGCTCTCGTCCTGGCTCGACAACGAGTGGTGGAAGCACTGCTAGTGCTTCGTCTCAAAAATCAGTTACATCGGGCTTATCAAATGGAAGCCACAACTCAACGCAGGAGAAAAACAGCCGAGTCTCGACTGGAGTCAGGAAATCGCAAGGCAAAGGAAGAGCTAAAAGACAGCCGGCCGCAAGCAAGCCTCGTTTATTCTGCTGTACTTTCTGCTGTGATCGATTCAAGACTAAATATGATTGGGCGCGACATGAAAAATCGCTTCATCTGAATTTGGAAACTTGGGTCTGTGCACCATTTGGAGGATCTGCGATATTACCATCAACGGGTCGGGTGCATTGCGTTTATTGCAACGAACCAGACCCTTCGATTGAACATCTTGATGAACACAAGCATGGAGCTTGCATGAAGAGTCAATCACGTGCCTTCCGGCGAAAAGACCATCTCATCCAGCACCTTCGTCGCTTCCACTGTGTTGACGATATTCCATTAGTTGACGACTGGAAGATTGGTCTCACTGATATCACGTCGCGCTGTGGATTTTGTGATGCTCAAATCACTAGCTGGGAGGAGCGAGCTGATCACCTGGCTCTTCATTTCCGCAATGGCTCGACTATGGCCGACTGGAAAGGCGACCATGACTTTCCTCCTTGGATTGCAGAGCAGGTAACACATAGTGTGCCTCCATATCTGATTCAACTTGAATCACACACGCTGGTGCCTTTCTCTGCTACGAACGGACAAGTCCAAGACCATCTTTCCCAGATGCTATCGCGGGCGACATTCAGCAATGAAACGGATGACCATAATAATGATGATCAGCATCATGAAGAACAACCAGATACGACATCTTCATTAAGCGAATTCAAGACGCAAAATTTGTCTTTGGATTCATACACACAGGTCCTGACGCGACATTTGAGCCATTTTGCCCAGCAGCAGATGGTTCTTGGTGTTGTTCCGTCAGATGAAATGTTTCAACTGGAGGCACGACGTCTTCTTTTTGATTCTGATGACCCTTGGAACCAGACTATTGCAGATCACCAGCAATGGTTGGCTACATTTCGGGCTGGTCAAGCGGCTGATTAACCTATTTGTCAAATCTCACCTTGAACATGTATGCACCTTACTAGCGCGAAATAAGATACCCGGAAGAAACCAATAATATAATCTATAAACAGCTGGGTTGAAGAACCAAATTTGGTTCTTATTCGACGCTAAATGCTTCTTTTATCTACTCTCTCTCTGACACTACAGTTGCCCATTCGTGCTGTGTGCGACCGTACATGATATCGCCGAGCCAATCTTTCATCTTTCCGGTAATATCGCCAGGTCCATCGCCTTGCCCCATGGGAATATCGATCTCGTGTTCTCTGTGACGAATGTGTGAAATAGGGGTGATAAACCACTAGAAATATATCAGCACCTGGGTTTAACCAAAAGCATAACAGTGGACTATAACTTACCGCCGTTCCCGCAGCAAATGACTCCAAAAGTCGATTCTCATTAGAGGCCTCCAACACTTCACCAATCGTGAACTTTCGCTCCGTGATTTCGAGTTCATCTCCAAGTCGCTCTCTTGCTAAAGCAATGCAGCTTCGACGAGTAATGCCATCCAAAATGAGATGATCATCCAACGGCGCAGTGATCATCTCCTTCTTCCCATCTTTCCGTCGCCATAACAAAAAGAAATTACTCCCTCCAGCCTCTGTGCACTCCCCCTCAGCACCATACAACCAAAGAACCTGATGGAAGCCCCGACTCGCCGCATCTTGCGTAGCAAGGACCGAGGGACCATAGTTCGCTCCAACCTTCGCATACCCAAACCCACCAACCCAAGAGCGCACCATATCCTGCGGCGAGGTGAGCAAGCGCTTCCCACCTTGCATCATATCTAAGCGCGGCATATATCCAACAATAATATACAGCAAAGCTTCAGTGGGCGCCTGCACACCGAGCTGCGAGTTCGAGCCGATGATAGTCGGCCTGATATAGAGGAAGTCTCCAGCGCGATGTTTGGGCAGCCATTTCGCACCATCGACGTGGAGGAGCGCGAGGATCAGTTTCTTTAATTCCTCTGCCGGAGCTGCGGGTAAGGAGATGCGTTCCGCGGACATCTGTAGACGGACGCCGTTGCGGTCTGGGCGGAAGAGTCTGAGTTTCCCATCATCGCCGCGGTAGGCTTTGAGTCCTTCGAAGCATTCGTGTGCGTAGTGGAGACAGGATGCTGTCGGGAGCAGGCTTAATGGGCCGTAGGGTTTTAGCTCTGGGGTAGACCAGCCGATGTCTTTTTTCCAGCGTGCGATGATCATGTGGTCGGTGCAAATGGTGTCTCTGCTTTTGGTAGCCGTTGCTTCGTCGGGTACATCGCGTGGATCGGTGGTGTAGGTGTAGGTTAACTTTGATGCGTTCAGAGGCGAGATCGCCTGGGGTGAAGTAAACGAGGTCATTTTGAGATGGTTTAGAGGATTGATTATTAGAATAGTCGGGTACTCTTTTATAATATATTATATGGTGATCGAAAATTCGGATATGGGTGTAAGGCGTGTATGGTAGGGCGTGCGCGATACTAAGGCGCGTTGGTACGCCCTATAGATCCACCAGGGGCCCCACATTAATATTATTGTCCAGATATTGGGGGTCGGATGTGTTCGCGAGATATCTACAATCTAGATGGAAATTTACTGAGCTACTTGCAATTCAACTAGATTCTTGTCATGAGGAAGAAGTAGGGGTGGCGACAAGGCGTTATCTAGCGACTGAGTATTTCGGGAAGTCATGCAGCAATAATGTGATATGAAATTTGTCGAGATTTGATCGACTTTCTAACTAGAATAAATTCTTCCCGCAAGATTATCAATATGCTCTTCATCCGTACCACAGCAACCTCCTACCACCTTCAACCCCGGCAACAAATCCAAAAGCCCCTTAAACTCTCGAGTCCAAACCGAAACATCACCCCGATCCAACACCAACGAGTTATCAAGCTCATCATGACTCTTAAGACTTGCATTTCCCCTAATTGACCCAATCCTCGCCCTCACATCCTCAGGGAGATCCCGTAAAGCCATCATAATATGACGCGGATGGGCACAATTAACCCCAAAATACGTAGTATAATTCCCCGTCAGACGATCGACTTCCCGAATCACATCATCAAGTGCCCTCCCCCACGTAGCCGTCCATCCGTCTCAATACTAAACGAGACATGAATAGGGAGATTAAATTCACGCGCCACGCTCACTGCCGCGGTAGCCTCGTTGAGATTCGTTACAGTCATGATAGAAATCATGTCTACGCCTTCGGCGAGGATCTGAACTTGGGCGCGGTAATTCTCCTGTGCCTGGGAGAAAGAAACTGTCTCTGTGGAATCCACGTAGGCGTCTTGGAGGGTTCCAAGGGTCCCGCTGATGACGATAGGAGTAGATGGAGTGTGGGTGGTTTTCCTGAGGTTCTGGAGGATCGTGACTGCGACGCGGTTCAGGTTGAGGATCTCTGGGACGGAGAGATTAAGCTGGGGAGCCCATGCGGGAGAGCCGCGCCATGTTCGGGTTTCGAGGATGATGCCGGTTGAATGAGCCAGGGCGATATTTACATAGTCTTGGTAGATAGAGAGGATGGTTTTTATGCCATCTTCTGTACCGAGAAGAGGGAGAGCGGAGAAGCACGGGAGGTTGATATTGTTTTTGTAGACGAGTGTGGTTTCGATTCCGGCTTCGGTGAGGAAGAGCTTGGAGGCAGTCAATTGCGGGAGAATCTTTGATTGTGAGGCCATTTTCTGGAGTTGATATTCAAATTGCCACAATGAAGTTGTTTGGAGAGGAGAATTTGTGGGGGAGAGAATTGGGGGGTTGACTGACACTTGCTATAGTGGGGCGATTAGTGGGTAGGGCGTGTCAACGCGCCCTACCATGCACGCCCTATGTTATGCCGATAATTAGAGAAAGCGATGACAGGGGATTCACATGGTATATCCGATTGGAAGCAGGGAGTAAGAGCAACCATGAATCATTAGTTGCATGCGATCCCTGTCGAAACAATATGCATAGATGCCTTGTTTGTCAGGCTGCAACAAGATATCTTTCTCTGACACGATGGTCAACGGGACTTCGCATTGATCCCGAAGAGTGGGGAAAGAAGCGCGACGTATAGTACGTGATCACTCTCTATTGGTTAGTGTAAATTGTCTGTGAACCGGAGAGGTTGGATTCGGCACCGAGCCTACTTGGCCGAGTCCGCCACCGGACAAAAGAAAAAGCCCCGTCGTGTATTTCGGTCGTTGGCGTATATGCCGTATTTTTGGAAGTCTAGTAAGGATAGAGAACTCTGGAGGATCTTTAGATCCGGGAAGAGAAAATGAAATATCTACAGTCGGCAAAGACTATAACCTGGGCGTAAACAGAGAGGTCAGACGGTCTCTCGTCACCACTTATATAGCTACCGAAAAAAAGATGATCCAGGCCAAACACGCACTATATCGAAGATACAAGCCGGAAGCAAAATTGCCCATCTAAGTGATTTGATGAGTGCCTTCGAGCCCATGAGATCGCCCCGCAGCATGGGCCCAGATGGTAGCCTCAATCCTCGCGCGCTGTTCTATCTCCTCACTCGAGCTATTATCCTTAAAGACAGAGTCCATTTCCTCCAAAGTTTTTCCATTAGTCTCCGGAACAAACAACCACGTCCAAACAAACGACAGAGCACAAAACACACAAAAGAACACATAAGTACCATACCCAGTGTTTTGCACAAGCGGCGGAGTAATAAGCCCAATGATGAAATTGTTAAGCCAGTTCGACATTGTGGAGTACGCCATACCCTTAGCACGTAGCGAGGAAGGGAATATCTCAGCCGGCATAGCCCAAGGGATAGGACCCCAAGTAGCTCCGTAGGTCAGCATGAAGAAGCACAAGAACGCGACACAAACCCAGCCCTCTGTGGAATGCGCAGGCCAGTTGGATTGGTATTGGCTCATCAGAACGGCGATGATAAAATGCGCAAGAACCATGCAACCAGCACCACCAAAGAGCAAAGGCCGCCGGCCGAATTTATCCATTCCCCATAATGACCAGAAGCAAGCTAACATCTGGCAGATGTTGATGACTCCGGACATGTGGAGTTGCATCTCGTAGTCTAGACCCATTCCTTCGAATAAACTGGGTGAGTAGTAGATGAGAGCGTTGACGCCGCCAAATTCTAAGAGAAGGATATGAGTTAGCCTGTGTAAGAAGGAAAAGTGAGGGAAAGGGTTGGTTTCATGAGATAGACAAATACTCACGTTGGAAAAACATCAATCCAATACCGACATGCGTACGCTTCCAACACCCTTTTCGGAAACAACCCAGATAGCTCCAGACATGAAGCATTGCACGACTGGCATAACTTCCATCCTGGCACTTTGGGTGTCTCAAAATGCTCACTTCGTTGCAATAGGCTACCTCGGACCGAATCTCAACCCACTCTCGGATCACGCGCTCGTCTGTAGCATCGACACCTCGCAATTTGCAGAGGACCTGGAGTGCTTCTTCATCCCGGCCTCGGCCAGCGAGCCAGCGAGGTGAATATGGTAGGAAGGGAATCCCGACGCCGAGAAAAATGGCAGGAATCATCTATCCACATAGTTAGGAAAGAGCAAAAGATGGTCAACTGGGAAGGCACACCTGAATGAGAAAAGGAAGGCGCCACGCCCATTCACCAGGGATGTATCGTGTACCATAGGTGATATAGAACGCAATTACGATGGCAGTAACAATAGCAAGTTCTTGCAAAACAAGCAAAGTACCACGAATCTCCGGTGGCGCAATCTCAGAAATATAAAGCGGTGCCACCATAGCCAGCATACCGACACCAATACCTCCGACAAACCGGGCACCTACCAGCATTTCAAAGCTCATAGCGCCAGTCTGCAAAGCGGAACCAAAGAGGAAGATAATCACTGCAACCATGATAGACCACTTTCGGGAAATTTTATCGGCAATCCATCCCTGGTTCATTGCTCCAAGGAAGGCTCCTAGCTCGATCATGGCAGTGAGGATTCCTTTTGGAATCCTGCGCCAGGTGCATTGGGGCCGACTTCCGGAAATCGTTCGAGGAATTGATCCATTGTCAGAGTTATGGAGACGACGCCTTGGTCGTAGCCGAACATTGCTCCGCCCATTGTTGCGAAGGCGGCGCATGCTGCTACATACTTGTTCGTGAGGATACCCTTGAGGCCTGTTTTGCGTGATGGTCAGTTAGTATGTGATGGGTATAGAGAGGAATAGTAGTAGAGAGAGGGAAGGGGTGTATACCAGGTTCACCATATGGTTGTCTTTCTGATCCAGGAGGAGGTATGAGAGTAGACGGCTCCGGTTTTATTTCGGATTCAATATGTTCGGTCTCTGGGGATGCTTTCTTGTCCGCCATGGTCTTCTTGAAGTATGGTAGCTAGGAAGTAGGGTCGATATGCAAAGGGGGCAATGATGAGATATGTGTCCTAAGGGAGAATCTTAGTATGCAATTGAGAGAATAGAGTGAGGATATCTTTCAAATATAAACAAAACAGTGGGTATGTGAACTTTCTCTCATCCCACACACCAATCAGAGCAACAGCAATTACCCCAACCGGGTTCTTCCTCCTTACATTATACCGTGAAGTTGATATTTAGTGTTAGACTTGACGCCATCGACCGGGAGATAATGCGGGGAAGACCCGCTAATCCGTTGGCTCTCAAGGTTGTTCGCGGGGCCCCGGGATATCACCGAGTCGGACACCATTTCCCGGCTCGGACACCATTTTCCATAGCCGGTTGAAAACACACTTTTGATAATCGTCTAGATCAGTAGTGATCTGCACGGGTGGCTATGAGTTTCCAATCCTGCACTATTAGCGCTATACATGGTTTCTGCTAAGTTCTCTAGGCTTCGGCCTAGAGAAGTGGGCGGAAATCAGACAGTTGGCTGAGAGGTCAGGCCAGTAGCCTCAGATAGTTAACTCTAGATAAATATGAGAGATCTTTTCTGTCATGAGGAACAATTCTTTTCTCTTTGCCTCTTCGCCTTGTAGGCTCCAACAGGGTGCTATGTAAAACCACCTCCATATATAATCAAGACATCGGCAACAGCACCCATAAACGACCAGGGAGAACTGCCCTGCATGATGAGTGTCCATAGCTTTATGACTTCGGTAGCCAATTCGTCTGGTGTCGAGAGCACCGTGGAGTGTGGATCGCTGCTAATTGAGACAAGTGCTTCTTGCACAATTTCACGAACCCATTTGACAAGAACCCTTTGGTTTTCTGCTATGTACGTTAGCTTTTAGAATCATGGTCTTGATGGGGACCTTTTAAAGCTGGAAAACAAGTATCCAATACTCGATATAAGAGTTCGATTTCAATGGGGAAAAGAAAGAAAGAAAGAAAGATGCACATACCAGACTCGGAATTCGCACGAGTCATGTCACCGACTTCGCGTAGCCATTGACTTAGGAAGACTGCACATTCAAGTCCGCATAAAGCATCTTCGATGCTCCAGACAGATGCTTGGCTATGCTGGACATATCGTATACCAAGCTTGACAAGAGTGCCTAAAACCCGCGTTGCATGAATTGCTGCCAGAAACACGTGCCAGTTGTGCTTGAGAGGCGGCGAATCATGTAGAAAAGAGGCAGTTTTAACGGGATCCCAGCTTGATAGAACCTTCGAGCGTCCTGTATCGAGACAATTGCGAATATAAGCAAGACTCAGCAATGTGCTTGACGTAAAAGGTAATGGTCCATTGGGGTCTAACGGCTCCAGGTTGGACTCGGGGGTAATCTGCCATGATTCTGTCCATTTTCGAAGCGCAGCTCTGGCGAGAGAAAATGAGATCAATACCAATTTTTCACACCGCGACAAGAATTTATAGATCACGTATGACTGACTTACTCGAAAAATGCCTGACTATTTGAAGATGAAACTGGCCCTGGGAAGGGGAGAATCTGCTGGGTACAAATGATGGACTGGATCAAACCATGCAGTAGGACATAGTTGGCAACAGGCGATGTAAATGAGGGTTTGACACGAGTTCCCGATGCCGGTAATGAAAGATTTTGTAGAGCAATGTGAAAATACTCTTGTTCATTGGGGGTGTTCTGATGTAGCATTTCCCAGGTTGCTGCATCTGCCGCGGTCCATTCCGGACATGAGCAAGGAAGCCGTAGCCGGATTTCTTTGCTCAGCAAACCGGGAGGTAGATTGTAGGCGATGCTTTGGATGTTAAGAAAACAAAACACAAGTAGCTTTGTCCGTCTGTCGGATTCTTTCTGAGCCCAGGTCTCCCAGTCAAGATCCCCAGCCTGGATGAGAGTGTCATCCAAGCCACTCACCCTCATGGAGTGGACGAGTAGGCTTTGTAACATGAAGGTTTCGTTTTCCAGCTCCGGGTCCTTTTGCCAGGATGCCATTGTAAGGAGACAGAGTAGACCGCGAATCTCTTGGGCGTTATTCCTTCCAGTTTTAACTCTGGTGAAGTCATTGCTTTCTCTGTGACGGTGCTTGTCTAGGAAAATACTTTTTGCGACATAGAACAGATTATATGCTGTTTTCATCTCATATCGGTAAACCGCACCGATAGCAGTCATGGCAAGGAAAAGTCCCGGATCACATTCTTCAATTCTGAACGATGGTGCATGTGTGAACGGCATTCGAGGATAAAAGCCAGTGAAATATCCCGCCAAGAAACGTGTCAGGGAATCGGACGATGGAAGATCGAAACCAGGCATTATATTCATAATCCTCAATGAACCGAGAAGGCTGACTCTATGGGAGTCAGTCACTACTGGGAGTGAAGCGTGGGAGATAACTTGTCCACCTATCTTATGGTTAAGACTAGGGAGAAACATAACTCGAAGTAGCATACTCACCTAAAGACAGCGCGGGGATCGGAAAACTCGCGGATAACATGTTCGACATCACATGTGTAGCTGTGTGGTCATCATAGGTGTGAGGCTTGACACACATGTCACTCCCCAGATGTGCCTGTCCGCAATGGCCTGATAGTCCTTGCAGCAAAAGGTCAGCATAGCAATCATAGGGATTCGGGAGTTATCATCTAACATACCACTGTCATGATTTAAGGATTCGGTTTCTATTAATTCATTATCTAACGCACTTGATTCCCTGTCATAAAGCCGTTAGGTTAGTAACGATTGCCATAGACACTATACAGTCAAGAATTGATAGCACACCTTATCGATGATCGCTGCGGGGATGTCTTTTGGGAGACCGGGCGTTGAGAGCTGACTGATGAAAAATGTTCTCTTGTTTCTCGACTTGCCGGGCTAGGATAATTGAACATTCTATGATCTTGCAGGTGGCTTGTTGGGCTATTGCTAGAGACTGGCGGCTGCACAGGATGTTCCAAATCATCGTGCGAGGCACGTTCATGACGCCTGAGAAGATCTTTTCTCGAAAAAAGAGCACCACATGGGCAACTGAATGGCTTTTCATTGGTGTCTATTGTCGTGTCAATATTGTGTCTAGTTTCTGGATATTGATTTACGAACGTATTCGCGTGTGACGCTGTAGATGTTCCAAGCGGCGAAATCCACGGTGGCAAAACTTGCAGTTCAATGATGCCTTGTCTAGCGACTGAGAAGGGCGATTTGGATCCATGCCATCGAGGTTGAAATTGAGACTGGATATCACGAGAGAGTGAGATAGTAGATCTTGCGTGCTAGGTGTATGTTCTGTGAAGAAACATCCATGGTCCACGAAAAGGATTTCCTGACTAATCAACAGGGCGAGTAGACGAGCCCTAGAGGGCGTCTCTCTATAACCCTGGAGGTACCTGGCAGAGATTGATGATGTAACCTCATAATGCTTAGAAATAGAGTCGGAGAATTTTCCCCGAGATAATCCTCGGACACTTTCAGTGGTTAAGCATTGTGGAGATTCGTTGGAGATTATGTTGGAGAGTAGAGTTTGGTATCCACCGACATGGAGAAAAGACCCGCTTTAATAAATCCACTAACCTCACTTCTTGATGTCTATGATGAACCAATTTTTTGGCAGTTGGATTACACATCGCGTAGAAGTATCCAGCAAAGTTATAAAAACCAGCAGCTAGCCCAGTATCTGAACTAAATTCTAACTACCAACTCTCAACTCAATTCACCGTATCCCACTCTACAACACAATCGTTTCTTCGACATGTCGCAGACTGTGATTCGCATCGAAGGGGAGCGAACTTCAGTCCAAAACCTGAAGGCTTTCAAGGAGGCTATTCCCGAGCCTTCGAAACATGAAATTTTGATCAAAGTTCACAGCGTCTCCTTGAACTACCGGGATATTGGGGTGGCTACATCGTTGTACCCATTTCCCGTGAAGGACAATGTTGTCCCATGCTCGGATGCTGCCGGTGTTGTGGTCAAGGTCGGTGAAGGCGTCAGCAAATTTGCTGTGGGAGATCATGTTGTGGGAACATTTGACCCGACCAACCTCTTCGGTCAGCAGTCGGATTGGCTGAATGGCCAGGGAGGCCCTGTTGATGGTGTTCTTCGTGAATACTTTTCTCTTCCGGCATCCGCTGCTGTCAAAGTTCCAAAGGAATCTCCTCAAAGCTTCTCGGAGTGGTCAACTTTGGTCTGTACCGGTGTAACTGCTTGGAATGCCCTTTATGGCGCTGTCCCTCTGAAGCCGGGTCAAATTGTACTCTGTCAAGGTATGGGTTATCATCCACCAATATACGTCCCTTTACTAACCCCATATACAGGGACTGGAGGTGTTGCAATCACTGGATTAATTTTGGCCAAGGCTGCTGGCGCTACTACAATCGTCACCTCATCTAGTGACGAGAAGCTTGAATTGGTCAAGTCTAAGTTTGGGGCTGATTATGGTATCAACTATAAGAGGCACCCAGAATGGTCCAAGGAGGCCATGAGGCTCACTAAAGGAGAAGGTGTGGACTTTGTTCTTGAAAATGGTGGCTCTGGAACTATCGCAGAGAGCATCAACTCGATCAAGATGGGTGGAAACGTGTCTGTGATCGGCTTCCTCTCACAAGCGGACCAATCAGAGATGCCTGACGTTGCAGGTATGGCTCTTGCCAAGGGCGCCATTATTCGGGGTATCACTGTTGGTTCCACTCAGCTCCTTCAAGATCTCGTCCGATTTGTCGCTCGCAAAGGACTGCGTTTACCTGTTGAGAAGGAGTTCTCTTTCACTCGGGAGGATGTTGTGAAGGCTTATGAATATGTTATGTCGGGATCACACATTGGCAAAGTTTGTATTAAGGTGGCTGAATGAATGACCGCAAGTTAGATCTAGAATATGGACCAGTTCTATCCAATCCACAATTCCTTCGGTTACTATCCACTAGGTGGGCCAGACCTGGCTCATATTTGAAATTCGATCACTGTAGTGCTTGGACGATCTTATTTTCTGTTGGAAGAATCTGCCTTCAAAATGTTCCGGCTGGATTAGAAAGCTCAAGGCTAAAGCCAGCTATTCGAGAGGATTGACCAGAAATGCCCGTCCAAAGTCTGATGTGCCGCTATATCCCGGAAGGTGTACTATAGCCCTGGGTTTGTCAACATTGCACGGGAACCCCGGGAGGGCACCTCGGGGGCTCTCCAAGGCTATAGCTTGTCAGATAAGTCATCAAAGCTCGTCCGAGGAAAGGGTTATTTGTAGCACATGACTTTTCAAACCGTGACGGTTCTCCTCTCCCCCTCCAAGCCACTCTCATTCGTCGTACATTCGAACATAGATTTATCTTTGTTCTGCCAGAATAATCTTCTCTATACCCAGGAGAAATTATATAAATACAAACCCGGGGGATATCATCCAGTGACCCTCGGAGATACCTTTAAGAGTGGTCGCTACGAAATTCATCATAAGTTAGGATCTGGAGGATTTTCGACTATGTGGCTTGCCAACGACAAGAAGTCAGCTCATAAAGTGACCCAAATTTTGCCCGCCACGGCTAATATGATGCCAGAGAAAATAAATAGGTCTCGTTGAAGATCGTGACCGCAGATTCGTCATAATCGCGCGAGCTACAAAACATAAGGCTTCTTTGAGAGCATTCTAGTGGAAATATTTCTTCAAAATACATCATTGAACTACTCGATGACTTTACTCACGATGGCCCTAACGGAGTCCACCAATGTCTTGTATTTGAATTACTTAGCCCTACAGTTGATATGGTCCTTAGAGATTATCTTGAGGATAATAATAAGCTCGAGCCAGAATATATACTCCGAATGTCTACGCAGCTCCTAAAAGCCATCGAGTTTATTTATAGTATTTTAGCATATGCTATGGCGGTAAGAGCATTGTTTCCTATGCGGATTTTGCAACCTAGAAGTCTAGCGCAATTGTGCCTAAGTGCTAACTCTTAAACATATAGATATTAGCGGCCGGAACATCGCATTTACTTCTAATAACGTGTTGAAATCACCCGAGAAAACGTTTCTAGATGTTCTTAGACCTCCAAAAATCGATCTACTAGTCCGTATTAATAGCACGCCTTTAGACAACGGATTGCCGACCCAGCTAGTTAAGGCAGCGGAATGGGTTTAGTGGATAGACGAGGACGAGGAAGATATTCGGCTTATGGATATGGGAGAGAGGTTTCTCAGAGGCGAGGAGGCTAAAAAGTTAGCTCAGCCAAGTAATTTGCGAGTTCCTAAGACGATGTTCTAGGCCCACTTTGATTATCGCCTCGATTTATGGCGTGCAGGTTGCATAGTACGTCAATATACCCATTTTCTCTCATTCCTTTTAGATCTTACATACTCATAGAGGCGTGAATTCTAGGTTTACGCTTTCTTATTCACGAACTACCCATTTTCGTATTTTAGCGGAGACGAATCTCTTATTTCCCAAATGATTGATTTTGTGGAGAGACTACCAGCCGAATGGGAGTCTCAGTAGAAAGCAATGTAGACTGAACTTACCCGTGATATAGAGCTAAAAGAAGGTAAGCAATTGGATCCACTATAAAGGCTTTTGTTAATTACGCCCAAAGACTACGAATCTTCGAAGTTTGAACGCAAATTGCAGAAGATGTGCACGAACGAAAGCTTCAACCTCTATTGCAAGTCGCAAGGGTTAATGCGATTGCTACCATCTAATCGCATTACTGCAGACGAAGCACTTGAATTATGCAAGAAATAGCTACATAATGTCTAGAAATGAATTTCAATACGAAGTAGGCAATGGTTTTCTACCTCGGTAGGTGAGTATCCACTAGGACGTGAGCCAATGAAAAATCCTCAAAGAGCCTCCCGAGGTAAATCGGCGCTGATCCCGAGACCCACGAAGATCCGGGAAGCCTTGGAACGGGAACTACGGCAGTCGATTACCACATTCAACATAAACACTGACCGCTTCACTCACCGCTAGCCTTTAATTGGTCCTAATGCGATATTATGTATTCAGATGGATGTATAAAATTATACTGCAAGCAGAATCCAAACTGGTGCACTGGCGGTAATAGACTGCCGTGGGACCCTTCTGACATCATCGAGTAAAGCTGATCATGTTCTTTTTAATGATCTCTAACCCCGCCAACATATGGTCAATTCTAATACACATACTCATTGTTACTATCATTTGGTGAAACATACGCTGATCTCGCTCCTGCCAATCTTGACTTGCTTCTAGGCCACACCAGGCCGATCTCCCGCGAAGAATGGACTCGGACTCGGCACCACAGAGTATGAGGCGCAGGTCTAGCCGCCGTGGGTCAATACAATCGGAGGACTGGCCTGAGGCCATCCCTATGTCGATTCCCACGCATCGCGAGAGGAGGGACTCGGCACCACATATTACGAGGCGCAGGTCCAGCCGCCGTGGGTCAATACAATCGGGGGACTGGCCTGCGGAAGTTCCTATGTCGCTCTCCCCGCACCGCGAGCGGAAGCACCATGGAGAACGAAACGGCGGGGTTAAAATCCTGAGTTCGTGATAAAATACAGTGTTACTACAAACTACAACTAACGGTGGATCTTTTGTAGGTGATGGCCGCCTTGATATAAAGATCAACGAGCATATGCCACAACTCGCAGGGCTATTGAATCGCATCCAAACGTCAACAAAGCCACCAGACCTGGAGGCTCTGGAGGGACAACCGACACCAGAAGCAATACCACCAGATGAAGGCAAAGACTTCCCACTGAAGCTGAACATCGTCATTCAAGTGATCGGGTCTCGGGGTGATATCCAACCGTTCGTTGCGCTAGGAAAAGAGTTGAAGGCATATGGACACCGCGTACGACTAGCAACCCACCTCGTTTTCCGGGAGTTTGTACTTGACGGCGGCTTGGAGTTCTTCAACATCGGTGGTGACCCAGAGGAACTGATGGCTTTCATGGTCCAAAATCCCTCCCTACTCCCCGCATTCAGCACGATTCGCAGTGGAGCCATCCAGAAACGCCGGCGCGAAATGAAGGAAATTATATACGGCTGTTGGAGATCATGTATTGAAACAGGCGATGGTACAGACCTGCATCAAATTAAAGAAGATCCCTGGAGTGAGGTGGTGGACTATCGTCGCAGACCATTTGTTGCTGATGCAATAATCGCTAACCCGCCCAGCTTGGGCCATATTCATTGCGCACAGCGGCTGGGAATTCCACTTCATATGATGTTTACGTGAGTCCATTCTCAGACATCAATATCGAGCGACACCCTAATGCAAATTTTTCTAGAATGCCCTGGTCGCCTACCCAGTCGTTTCCGCATCCTTTGGCTGTTCTCCACCAGCAGGATTGCAAGCCAACAGTTGCAAACCTCGTATCCTATACCGTTGTGGATATTATGATTTGGGAGGGATTGGGAGATCTCGTCAACTCGTGGCGAAAGAGGTGCCTCGCACTTGATCCGTTGGATTCAATTACGGCGCCCAGTCTGCCCCAGCGCCTCGGCGTCCCGTTCTCATATCTGTGGTATGGGCCGACCCAAAGTTGGTGGATTTGAACAATTAACTAACTATGGTTTTCTTCAGGTCCCCGGCATTGTTGCCAAAGCCACGCGACTGGTCTGATCACATCGATATTTGCGGCTTCAGCGTGCTACCTACAAAGTCAGACTACAAACCTCCAAAAGAGATAGAAGATTTTCTAAAAGCAGGACCCACTCCAATATACGTTGGATTCGGCTCTATTGTGGTAGAGAACCAAATAGAACTAACTCAAATCGTGTTCGAGGCGATAGAAAACGCCGGCCAGCGAGCAATCATTTCAAAAGGCTGGGGAAACCTCGGAGTCGAAGACGTCGATGTACCAGATAATATCCTCATCGTCGGCAGCGTACCACATGACTGGTTATTCCAGCATGTGTCATGCGTGATTCACCACGGTGGTGCGGGTACCACTGCGGCAGGGCTTTCTCTTGGACGACCGACCATTATCGTTCCATTCTTCGGAGACCAACAATTCTGGGGAGGAATCGTTGCAATGGCTGGGGCCGGGCCGCAGCCTGTGCCTCACAAACAACTCACTGTTGAGAAGTTGACCGATGCAATCAAGACGGCACTAGAACCTTCAACTCAAGAGAAGGCGCAAGAAATCGCAAATAAGATGCAGAAAGAGTCCGGTGTGCGGGATGGGGTACGCAGCTTTCATCGGCATCTCAACTTGAAGACGTTACGATGCACGATATGTCCCACCCGTCCTGCTGTATGGCATATTAAGCAAACTTCTATTGGGCTCAGCGCTTTTGCTGCAGCAGTACTGGTTGAAATGGGGGCTATCAAACCAGAGAATGTTGCTTTGTAGGTTGACCTCGAGCAAGATCGTTTCAGACCACTAACCGATTGTCCAGAAACCGAGCATCGGAATACGACACCTACCGCAATCCCGTAGGCCCTGTCAGCGCAGGAGCCCAGGTGCTAGTCGGAGCCATTGCGAACTTTGTGACCGGGATTGGCGAGGTCCCTTATGACATCGTTACTGATTTCGTCACCGCCGGTCGTGCGATAGGTCAGACTCGTGCCCAGACTGATTCTTCAAGAAGGTTTTCGTGGAGGAAATTCCGCAGAAGTCAAGAGTCAGATACGGATAGTGATGAGGAGCAGTATCATGAATCCGCCGAGTATCATGAACCTGCCGATTATCATCAACCTGCCGATTATCATGAACGTGCTGAGTATCATGGTCCCGCCGAGTGTCAAGGACTTGGCCAGTTCAATAACGATAACGATGATGATAATAACGAGGATGGTACTGCTATTGATGATGGGATAAGTCTCGACCCAAACGACAACGAAACCGACAACGCGAGACACAACAAAATGAATCATAATTTACCGGCTAGCGCCGTTGGCCCGAGAAACCGCTTGCCGCGTGATCAAGCGGAGCTGTTGAGCTATCTAGAGTCACCCAGAGGGAATGGTGTAATCTACGAAATACGCACTCACGGGAGTCGAATGTCGAAGAAGTTTTTGAAAAATATACTCTGGCTCCCAACAGACCTGACTCTCAGCATGTCCAAAGGGTTCCACAATGCGCCGAGGATGTACAACGACCAAATGATCAAAGAAACGCCAAAAGTTGTCGGCTTCCGGAGTGGACTCGAGGCAGCTGGAAAGGTATGTCACCTGTCACCTGTCTTTGGCGGTCAAAAGGTCCGAGCTAATCCTTGACCTTTATCTAGGAATTTCGAGATGGCTTTTACTATGGTATCACGGGATTGGTCACACAGCCTCGATATGGTGCCAAGCACCAAGGAACGAAAGGGATGGTCAAGGGAATCGGGAAAGGAATTGGCGGTGTTTTCCTCAAACCACCAGCAGGTATGTTCACGCCATGTGTCAGACACTCGCTCTTTCATCATGCGCATCCAATTCTGACTCAACTGCATCTAGGTCTTTGGGGACTGTTTGGATATCCTTTGGTTGGACTTCGCAGAAAGCTTCAAAAATCATTAGGCAGGAGCCAGGAGCTTGGTATTATGGCGTCTCGGATTGCGCAAGGTATTGAAGACATGCAGGCATCGACTCCCGACGAACGCGCAGATGTTGTTAGGAAATGGCATGTTCTTGAAGAGGAACTTCGTGCCTCTTACTGACGAGATCTTCCGAACAACCAACCTATACTACGCTCACCATGACTATTCTCATACCAAATACCAAAGGTCTCCTAGTGTATCATAACAGGGGAAGGATCGCATACATGTACATATACGCATTAGTTTAACTTTAATAACCTACGAGTTTCATGAACTAAGTCGAATCATGCAATTGGTTCACTTTGGAAAATATTTTCTTGTTCTCACAAATCAAATTGTCTCTGGTGTAGCCCATGAGAAACGAAGCACCAAGAATGAATATACGTATCTTTCACATAGACAATGTTGGTTAGGTGCAAGATATTATATTCCGCAATCTTACAGCTTAATCTAAAACGCACCCCCCCTGCCGCGGCTATTATAAGTAGCAAGAGGAGAGTATTCCGCTTCTCCCTCTCACCAATTATCATACACATAGCCGTCGTCATGATCAATTCATACAATCGAGTCTTCCTAACATTCCGCAATTCACTAGCTGCAGCTTGCTCGTTCCAAGCGGGGGAATGGTCTTCATCAAGCAGCTTGGATACCGCAGAATCGAAAATCCACAACTGGCCAAATTTCCGGCACACGAAGCTTGGTGTGAAAACTCGATGTTGGCGTATTCGAACCTATAACGTCGAGGATTCAACGAAAATGGAGAATTCCATTCGAGACGTACTGCTTCTTTGGCAACAGCTGGTTGTAAAATAGCCGTATGTGGTGCTGCAGAGTAAGGAGGGCTGGAGCATCCTGTTTGTGAATACTCCAAGTCGTGCTTCCCAACTTCAGTGACATTCTCCATATTCTCTATCTCAACGGGAGCATCATCCAAGGCTTTCCCTTTTTTCTTTCTATCGGCAAATTCTCCCTTTTCCGCCTTTCCTCTCGCATTTACCTGGCGGTGATACTCTTTCCCACTCTCCCCCCACACCCTCCACGTACGGACTTTATACCCTTTCAAAGCACGATCATCGTTGAGGGTTGTATTGTTTGGGTTACTGCGACATTCCCATTCCACCACGCCTCTAGGATCAATGACATCTTGCAGATTATCGCCGGACTGGATTGTCCAATTTCGCCAAAAGCCTCCGCACTCTATTAGGCAGATCGGTAGTCCATTCTTTTTTCCGCGGCGGAGTGTACGTGGCACATCGTGGAATAAGATTTTTGGGCGTGCACGAATTAGCTGTTGGATTCATTGTCTCGGTCTTGCGTTCTAGAGTCTCCTGCGAGTCTCTTATTGAATATGAACTCCTTTTTAGGGTTTAGGAATGGTGTGATTGAGATGTGCTCGTCGCCTTTGTGGTAGACGTGCCAGACTGATAGGCAATGTCGTTTGGAGAGTGCTTCGTCGAGGGTTGACATATTTGTTCGGAATCGGATGATCAGTGGTGATGTGTCGCAGGAACTTCCAAGGCTTGTGGTAATTTTGCATGCATAAGAGATATGGCTGTCTTCTAGGGACGGGACTCTTGATATATTGCACGTTGAATACGAGGGACGTGCCAAGCGTGAGATTAGACGGATTTGGCCCAGTAGAAAGCCCTCAGTGAATCATAGCTCTGCTACGAAGTGTGCAAGAACAACATAGCTGTAAATCATTAAAGTTATTTACTTAGCCTAGCTATAAGGCTGATAATGCCTAGAGTTGCTAAGACAGGTCTAATACAAACTTATATCTATGAACTGCCACCACTCACCTGCCCAATATTTGTCGAACAAACATAGACGCGTCCATATCAACCTCAATCATAATAGCAGTGGACACAATCAACACTGTCAGAGTGATCTAGCCAGCGTCAGTTACATCTCCAAAACCAAAAAGCATTTGCACCACTCACACAACCCAATAATATCCCAACAGAATTCAATTCCCAGCCTCCAGCATAAATCTTCCCCCTAGCAATAGCATTCTGCTGTCTCCAAAATCGATACGCCCCAACCAAAGCCACGAGAATACCCACACAGTAACACGCGACCGAGAGGGGTGTACCGACCTTACGAAATCCAAGACGATCCGCCAACGCCTCCGCCGCCTGCAGACGGAACAGCTGCGCAATCAGCACTCCTTGCTGGGTGACAACGACAGAGGTGCGGATATACGCGAGGAACGTTCTCTCCAAAGCTGCGCGCAGAGTCAGTATTATGCAGATCGACAAGTCCCAATCACAATGGCAGAACACGCACCGAAGTAATCTCGACTGCTCTTATGTGGCACAGTTAGAGTAACATTATGCGTCCAAAACTGAGTGAGTTTCCCCCAAGTCCCCTTCCGAGCCTGGCGGCGTTGCCGCGTCTCGGCACGCGATGCGAGAGCGCGTGATGTGGTGCGACGCGTTACAACGCGATATTCATCGCCGGATGAAGCAGACGGCGTTGAGTAGTACAGCTCATTGTCCTCGTGTGTTTGGATCTCTTGGAGCTCATGCGCTTCGTGGTGATTCAAGTCGTTGTCGTTGCGCGATCGGATGTTCCGCAAAATGACACCCGATGGTCGTCTAGGACCAGAAGTTTGAGTGGGGACTTCTGTCATATTTTCATGAATGATTCAGCCAGGTGAGAATAGCATGACTACGGCGGAACTCTCTGTTACCGTTGTCTTGGGGGGTGAAGGGTCAAAGCAGGTTCTCCACGGATCGACGGGGTTTGTCCCCGCATTTTCACTGTACGGCTTAGCTCTGTAGCAGCTCGAGGTATATACAATTGAAGCTATGTTGTACATTATAGGACATGGATTACATGTGCTAAAACTATTGTAATGCATACATAATAAAATATATTCTTTCTCTGTATGTACATTTTCTCGTATCATACCCACTCAAAACATATGAATTCCCCTCTAGCTTCGCATTGATATTATTCTAGCTTTTCTCCGGTATGATCAAGGGTTATCCACTCGTATTGGTTTTTGATAAACACCTCAGCCGCAGGAGGAGAAACGCTGTCAAACAAGGCAGCCTTGAGAAAGACTTTTCCGGGGGCTTTAGGGGTCTTGGTAAATACTGGGCTGTGATGGGTGTCAGCTATTGCTATGACTGGGTTTATATCATTTTACATACCTGCCACAGCTGGAACAGAAATGACGCTATTTCAGGTCTCAGATATAGTATTCAAAAATTGATAAAGGAGCTATGCACTTACCTTCACAGTATTGCCACTGGCAGACTTCTTGTCCTCATAGATCTTCAATGTCGCATCTGGGTCCTCGACGGTCATTTCATCCTCATTAATAAAGTAATTAACAGAGAATGCTAAGATGGTTGTAAGTAAAATGTATATTGTTCCTCAGCCATAGTGAATGTACTCACGACCACCACCTGCTCTTTTGCAACAATTGCTGTATTTGCAAATCACTTAGTATGCTATTATGGAAATAAGGGATTTCAGGTTGCAAGCAGATTTCATACCAATGGCAAACAACTGAGCTCGGGGGTTGTTGGGGAAGAGTGATGCGAATACTCTCGCAATTGCAATAGCCTTGATAAGACATGTTTTGTGATTGGCTAGTAGAGCTGTAATTCTCTATCTCAGTATGAAACAACCTTGTTAGATCTTCCCAATATATTTTTGCAGGGGGGATTTTGTTCGAAAATTAGTGGAGCTCAAAGGAATTGTTCCGTCATTGTCGTATCCCCGCTACGTCATTGCGATACCACATAGATGTGACTTTGATCGTTTCAAAATCTAGAGAAAGGGATATGGGTAGTATATGTATGGAGAGCAAGCTTTAATATCTTTTATCCCGACTTGTGATTCTAGAGGCATCTCTACGTATGCGGAATGGACATACCTTATCTCAATCGGGTAGGTTAGTGAAACTCGTACAGTCTGTACAAAGCTGCGCGGGTTTGGATATCACCATCAATCTAAAACATCAAACTATTCGAGAAGAGAAAGGTTCTAGAACTTCTATAGTGTCCATAGGTCTGTGCATCCCTGGCAGGGCGCATACTTTCGAGTATATGCGGTCCGATATCGGCCTCGTTATACTACCTCCAACACCTGGCCACTCTACAGAGAGAAAACATATAAGAGAGCCCATCAGACTTCCCAACGACCAGGAAATAATTGAAAATCTCAAAAGGAACACAACCCTTGAAACATTCTCACGTGTTGATTAACTATCATTTCTCTTTCTCACTCATATTTAACGCCAAGACTACTATTTCTCCACTTCTCCATACTTTCATCGGCCAAATACACCATGGCGTCCAATACCGAGGGACCTAAAGACCACTGGTCAGCCGAAGTATGTATTCATCTCGATGTGTGGATATAATCATTAACAAAGCCTAGGCATACTCTGCCTCCGCATCCTTCGTGCACTCCGCGAAAATCACCGGCAAGCTCCTCACCTCCCTGGACCCCAAGCCAACAGACAAGGTCCTTGATGTTGGTTGCGGCGATGGAAAATTTACCGCAAACTTCCTTCCCGCTATAGAATCCGTCTTAGGCATTGACTCGTCTGCATCCATGATCGAGTCTGCCAACAAAGACTACGCAAGTCCCAAGGCCAGCTTCCGCGTTGTGGATTGTCGGTACCTAGAGAACGAAACCTCCATTGTGAATGGATCATGGGATAAAGTGTATGTCTTTGATTATAATACATGGCACGCGATGTATGTAACGACTTCTAACAACTAGACAGAATCTCCAACGCAGCCCTCCACTGGATCTTACGTGATGAGTCGACACGCATGTCGACACTTCGCGGAATCCATGGCTGCCTGAAGCCTGGTGGCACATATGTGTTCGAAATGGGCGGACATGGTAATGTTGCCGAGATGAAGACGGCCCTTGTTTATGCACTGGTGCAGCAGGGTATCCCCGTCGAACAAGCAAGAGAGACTAGCCCTTGGTTCTTCCCATCTGATACCTGGATGAGAAATGCTCTGGAAGAGATCGGGTTCAAGGTTGAAAATGTTGAGCTTGAGTACCGCCCGACAAAACTCACCACTGACGCTAAGGGTGGTTTGGAAGGATGGGTTAGACTGATGGGAGCCCAGTTCCTGGAGGTGCTCCCCGAGGAAAAGCGGGATGCTGCAGTAAAGCAGGTTTGCGATGTGCTCCAGGACGTGGTTACTCGTGGTGAAGATGGAAGCCAGTGGCTGGGATATGTGCGACTGAGGGGTATTGCGAAGAAGATCTAGTGATATAGATGATATTCGTTGGAAAGGGCTCAATTAGCAGATTGCTGCTTCCGTCGCTGAATGAGAACACCAAGAGGAATGTCTTCCTCGTCATAGAACTCTGCTTCCTCATCCACTCCAAAGTCACGCAGTCGTTCTCCTTCGGCATTTCGCCATGACTCTTCGCCCTCGTCTAAGTCACCCTCAGAATCAGATTCGGACTCATCGCTATCATTTTCAGCGTAGTCGTCTATTTTGTGCCGATCGTGGAATGGTTTCCGACGTTGTAGGCCTGGAGATTGCTGAAATCGCTTCATGTCTTCCTGTTTGCGACGGTTGAAGGCATCGATCTCGTCCTGAATAGTTGCGTACGTAGGCATGCTGATATTGCTAGGTGGCCTTGCACTGACCGGCAGCGGGATTCGATCTGGATCCGGAGGTGGCCATGACACACCAGGGTCTAACAAAATTGATCAGTAATCGAAAAGCTAGAATAGTGACTCATTCACTCACCCTCAAAGTCATTGGTTTCGAACTCCCAGCCAGACCTACGATCAGGCGTTGCAGCCAGTGGCCAGAACCAGCTTATGACCTAGAGAAACATTAGCTTGCATCTTTACGTGTCTGGAATATTTTGACCATGAACAGGTATACTCACATTCGCGCTTCCGCCCATGCTTTGCTTGATGTTAGCCCAAATCCCAATGTCGTATGGGTATTCCTGCTTTTTTATGGGAACTCGAATTCCTCCAGGACCCTCAAGATACCCGCCCAGCACACGGGCTCGACGGACAAGAGTAGCATGTCTCTCGATTTCCCAGGTTTCAATGGTGGTTGTGTTAGATCCAATCGCCCAAAGACTCCTAACCAGGAGAACAAAAAGACCGAAAGTTGTAAGGCTATTTACCACAAGCAGTATAAACAAGTGGATGAGCTGTCCCAATGTGGGGCCCATATACTATTCATCATTAGCGAGGTCAATGGTGAAGTACTCGAGTTACTTACGCTTGGCAGATGGCTGTTCTTCCATACAAATGAGGCCCGCTGCCAGAGAAGAGTTTCCAGATAGGACATTCCAACAGTCGCATAAAATAGAAAGCGCATGAAATGCGGGAGGGTAAAATGTGAGACGCAGTTTGAGGTCCAGGGGCAATGATGATCCATTTTGGGAATGCATCTGGGAGAAGATCAGCAAAAGTCCCCACATCAGACATTCCTCATCGCACCTTTTACAGGTCTTGCAGTGGTGAGCGCGAGGCGGTTTATAAGCTTCGCATCTACGACACCATCGCTGGCGACCAGCGAGTGCGGCACCTTCTTGCTCTTTGGGTTTTGGTCGCTCTTCAGCCTTGGGAAGTCGGCCGGGATCTACAAAGCATGTTCGGTAATAGCATATCCAGATGCACAAGGCGAAGATATTGATTTTCCAAGTTTCATCCGTTGTGAGTGGCACAGACTCAAAGTGCAGAAAGAAGTACTGTGATGTGTAGGCGAGGAAGGCGATCAGCACACTGACGGCGGGGATCGCAAGCTTAGATATTGAAAATTCCTCGCCAAACATTTCAGCCATTTGAGTGAGCAAGACTGAGAAGCTACAGAGGCGTGAAGTTGGACGTGTTGTTTATCGGAACCGGGGTGTCGCTGTGCTGACTAACGAGGCTGGTCCCGACATGTAGATTTGGCCCAAGCTTTTTATACAATAGGTTCATGAAAGGGTTTCCAGTCTAGGATCTTCTATGTTATGCTGTGAGTTATACAGTTTACACTACAACCCCAAACAATCCCAGTAGGGCTTAAATCAATACCAGGCGGGAGGGACTAAGCCCGTTTATGCCTTTTAAGTCTCGCGAGGTTAAGTGCCTTCAATAGCTGTAGAATAAGGCAAAGTTGACTTGATCCCAAAATGCTGGCAGACATCAAATCGATGCCATGGTCTAGTGGTATGACGAAGTATTGTGGTAATGTACAGTAATGTGCACAGGTGGCACCATTCTTTTTTTTTCCTGACTCCATACTCTTGCTTATACGTGAGTGTTCCACCGAGACACGCAAACTTGAATAAAATTATCTCTTGTGTATGTCGGTGAAAGTATAGGTTATTAATAACGTAGTCACTGAACGCTCATCATCTTATATCAATTACCTTGATATTGTATGGTATGTTTGTCTTGAATTGAATTTAGTGTTAACAGTATAGACCCAAGAATAGTAGAATATATATATCGCGCCAACACGTGAAACTAAAGTGAAGCCTTGGCAACAGACTATCGAAATCGGGCATCTATTGTCAAAATATCTCAACATTAGATAGTTCTACGTAACATATGTAGTAGGAGGTATCTCATGTATAGAACAAAAGGCTCAAAGACAATGAAGGCATGGCCCCTCACGTGACCTCACGGGCCAACGGCCAGTGTTTATCGATTACCGCTTTGAGCAATTTGTTATGGTCCGACTCTTTCTACTTTCCATCCTCGCCCAACCCTCGATTGAGGTGCCGTTTGTTTTCTGAGCTCTGTACAGTTTTGCTTCTTTAGCGCTTTGCATTTCGGTAAGTCTCGTCTCTCCCCTATGTTCCGTTCTCAACCGAGAGTGGCTTCGGCTTCCCGACAGTGGAGCGAATTTTGACTTGATCGTTGCAGGGATACCAATACTGCCGGAACTTGATACCCTTTTGCAGACCATCACATGGTCGCTGTTTTTAATGATCTTAACGCTCGATACCCATCCGCTACACGCCTCCAACTACATTATCCTAATTCCCCTGCCATAAAAAGACGAACCGCCAAGAATGGAGGCCCTCTCCCCACGCACAACGAACCAGATGATCAAACCGAAGCTGGCCATGGATCGCAAAGCGTTTGATAAAAATGCTGTGCTTCCGAGTAGCAAGCAAAAGCTTGCAGCATCCAAAAGCTACGCCGATCCGCCGCCGTCAGTAGTCTCAGAGCCGGAAGATGGCGGGGAACGATACGCAATAGGCGCATTCTTGGGGAAAGGCGGATTTGCTGTTTGTTATGAGGGCGCGCTGGCTCGCAATGGTCGGGTGTACGCCATGAAGGTCGTCAAGTCAGCGATGCCCCAGAAAAAGATGGAAGAGAAGGTACGACGAGCCTCCGGATAGCGTCTGACCGTTTGACAGTGCCTAAATTTTTGTCGCAGTTTCGAACCGAACTTCAGATCCACTCGAAAATGCGCCATCCTTTCATCGTCCAGTTCTACCGCGCATTCGCTTTCGAATCCAGCACCTATGTCGTCCTGGAGTTATGTCCAAATGGGTCGGTGATGGATATGTTTCGGAAACGACGCTGTTTCAGCTTGCCAGAAGTGCGCCGGTACATGATTCAGCTTTGCGCAGCGGTGAAATACCTACACAAACGTTTCGTTGCTCATCGCGACCTGAAGATGGGAAATTTGTTCCTTGATCACAACATGAACATCAAGGTTGGAGATTTTGGTCTGGCAGCGATGATTTTGTCCGACAAGGATGCCAAACGACGGAATACGCTATGTGGCACACCCAACTATATCGCTCCCGAGGTGTTGGATAAGAGCAAAGGTGGCCATACCCAGAAAGTTGACATTTGGTCCGTGGGTGTAATACTGTAAGAACGCCGCGATATAACCATGAAGTCGTTGAACTAATGTCTGCATGTTAGATTTGCCATGCTTGCCGGATACTTACCATTTCAATCCAAAACGCAAGATGAGGTTTACAAGAAAGTCCAGAACCTGACATATGTTTGGCCCAAGGAATCAGACTCCAGCAATTACATCCCCGAGGAAGCAAAAGACCTAGTCAGTCGCTGTTTGAACCTAGTGGACGAGGAGCGACCAGACCCAGACGACATCGTTGAGCACCCATTCTTCAACATGTACGATGGTTGCATTCCTCGTCAACTGGACCCCTCATGCCGATTCAACAAGCCACTATGGCTCAAGGACGCCTCACCTCAAGGTGACTGTGTGGTGAGTGGATACGGCTTGGACTCAGACGAGAAGCTCCGCGCCTATGTGTACCAGGTGGACGACCCCGCCCAACGATATCATTCCTGCAAAGCTGCCTTCTATTCACTCTGCGGTGTGGGACGCAAGCCTGACGGGACGGCTCGGAAATCTGTGGGGAGAAATTGCTCAAAGTCGGCATTCTCTGAGTGTGATGTAGAGGACTCCAGAGGCTTACGACCAGTGATACCCTTGTCGCCAGATTATGTTTACCGATGGCCCAATGACCTCGAAGGAGACTGGTGTCTCTTGGAGAGTTCTCGAAAGGTAATCCGCAGTGAGGAGTCGATGCTTAACAGCAGCACTATGTCACAGCGGAGTGTTTCCATTCGTCCCAATCCCATGGCAGCATCGCGGACCAATGCCGCCCTTGCCGCTGCTCAGCAGCGCCGGATGGAAGGACAGAGCCATGCCGCAACGCTACGTCAGCAAGCTCGAGTGCCCCCTATATCTCCCCGAAAGACACCTGGGATCAGTGACCCTGCTGTTGTATCCTCCAGGCCATATCGAGATATCCCACAAGCCGAGCCAAAACCCGCTTCCACTGCGGACGTACCGATTGGAGGCCTGGCAGACCGCCCTATCCGCACACGAAGGATGGCATCTGCATCCCAAGCAACGACGCTGCGTAGCAAAGACATTGATTTTGTCCCACAATTAGCCAAATCCACAAGCATGCCCTCAGGCTTGACTGTAGGCAAAACACGCTCTCAGTCTCGCAGATTGGCAGCCGCTGACCAAGAGTTAATGCAGCCTTCAATCTCAACCAGAGAGCGGCAACCATCCGCCAAGCCGGAGGAGCGAAAAGTGATCACCCGTCAGACATCTCTACGGTCTACATCCAGAGCAGATCTCGGCGCTAGTGTCGGACGAGGCGAAAGACGAAGAGACAGCCCTATCGAAGAGTCCGCCCGATCTTCACTGGCACAGTCTAAGTTTTCCGCCGAATCTAATGGACTTGGTCGATCAGACTCCAATGGTATCGCTCGGTCTAACAGCAAGACAGCCGGTGGCAGGGCACGCTCCAGTTTGGGGCTCAGTCCTCTATTTCACACGGAAGATGCCAGCAAGCTTCTACCCCGGACTTCGTTGACCGAAGTCAACACCGACTTGCGTCTCATGCTGACCAACCTGGTCAACCACGCCCCAAGTAGGCGCAGAGGGGGAGCACGAAAACAGCCTCATGCCTATGTCATCAAATGGGTCGATTACACCAACCGTTATGGTATTGGGTATGTCCTGGATGATGGTAGCGTTGGGTGTGTCTTCAAGGGAGAAAACGGCCAGCCGGCAACGAGTGTTGTGGTTCGAGATGGCGAGAGACACATCCGCCGAAAAGCGCGTAGCGTTGCGGATGGCAAACAACAACCGATCTACTACTCCGAGGCTGATCAGTTAGTTCCTCGTACTGGAAACTCGGTTGAGTTCTATGAGAATCGTGACGATGACTTGCTAGGATGCCGTGGCATCCGACGAGCATTGATCCCGCCATCACTCTTCGATGTGAAGACATCGAAAGCAATGAGAATTCGCTCCAACACAGGAACCGAGTTCGAACGAGCCGATGCAGAGAAAATCAAGCGGATGAAACTTGTGGATCAATTTGGTAAATACATGATCGGAGCCCTTGGTCGACATGGCGACGAAGGCATCATGGATGAAGACCTGCCTGAGCACAACAGTGCCCAATTTGTCAAGTTCTACCAGCGCTTGGGTAATGTCGGCATCTGGGGTTTCGGAGACGGAGCCTTCCAATTCAACTTCCCCGACCACACAAAGCTAGTGATCTCGCCTGGCCGCACCCGTAGCTCATCCCCCTGGATCGATTTCTACCACCTCTCGTCCTCCGCCGCTCGATTCTTCTCCGCAAAAGGCAAAATGCACCCAGCCGGATTTGACACTCGGGCTGTGGCCTCCGACGAGGCTGCCACGTTCCTCAGCATTGCGAACGGAGATTCCATCAATTCGACTGAAGACCGTATTCGAGATATCCTCGATGCAAACGCCTTTATTCAGAAAATCGCCTTCATCAAAGATACCCTCAGAGTTTGGATCAAGTTCGGGCGACTTGGGGGTCGTCCGCCCTCGATCGACTCCTCTGATGACTCCATGCCCGATGAAGCATTCTGGCAAGGGACGCAGGAGCGTTCGCAGCCCAATAGCCCCGGAACGAAGTTTGTCTGGGTGACTGTCGGAGCACCAGATGGCGATGGTCACTATCGTTCCATGATGCTCAAAGATAGTGATCGGGAGCTAGGTGAAAAGCACACTGCGATGGAATACAACAAAGAAATGGATCTGTTGAAAGACCGGCTACGTGCACTTGGTCGTTGATTGAATCTGCCTGTTTCTCCTTCTGCTATTTATCATGTCCACTTTATGATGTCACGACCTTTTTGTTTTGGTTTCTGGTGTAATGCTTTATGTTTATTATCGTGGGACGAGATCACGAATGTTTGAAGCTCAGCTTCCCAAGTTGTCAATAATCTTTGCTCAACACCGATTTTGCTTTTTCTTCGGCTACTTGCAGCAATATAAATGCCATGCACTGTTCCGTATGACTGCCCCATGTGGTGACCCTCATCTTCCACCCGGTAGGCTTCCTCGCCGTCCCTCGGTAGAATGGTCTCTAGATGTTCCCACCCCGTAAATAAGCCCTTGACCCTGCGTCCAAATAGTTGGATTGCTTTACGCTTACATCGTTTGTAGTTTGACAAAGAACACCCCTCATAAAATTATTAATTGCTATAACTGCATTTTCACAATACACTTCCCTAACCCTCCATCTCCCCAAGCTCCAACATAGCAAACCTCTCTTGCCAGCTCTACGGCCCAGGCGACGCCATGTTTGAATATCGCCCAATGCCATTAATCGACCTACGTCGGCGTCTCCGGAAGCGATGTATGTATTGAAATATGAATCCCCCAGCCCCCCATACGCCACCATCACCACATCCCAACCGAACAAATATGCCCATCCCTAATTAATTCGATTATACAGGTCCACTTCTGGCTCCATGGCGGCATCAAGAAACACGTCTCCGCCACAAACCCGCTAGTAGTTTGCCACGAAGCCTCTGGCACTGTGCACGCCATCGGGTCCGCCGTGACAACTCTAAAACCAGGTGATGAGATAGCCATCGAGGCCGGATTTGCCTGTCATTTCTGCATACAATGCAAGAAAGGGCGATACAGCCTCTGCCCCCGCATGAAGTTCGCTGCGGACCCGCCCCATACACATGGCTTTCTTTCAAGATTCGTCAAGATTCCTGCCGATTGCTGTTATAAGATTTCCGGCGTCAACGCTCCGTTTAGAGCAGACATTGGACTTGATGAGGCTGTGCTTATTGAGCCGATGGCTGTTGCTGTCCATTCTGTGAGGCAGGGTGGTGTCAAGCCAGGGGATAAGGTCGTTGTTTTTGGGGCCGGGACAGTGGGATTGCTTTGTGCTGCTGTTGCGCGCCAGTTTGGGGCTATTATCATCGTGTCTGTGGATCGCGACGAGGACAAGTTGACTTTTGCGGAGGGCTGGATGTTGCCGAAGCGGACTGTTGTGTTCACGACCGAGTTTGCACGTGAATCATCGACTGCGGAACAGAACGCTACCGATTTGCGAAAGTGACTTGGAGAATTGGCGTCCGAACCTGACTCTGAGCTCGTCAGTTTTGATGTTGCCATTGAGGCTACTGGAGCCGAGCAGTGTATCCAGACAGCTCTTCGTTCGCTTCGGGTTGGGGGCTCGTTTGTTCAGACTGGGTTGGGGAGTGGGAATGTCAATTTTCCTATGGCGACGGTTTTGGAGCATGAGCTCACCCTTAAGGGGTCTTTCCGGTATGGGCCTGGGGATTTTAAGCTAGCATTGGAGATGGTGATGTTGGAGAAGGTTAACTTGAAGCCGCTCATCACCAAGACCGTGCCCTTTAAGAATACCGTCGAAGCCTGGGAGATTGCAAAGAGAGGCGAAGGGATCAAGACATTGATTCGAGTTGGACTTTGATCAAGAGAATCAACTACCATGAATGAAAACTTCAATTATCAACATCAGTAAGCGTCATTGCTTTGTACATTATAGACCTCCATCAATCATATCAAGAAAAAAAACATCCACTACCACGCCCAAGGTCGAGGCTCTGCGACTGCTCTCCGGTCTGTCCGCATCTCCAAGTCCTTTAAACTGCTAATAGACTCATCATCATCATACTCATCACGTAGACCTTGGTTCGTCTCTAATGTACGATCAAGATCATAATGTTCAGTCAAGAGGCTGATCAGCATCGCCACACCCGACACCCCACAGCAGACTATCCAAACCGTGCGTAAACTGTCCGTATACGCTTCCTTGAGATTTGCCTTGTCAGCCCCATCCGCCATCGCCTTGATGACTTGGACCAAGCCCGCCGCATCCTTGCTGTACGCCTCAGCCATAGGAACCATAGCAGGATATCTCGAGATATTGGTGAACATGCGGTTCTGGAAGACCACACCACCGACAGCAACACCAATAGCTTGGCCGAGAGCACGGAAGAAACTAAACATGGCAACTGCTATGGCGAGATTCTCAGGGTCTGTCGAGGCCTGCACTGCATAACCAAGAGATGGGAAGAGGATACCCAGTCCAAGGCCGGGCACGATGTTGAGGAAAATCCAACCAACCATACTAGTATCCACCTTGATCAGACACATCAAACCAAGTCCGACAGTTGAAAAAGCCCATCCGATCCAGATAGCCCACCTGTAACGGCCCGTTACCGTGATCAGGACACCAGCGACCATCCCACTCGGGGCGACAGTGAAAGTCTCAGGGAACAAAGCAACGCCCGATATAATGGGGTTGTATTCCTTCACTGCCTCATAGTACAAAGGGAGATAATATAGGGCACACCATAAAATCAAACCCTGCAAAACACTCCCAATGAACGAAGCGATTGCCGTGCGGTTCTGGAATATCACAGGTGGGACAATCGGATCGGAGGCGAAGTAATACTCGTAGAATCCGAAAACGATCAGCCCGACTCCTCCTATACACAGAGGGGCAAGCGTCTGCCACGAGTCCCAGTCGTATGAGATACCACCCCAGCTGAGGGGAATCAAGAAGGACGACATGCTTCCAACGAATAGGACAGTGCCGAAATAATTGATCCGACGGAGTTTTTCGACTAATGAACTGGGAGCAAGCTTGAGGTTCAAGAATAGGATCACGAGAATTCCGCCAACTCCGATAAATGGGAAGTTGATATAGAAGATCCATCTCTACTCATAGTTAGCATAGATAACCGCGGGAGTTCAATAGACCAACTAACCCAAGACACATTTTCGGAGAATCCACCACCAAGAATAGGCCCCGTCACGGATCCAACACTCCACATTGCGCTGAGAATACCGAAGTACTGACCACGCCATCGTAGAGGGACAAGATCAGTTATAATAACCTCACTTAGAGATATAATGCCACCTCCGCCGACACCTTGAATTGATCGGCCGACCAACATGTAGGTAAAATTATTGGCAATTGCGGCAATTACAGCACCGACACAAAAGAATAGGAGGGAGATCATGATCATAGGTCGACGGCCGAAAATATTCGAGAAGGAGGCAAAACTTGGTTGGAATACTATGATAATGTTAGACGGGTTAATTTTATCGTTCCAACATAATATCAATTACCTGTCGAGCATAGCAGGAACGAAGTTCCACTCCAGAATGCTTCAATGGCCGTTCCATTGAGTTCTTTTGCAATTTCCTGGACCTGGTAAGTTCTAAGACATGGAATTTTCTTGCTGGAGTGCTCACAGGTAAAGCAACAGATAGTGAAGTCCCATCCAAAGCGGCCATCAAGGTGAGAACAGACAAAGTAAAGAAGACAAGGATTCCCCTTCGGCCCAAAGCAAATTTCTCATCGTCGACCTTTCTTTTCCGTTTTATGTCTGAAGATGCTCTGCTCATATTATCGTCATAAAAGGACCTCCCGGGTCTATAGAATGGAAAGTCTGAGTCCGCCATGGCGAAGATCAACGACGGAGATGACAATCTAGCAGTTAGAAGATGAGTGGAACGACAAAAATTGAACTCGCTGGTTGTAGAGCTTCTAGTAGAGAAGAGAAAAAAAGACATTAAAATGGGGATCTGCGTTGTAGATAGATAAATATCATCTAGTAGAACACGTCCACTCCACGCGGAATTCACAAGATCCCATATAAAGTTTAGAATAGGACGATCAATTACTCCGTCGTGATGCAGAAACCTCGACTACCCTGGCTATAACCTGAATATTCATGTTATACGCGGGAAGATTAGTCTCAAGGGTCTCTACGATAGCCCTGGTTGGAGTTCAAATGTGACTGCAGCAGCCCAGTTGGGTTTCCAAGAGTCGGGACAGTTCCTCGCCGTCTCCACTCGGCGCCCGGGTGATTGCACCAGTTTCATGATTATGTATCCTTGATTCCAGTTTGACTCTCTTTCTTCTTTGATACTAGGCAGCCCTCTAGTTGAGATTTCGATGGCCCAGGCCGACTTGGTGGAATCTCAACCGCAGCTATCCCTACATCCGCTGACTTCATTCGAAACTGAAATACATATTGTGTCTTATTATACCATGAGCCTGTACTTTTATTTCGATAAGACTGGATTATTTGACCCATGAATCCTAAAATATCTCGTCTTTACACTTGTGTCGCGCGAATAGGTCATAGTGCTTAGGTACCGCAAGGATTGAAACATGGCTCGGTTGTAAAGATCTGACATCTAGCCATATTTAAATGTCGCCGGATAGAATTTCAATAGCTGGCCCTCGCACCGAATCCTCCATTCTCTGCTGATTGGGAATATAAGACCTGGCAAAAGCTCTCGGCGTCATCCCGCATTCTCTCACATCAAACCTATCAATGCCAATCAATACATTCTCTGAGATCATAAGTGACATATAAATAGCCTACTCACCTCAAAGTCTAGGAAGTTGCTTGCAGTCGCTGCCACTCGCCGCGAACAATCTCCGGTAGTTCATCCAACAGACTGAGCCGTGATGGATTCCATCCCAGGATCTCGCGTGCCCGCTGCGAGCAACCGCGAGAGTTCATCCCCCAACTAAGAGACTCATATCCTGCATAATTCTTGGCGCTGTCGGGGTCAAGTGCCCCGGTCTTTGCCTCAGGTAGGTACCCCAGTTTCACAGCTGCCTCTGCTGTAGCCTGAGCGAGCTCACCCCAGCAGTGTTCCCCGTTCTCGGTAAGGTAATAGGCCTTCGGACCCCAGAGCCCGTCATCAGTTCGGCCTGCAATTGCCGCGTCAATGAGAAGACCGTAGACGTCACTCAGGTCGTGGATGTGGACGTGGTGCGAAATAGACTGGCCGGCGCCGATTATCGGGCCTTTCTGGAGCCGGAGCGTCATATTCGCCAATACGTATACCTGACGTGAGCGTTGGCTAACTGGACCTCGTCCTTTGCCTGCTGGAGATTTAGTGAATGGTTTCTTTTTTGTTGTTGATAAATGCGTACCGTAGATTGTAGGCGGGCAAACGAGTGCCGTCTTGAGCACATGGGCATGCTGGGTTCCAGCATTGAGGACGAGCTGGTCAACATTCCGATGAAATGCGTGATCTGGCAGGTTGAGTAATTCATCCACCCCATCCCAGTCATTATACACGTGATCGCTTCTATTTCCGTATTCGTTTTTGTCGCTGTCCTCCCATGTCAGGATGCCAGTTCCTCCGGTGTGTAGCAAGTAGCCTGGATTTTCCTTGGTGTGGCCAGCTACCAGACCGGCAATAATGGCTTTTGCGGCTCCTACATGATCTGACGCGTCCGCAGTGTCTGTCTTGCAGGTGTAAGCAGGGTCCAGATAGTACCGTACTCCTCACATTAGTGTCAAGTTGGATACTTACGCAGCACGATGTCTGCGGCAGCACTTTCTCGCTCCAGCAAGGCTGAATTGTCCAGGTCTCCGATTACGATGCGGACAAACGGGTACTGGGCCTTCACCCGTTCTGCCTTTTCGGTGCTGCGAACAAGGGCGGAATATGAGAACTCTGGGTGGTTGGCAACCAGCGTGGCTAGGGAGTCGCCGCCGATGTAGCCTGTGACACCGGTGCTGTGATATAGTCAGAGGTGAGCTTTCTAAATTAGGAAACAAGTCTTACATGAATAATTTGGTCATTTTGCGTCCTAAGGGGATCAAACTGGAAGGCTCGACCTCACAGGTTCCCCCAATGTCGAATACTTTGAGCAGAACACGCAAAATATATCGATCCAGACCTTGGAATTTATGTTTTTCGATGTTTTAACTGTTACTTTTCTCATAAAAAAAAGGCATCGTAACCCCGCAGTTCTGCAGGAGACACAGTATCGGATTTATAAGCAGGCATCTTCCTGGACATGAAGACAGACGGCATCTTTGATATGAAATATAAAGATAGGCTTTAGCCGACTATTTCCTACTACTTGGCTGGGGCATTGTCGTTTTTGGCTTTCTCCCTTAATCGTACCCATATGTGGCGCCGCTTTACGAGGGTGCTCAAGGTCCTGGTCACTGTATCAGACACCTCACATGAAAATGGATAATAGTCTTCGTCAACATGTCCTACAAAATTATCAGTTTAATTGCTTAGAGTTAGATATTTTGCTATCGCCATTCTAGTTCGTATCTTAGTTGTGTTAGATGACCACGTAGGAACTTTATATTCATACTTTCAAGGGGCTAGTAAGATCCTAACAAGGAAATAAAGAAGATCCATGAGAATGCAACTCAGAGGCGCATAAGATAATGTTGCTCCCTGAATAATTATGCAAGTTGTTGTATTGTTCCTGTTGAGAGGCTGACGAGGAGAATGGAGACGTCGCTGTGGCCACTGCATATGGGTGCACATCAGGGCTGCACATAAATAATCACTTGGTGAATATTCGTTCAAATACGAATAATGATATTCATAAGAACCTTGGGATAAAATTTGCTTTATTCGATGGATCGGCCGACGATATACCGACACGGCGATCATAGCCTCGTATTCGTACCTATTTCCATTTACGGAATATATGGGAATTTTGTTCAATGTGGCGAACAGTGCCTCTCATTGTATGGCCCTCGGAGTAAAGCCGAAATAACTAGGGGAAGAATATTTATAACAAACTCGTCTTGCTATTTTTCCTTTCTGCTGATAAACGCTAAGCATCATGGGAACGACACTTTTTCAATATTTGGCCGTGGTAGCAGCCCTACTAATTGTCTCCACAGCCGCAACCCCAAACAATGGCGATGGAACCTTCAAGAACCCTTCCGCTCAAGTTCGGCCATTCTTCCGGTACTGGCTGCCAGACGCTAGTGTTGACCCGACAGTCGTAGCGTCTGATATCCGCGCCGCCGCGGAAGTTGGCGCTGGAGGCATCGAGTTCGCTGCTTACTTCGGGTACGGAGGTGAGATTGGAGGAAGCCCACCCGGGTCGGACTGGGTGACATATGGGTTCGGCAGTGTGCCGTTCCAGCATTTATTGCAGGTGGCTTTGGAGGCTGCTAAGGAGAATAGAATACTTGTGGATGTTGCGTTAGGGCCGAACCAAGGGCAGGGTGTACCTGCGTCTTCGGATGATGACGGGATTCAATGGGATTTGGTGAGTGCGGTGCAACCTAGTCCTTGCTGCTTTTTATTTGCTAATCGTTTTCGTGATAGGTGCCATTCGTCCAGCCAGTACCAGTCAATCAGACGAGGGAGCGTATCCCAGGGTGGGGTGAAGGGGAACTTGTCGCTTGTGTCCTTGCCTCAGCGGAAAAGAAGACAAACGTGTCCCTGGGTGATGGATCTGGTTCCTTGGGCGCCACACCGCCACAGGGGTCATACCTCGAGTTGGTTCTAGACGAGACTTCGCTTCAAGACATTACCCACAATGTGTCGCCAGATGGAATCTTCGAAATACCTTTGTCGTTGTCGTCACACGATTTTTATGTCTTCTCCTTCTACCAGAAAAGGACCCTGCATAAAGCCCTCGAGGTGAAGTCTAATAGAACGGATACGATCCTGGCCAATGGCTCGTTTGTGGTGGACCATTTCAGCAAGGAGGGAGCCAGGACAGTGATTGATTACTGGAATGATCACATCCTCACGGAAGAAATACGACAACTTCTAGGAGACGTGGGAAACTACGGTATGTTTCGTCAACCTATGAAACGGAGAAGGCATGTTGACAATAATTTCTAGGTTGGGAGGATAGCATGGAAATTCGATCCAACATATCATGGACACCGAAGCTGCCGGACGTATTGTACGACAAGTTTGGATACCATATCGGGAAATACCTCCCGCTCCTCATGTTCGGTCAGAACAATATCATGGCTCAAACCAGTAACCCCGGGGTGGTGAAAGCGGTCTTCAAGAACAACCAGACAACCGACAGATACATCAACGACTATCGCTCCGTGCTGGCAGACGGGTATGGGAATTACTTGACCACGCTACGAGGATGGCTGAACCAGGACCTTGGACTCCAATACTCAACGCAAGTCTCGTACAACCTGCCTTTGGATGCATCAACGAATATACCATTGGTAGATGCCCCAGAGTGCGAGAGCCTGCAGTGGAAAGACAATATAGATGGGTACCGACAGTTCACAGGTGCTGCATATCTGGCCGGGAAGAATATCGTATCGAACGAGATGGGGGCTGTTATGTCCCGCGCATACTCCCTGACAATACCCGAGCTGCTTCAAAGCGTGAACAAGGCTTTTGCTGGAGGTATCAATAGGGTTGTTCTGCATGGCCAGCCGTATAGTGGGGACTATTACGGCACTACCTGGCCAGGGAGCACGCCATTCCAATATCTATTCGCCGATATGTATTCTCCAAAGCAGCCTTCGTGGATGCATGGGCTTGATGAGGCTATGGGATATATTTCCAGAATGCAATTCGTACTGAGGCAGGGGATTCCCAAATTTGATGTCGCTTTCCTCAATAAGGATTCCGCTACAGACCCCTATTGGGCTACAAAATACGGCCGGGATGACCTTCTTGACGCTGGTAAGCAATACAGTTACAAGTATAAATCACATTTTTACGGACTAATATTCGTACAGGTTATCTATACACATATCTTTCTCCTGATAATCTTGAACTCCCGGAAGCCTCTGTCGACAATGGCATTTTCGCTTCGCAGGGTCCTGGAATCAAAGCAATCATCGTCACGCATGATGCGAACATGACTGTCTCTGCTATCCAGAGGCTGAAAGATTACGCGGCGAAGGGATTGCCCGTCATACTTTCCGGTGGTAGCGCACAGTACTACCCAACCTCGAACGATGGGGGAGTTGAGGCGTTCAGGACAGGCCTTCAAGAGCTGGCCAATGCAAAAAGCGTTCGGACCACAGGGAGCGGCAATATAGCGAAAGCACTCGTCTCGCATGGTGTCTCTCCTCGTATCAGAGTTCAGACAAATGGCACTTGGCATACTGCTTGGCGCGAGGATAAGGATACCCAGGTTGACTATGCCTTCATATTCTGTGACGGAAGTGGTTCTCATGGCAAAATCGGAGTCACAACTGACAAGATCCCTCATTTATTTAATGCCTGGACTGGAGAACGCGAACCACTGGTGCATTACAAGCGTCATGCTGGTGACATTGTCATTCCCCTAACGCTGAAAGCCAACCAAACCACTATACTAGCATTCAGCGCCCAATGTTTGGACGATATATACACACCCTCTATTCATATCGAGTCTGCTCCCAACTCGGTCCTTGGCTACCACCTTGACCACGAAGGCGGAGTCGTTGCCCAACTGGCTCACACATCCAACAAGACTGCCCACAAGTTCATACTGTCCGATAACTCGACTAGAACCATTCCAAAAACATCGGTCATCCCACGCTCATTCTCAATTCGGAACTGGAAACTCACGGCAGAGCGCTGGGAGGCTCCCGGGAACATACAAAATGCCTCTACCATAGCATCATTCCGCAATACAGCGCACCATCTCACCTCTTTGATTTCCTGGACGGAGATCCCCGCCCTCGTCAACGCTTCTGGGATTGGGCATTATAGTTCCCAATTCACTTGGGACCACGGCTACCAGAACGGAATTGGAGCTTACATTACCTTCTCTCATATCCTCCACGCAGTTCAAGTTTTCGTGAACGGGGAAAAGGTGGCACCTATCGACCCAACTACAGGAACTGCAGACATTGGAGCCTATCTGCGGAATGGCGAGAATGAACTGCTGGTTGTCGTTCCGACTACTATGTGGAATAATCTAAGGAGTATCTTCCCTAAAATCACCGAGTCGGGTGCACCTCCAAAGTTAAGTCAGTTGGCAGCATTGATGGGCTTGCCTGATATCGTACCTAATGGACTGGTGGGCGAGGTTTCTATTACGCCGTACCTGTCGTTTGCGCTTGGTATATGAACTGGCACCGTTGGAGAAATATTGGTGGATAATTCAGTTTGAAGCAGAGACAATGTGCACCGTTCTTTAACGTCTGTATCAACATGTACTTCAAGAAAAGATAGACTGTACCGGTTCTTTGCGTAGATGTATAAACCGGCATTGCAGAAATGTCAAAGAGTAGTGCAGTTCATAATGCAGATTCCAATATCGGTTCATCGATTGGGTCGTCGATTCCGGATTGTAGATTTGGTGTTGCGGTCACTAAGGTGATATTCAGAAGGAGGTGAGTGAAATGTGTTTCGACGGGCTTCCTTTTGTCCGGGGAATTATAATAGTATGATCTTTGGTGTGGGGTTATTGTGAATGATTGGATGGTTGGGGAGCGCTCGGGGGCAGATCCTCCGAAAGAATGAACTGGAGCCTAAACTGTGATGTCTGACGTAATTTGAGGGTGTAATTATGGGCAAGCAGGTAGATTTAGCAAGATTAGTGTATTTGTATATGCATTCGTATTCTTAACCTCATCTTGACGGATATATTGGGTGCCCTAAACGAGGAATGATGCACACTGCAGATCAATGTGACAGTAGGTAACAATCAATCTTCGCAACATGATTGTATGGAGTCCTGGACGTATCATTGGTAAAGGAGTCGTGGTATTCATTTAGCCAATGGAGCTCGAATGGCCAATTTTACATTGTTGTCCCGTCAGCTATATGGGGTATATAAGATCAGACGTATCTCGGGAATCTTCGCCCAAACACAAATCGGTCTATCAGTTCACACACTGCCCAAGATGAAGACCAACCCCCTCTTGCACTTTTGCATTCTGTGCATAGCCTTCGCTACCGAGCCCCTACGGTTGTCATTCGCCCTGGCCGAGACAGCAAACAAAACCGCACCGCTGCAGGATATCGTAACATGGGATGAATACTCTGTTCTTGTCCGCGGCGAGCGAGTAATACTCCTATCTGGTGAATTTCAACCATACCGACTACCCTCCCCGGGCCTCTGGCTAGATATCTTCCAGAAGGTGCGCGCGTTAGGGTATTCAGCCGTTTCGTTTTATCTGGACTGGGCACTCCTCGAACATGAGCCCAGCCACGTTCGCATCGAAGGAGTCTTTGACCTGGATAAATTCTTCGACGCTGCCAGCAAAGCAGGTATCTACCTGATTGCCCGCCCCGGGCCATACATTAACGCTGAAGTCTCCGGTGGCGGCTTTCCGGGATGGCTCTCACGCCTGCCTGGGAGGCTGAGGTCAACAGACGAGGACTACCTTGATGCGATTATGCCTTACATCAAGGCTACTGGCGAGAGAATTTCAAAAGGTCAGATAACGAACGGTGGACCTGTGATATTATTCCAGCCGGAAAACGAATATACCCTATGCGTGAACACGACCGGGTACACGCAGATCAACAATATGACCGTCGGTGGCATAGACTCGTCTTGTTTGGACAAGGAATATATGGTATATGTTCAGAAGAAATACCGGGAAGCAGGTATCACAGTTCCATACATCATCAACGATGCTTTCTCTGTCGGCAATTTTGCCCCTGGGTCTGGTGCTGGGGCTGGCGATATCTATAGCTTTGACCATTATCCGTTGGGATGGTCTGTTGCGCGTAAGTGATGCCCCCTTGGCTAACGGAATTACCATTCGTCTGACAGCATTTTACAGCGCTGGACTCATCGGATTGGTCTGCTTTGCTTGATCCATTGCGTATGTACAATTTCACGCTTCATAATAAGATATCCCCTGGATCTCCCGTGGCAATCTCTGAATTTCAGGGAGGGGTGCCGGATCCCTGGTAGGTGCAACATACCCATGAACTATATGCACATCGGCTAAACATTTCTATGTTAGGGGTGGACCTGGAGTGGAACAAGCTGCCGCTCACATCAATTCTGAGTTCGTCCGCGTCTTCTATAAGTTGAACTATGGGTTTCGTGTTACCATCCAAAATCTCTACATGGTTAGCACCCACCCCATATCCCATACCACAAACATAGGTGTCGCTAATCAGAACAGCTATTTGGAGGAACAAACTGGGGCAATCTTGGCCATCCCGGGGGGCACACCTCGTATGATGTTGGGGCAGGAATTTCCGAAAACCGCCTGGTTCATCGCGAGAAATACAGTGAGATGAAGCTGCAAGCCGCTTTCCTACAAGTATCGCCCGCCTACCTGCTCTCCCAGCCCGATAATGGCACATTCGGCGTCTACACTGATACTCATGCCCTTGCGGTCACAAGACTGGCAGGGTCACCGACAGACATTTACATCGTCCGCCACAGCAACGTGACGGCGCTTGATCGTATCTCGTATCGTCTCCATGTTTCGTCCAGTATCGGGAACTTGACACTTCCCCAGACGGGAGGAGAACTCAGTCTGAACGGGCGAGATTCCAAGTTCCATGTGGTAGATTACGATTTCGGCGGTATTAACCTGATATACTCCACAGCAGAGATATTTACCTGGAAGAAGTCGAGCGAGCGAACAGTGCTCGTGCTATACGGAGGTGAAGATGAACTTCATGAATTTGCTCTGCCTGTTAAATTCGGTGCCCACCCCAGGATTGAGGGTAAGGGCGTGAGGGTCCACAACAGGAAGTCAGCAATCGTCGTGCAATGGTCTGTCGAGTCCGGGCACAGAGTTGTCACGTTTGGCGATGACTTGGAGGTCCATCTACTCTGGAGAAACGATGCCTACAATTACTGGGTTCTGGATCTCCCTGCTCCAGAGCCTCTAGGCCTCTACTCCTCACCATCCAGAGCCGACAAATCTGTTATTGTCAAGGCTGGGTACCTACTGCGCAACGCGAGTATTTCCGGCGACACACTTCGTTTAAGTGGCGATATCAACTCTACCACCGAGATCGAAGTGATTTCCGCACCTACCAAAATCACCGGACTTGAATTCAATGGACTTATGATCAAGTCATCGACCAGGTCAGGCCGGACCGTGGGAACTGTCGATTATGATCCACCGTCACTTGATCTTCCCGGCCTGGAATCGCTAGAGTGGAGATACATCGATTCTCTCCCCGAGTTAGGTATCTCCTACGACGACAGTGACTGGACACAATGCAACCACACCAGTACAAACAACCCAAGGACCCTCTCCACCCCAACTTCATTATACGCCGGCGACTACGGATACCACACTGGCTCCTTGTTATACCGCGGATCCTTCATCGCAGATGGCTCCGAATCGTCCGTATATCTGCTGACCGAAGGCGGCTACGCATACGGTCATTCCGTATGGCTGAACTCAACATACCTAGGGTCCTGGGCCGGTATTGACGCAGAAATGTTCCATAACCAGACCCTTTCGTTCCCTGACGCGCTCGAGCCCGGCACTCCGTATGTGTTAACAGTATTAATCGACCACATGGGTCTCGACCTGAACTTCGCTACGAATGTCCAGACAATGAAAGATCCAAGAGGTATTCTGGACTTTGACTGGGGCCGCGACAAATCAGCTATCTCCTGGAAAATTACTGGAAATCTAGGCGGGGAACAATACCACGACCTCAGCCGTGGCCCCCTGAATGAAGGTTCCCTCTACGCCGAACGACAGGGGCTGCATCTACCCGGAACGCCGGTACATGATTGGAAAAGCCACTCGCCCTTGAACGGGCTGTCCAAGTCAGGAGTTGGGTTCTTTGTTACTGAGTTCGATCTCGCCATACCTCATGGATACGATGTGCCTATCAGTGTTGTCTACACGAACTCAACCCGAGATAATTCGTCAACGCCGTATAAATTCCGGTCCCAGCTTTTCGTGAACGGGTGGCAGTTTGGAAAGTACGGTACGTTGAATAAAACTATCTTCGAAACCGTTGCTTTTAACTTTGGCTAACACACTCTAGTGAACCACATTGGACCACAGGCGAGATTCCCGGTCCCCGAGGGTATACTAAATTACAATGGCACCAATACTATTGCCTTGAGTCTGTGGTCAATGGAGACCGGGATCGTAAAGCTAGATGGGATCCAGCTGGAGGCTGATGCAGTTCTGCAAAGCTCATACGCGAAGCCCTCGTTTGTGCAAGCGGAACCGTACAGGAAAAGAGAGGGGGCATATTAGGTTGATGGTTCCACAAATCTTCCATAGTATGCGAGCAAATCACATATTTTTCACATTAAGTAAGCCATGATATCAGAATTACTGGTGCCTAACACAGTTTAAATTGATCGGCCTAAAACTTTCAATCGATCAAATAGGTAATGAGTACGAATACGAGTGGATCATATTTCTCCAGCATCCTATTGGCTTATAAACAAACTAGAGGGCCCACCTGCGGCAGCCCACATGAGATTGAGTCTATCTTGGCTCACTTGCAATCAAATCAGGGCCCCGATAGTCTCGACATGAATGTATGAAGGGATTTTTCTCCTTGCGTGGCAAATCTGTGGACTTATTTTGCAGATCTTTGTATATTTACTAGTTAGCCACCTGATAGTTGAAAAATATTCATTCATTCCCAGTTTCGAAACATGATGGACGAGAGACTGCTAGAAAATGTTGATTGGGTAGAAATCGACAATGCTAGCATTGCTAGATCATCAATATCCAATAAACAGGTCTGTACCTCGAGCCAATTTGATCACAGCTTCAGGAAAGTTCATTACTGATGCCTATTACAGATGACTGCCTCCCACAACACGGTTGAGACCACTCCTAAAGGCTGGCAAGAAAAATGGGACACCTTCTTTCGATGGATGTGTACACCATTAGGCGCATGCATCACAATTTACGGCCTGAATGTGGTCGCATGGGGTGGGATGCTCTTCCTCTTAATGTGCAACGCAGCGCCTGCAATGTGTCATCCAAGTTGCAATAGCCTCGACTCATCACGTCGAATTTGGATTGAGCTCGACTCTCAAATTCTGAACGCCCTATTCTGCATCACTGGATTTGGGTTAGCCCCATGGCGTATCCGTGACCTTTACCAGTGGTCTTTTTGGCGATTGGGCCGGTCGGAAGGGAGTCGACGGAAAGGACTCGACCGCCTGGCTGAAATCCATAAGAACTGGTTCCTGAAGGCCCGAGAGACAAGTTTGCTTCCTCTCAAACTTCAGCTGAATTATCCAGTTGAACAGGCCACGCCAACCCCGTTTTGGAAAATGGATGTTGTGGTGTGGGGTAATTTCCTCAACACAGTCTTTCAGATATGCTTGGCTGTTTGTATGTGGGCATGGAATCGTTTTGACCGGCCGAGTTGGACAACTGGTCTCTTTGTCGGTATCTCTTGTGCTGTTGCTGGAGTCGCTGGGGTTTTGATGTGGTTGGAGAAGAAACGGGTCAAGAAAGCCAGCGAGCACCCCGTGCTCTTCTTTTGATCCCTCGTCCTATGCAACCAAGCCTACCAGGTGTAGGGGGCGGCAATTGTAGCTCTGTAAATCTCCAATCGTGAGGTCACATACTGTGCCCAGTAGAACACTGGCAAGATTCTCCCAGCGTTGTGAGAATCTTGTTTTCCAGTTGATTTAGTATACTTGCATTTCACGATCGCAATGAAATCCTGTTTTTGATGATAACTCTATTATCTCTTACAGAAATCTAATTATTCGCATTGTCTCCATCAGTTTAACGTTGTATATGATAGCTCTACTAGCTTGAGCAACATAAGAATGCTATCTAATTCAACTTCACCCGCAACCATGCAAGTGTGGTCAGAGACTAAGTCTATCTATGCATCCGACGACCATAAAAATCTATCAAATGACCGCACAATCTCTCGGCGCTCTTCATCGGTCATCTGCATCCTGCTTGTTCTATAATACCCATTCTTTAGCCGAGCATTGACAAGGGCCTTGCGACTTTGTGAACGAAAAGCCGCCTCAATACTTTTAGTAATTCCTTGGAAAGGATAAGCCACCAGTCCGATCCCCGCTAAATACATGTCTAAGTCAGCTCTGTTTGGTTGCATTCATGGATGGGTTGAGAGAATTACTTACCAGAAGGGACCTTTGTTGCAAGCCCAATAGTACCCTTGGCAAACCCCTTGACCGCACCCAAAGCACCTTCCTCTTTTGCCCCATTGACAGGCTGTGTAAAAAGACCGGCAAAGCCATCAGTTATACCATCCACAAAATTCCTCCCACCAACGATAGCTCCGGACTTCCAATCCTGGATCGCACCGTAGTCCTTGGGTGTTTCCCCATACAGCCGAGGGACCTGTCGGAATCCTTCTGCAGCAGCATGTGGAATGTCGACTACCACCCCTTTGAAGTATGACCCGGTGAATTTCCCAAAACCTTTCATCGTTGCGCCTGCCATGCTACCGGCAATAGATATCCCGTTTCTCCTTTTATCGGGTCCAGTTTCGGATCCAGGCTCAACGGATGGTGATCGACAATTGTGAGAATTTGGTTCGTCGGCAGCAGATATTCTTGTTGACGAGGTTTCCCGTGAACGCGAGCTGCCAGGGAGTGACGTGACTTGTAAGGATCTGGACGATGGGTTTGGAGAACGACCGCGTTTGTATTCTTTGTATGGGTTGTAAATCATATCAGCAGTCGAGTGCAGCATAGTTGAGCCGGTTATGGTAGCTGCGGCTAACATTCCGGTTATGGGATCCCAGCGGCGATGTTCAATGACGATTGGATTGACGAGATGACTGATGGAACATGAAAGCCGTTGGTTAGTAGGTTCATATAATACCTCGAGTATGGGTACATACAACTGAAGATGTTTTTCATTTATCTTTTGATGCTCAATCAAGATCTGCACAGCTGCATTTGACAGGTTCACGTGGCTTTTGCCTTTTTTGTATCTCCAGACTGCAACCTGGTTAGGCATTAGACTGCACCTCATTTTGTCCAAGGGAAGATGTCGATGGAACGATTCCACGGCTGCGGTTACCCCCGATTCAATCTGCATTTTGAAGGCCACTTTGCGTGCAGCTTCTGTTACCTCTGGGGTGAGGCAAAATTGGATAGCAGCAGTCAGCCTTTCAAAGTTGAGAGATGCAAATGGAATAGGTCTAGGTCCAGCACCGGCTCTAGCAATCATGTTGCCCCAGAAAGGTTGACTAGCAAAATCAGTACCGATAAAATTTCCCAGGTCAAAGAAGGCAGTTGAAAAATTGATAACTTACTCGCCAAAGAAAGGCACGATAGCAGTCGGTCGGCCATTTTTGAGACCACACGCAGTAGTTCCAGCGCCTCCGTGGTGAACTACGGCACTGACATGTTGAAAGAGCCACTCATGTGGGCAGTCATCAATATAGTAGATATTCGGGTTTGGACTTCCAACTAACCCGCTCCAACCCTTTGAAATAATTGCACGTACACCTGCCCTTACCACCGCAAGGACAATGGTGTCTATTAGCTGTTGAGGATTCTCAACCACAATACTACCAAAGCCGATATAGACAGGAGGCGGACCATCTTGTAGGAACTCCCTCAGCTCTGAGGACGGGGTATAAGATGGGGGATCTCTAAAGAAAAATCCACAGACATCTAAACAATTTAGTTTTCATCATTGCAACAAGCGAACAAAGTGATGACATACCAATGTGGCTTGGCCAATCCCGTGGTTTCGGTACAAGGGCAGGAGACCAACAATATGTGTATGGTACTTTCAATGCTTCAGCAAGGCCGGGACCCTCCGTTGGGGGGATAGGCTCCAGATCTATTGAGATCCGCCATCGATTGATCACATCTCCTAGCCTGGATCATCATGTCAGTCGACCAATCCCTATTACTCCATGGGTGAGTTTACCCTTGCCATGTTAACCACTCAACAACTCCATAAGAAACCCAATTTGCAGTTCGAGGATCCATAGAAGAAGAATGTAGATTGGCGAGAGGATGTGGAAACACCTTGGTACTGCTCCAAGGCATGGTAAACATCAGATGGACAGGAATGCTTAGAGCCTGTGCACAATGAACGTGTGCAAAGCTGGGAGGATTGGCGATTATGGCATCTGCAACAAAAGGTTCTTTGGTGATTGGATCGTCTTCAATGCAGGATCTCCAACAGCCATCCAGCATTGTCGCTACCATCGCCTGTTTTCTTTGCACCTCCCCTTCGCGTAGTGTCTTCATTTGTGGGATCAATCCGGGATTCTTGACCATGAATGCCATCAATTCTGCCGGGTCTCCACCGATGGAGAAGAACTCCAATCCTGACTCATGTACGAAATCTGCGAAGACACCGTGGGTGGCAATTCGGACCCGATGTCCACATATTTTTAATGCATTTCCGAGCGCGATGAAAGGTTGCACGTCTCCACGGCTCCCCACAATTTGAATGACAATGTTGAGCTTATATTCACATGAGGTGACTTGCTTGGTAGGGTCGATATAGTCGGGAGGTGGATTATGGATGTCTTCTTGCTGCAAGTCGATGATTTTGGCGAGCGTTCTCGCGATCCTGGATTCGAGGTTCACATCGATTCGGCCGTCTCCTATACGAGTATTAGAACGGACTATCCAATCTTCATTATCACCCATCCATGGATGGATGGTTCGACGTACCTTGCACGTTCCCTGATTCTGCCACGAGTCTACCGTCGGCAACCAATGAATATGGAGGAGGAGCGGGCTCTTCCGCTCTTTCTTTCCTCGTCTCAGAACGTGTGGAAGCTCCCATGTTGTAGAACTCGAAATCGATAAAAAAATATTGTCCAGAATATGGGAAAGTTGAAGTAATGGCAAATAAATGATGAGCTACCTATTTTCGTACTCGTACCATTCGCCAAATAGGGAATAGTGGAACCGAATTAAAGGTTCAAGATTGGGTCCGTGCATCAACGCTAGCCCCTTTCTGGACATGTGATTTTAGCCTTTTTTTATTTTCCCTGGAATTCTAAAAGAAAATTCTCGTTCTTGATACTATTTGGGGCGAGTTCATAGTTTGGAGATTCCCATGTGACAAGACACCGCCAAGTTGAAGGGAGATCGTCTAAGCTTCAAATTCCATACTAATGCAGAGTTCCGAGCTATTGCTCTAGTTATAAATCATTGTGGGTATTATAAAAATCCTAGGATATCTCAACAATATTACCCGCCCATAAAGTATATGGAGTTTCCACTTAGTATGGAAAATTGAACCTGGTTTATGGAGATCGGGACAATGCATATGAAGCAAGTGAAATTAACTTGGCTTGACACCAGAGGACTGGGAATATATATCTCAAAGGACATCTTGGACAAAGCAATGTGTGACGAGAGACATACCGATTAAGACAAAACACACATGTGCTTTAATGAATTCTAAAACATTTGACAAAGCGTTGACTGTGTAGATGAAACGATAGAACTTTATAATAAACAAACTAGACGAGTAAGAGACGGGAGTAGAATTTAGAAGGTTACAGGCCATTCCACCACGTAGTTTGTCCGACCTCAAAGTCAGCTGATAGTGGAATTTCAGCACTAGATCTCCCGACTTGAAGAAGGTAGCGACCACTCTCTTGAATCCAAGCGTTTCTATGCTCATCCCAGAAACTGGTAGCATATTTCGTCTGGATCTTGATAGTTACTGTCTCAGCCTGCTGTGCGCGGAGGAACACTTTTTCAAAACCTTTGAGCTCTTTGGGTGGTCGATTGATACTCGGACTCTGCTGGGAAACATAGACCTGCACAACCTCTGCGCCATCAATATTTCCAGTGTTCTGAACATCGAGAGTGACCAACAGCTCCTCTTCGGTCTTTTGGAGAGAGATCGAGCTCAGCTTGAACGTGGTGTAACTCAGCCCATGGCCAAATGGAAATGCAACTTCCTTTTTGCACTTTTCATAGAAGCGGTAGCCAATAAAGACACCTTCGCCATATTTGGTGCTACCTCTTTCACTTCGGAAGTTCAAAAAGGCAGGATTATCCTCATTGCGGCGCGGGAAGCTAAGCGGCAGCTTGCCACTCGGGTTTACCGCACCAAAGACAACATCTGCGATGGCATTGCCAGTCTCGTTGCCGCCGTACCAGGCGTGAACCAGCGACGAGACATCATTGAGCCATGGCATGGTCACGGGAGTCCCCGACTGTATGATGACAGCTGTGTTGGGATTTGCCGCTACCACCGCAGCAATGAGCTCGTCAGTCCCCGGGGGTAGATCCATGGTAGCCCGATCATAGCCCTCACTTTCCCAATCGCCATTGAGTCCGGCGCAGAGGATGACCTGATCGACCGTCTTGGCCAATGTGACTGCTTTTTGGATTTCGCTCTCGATCTCGATCTTTGGAACACCACCAGCTCGAAGACCACCGGCGCCAAAGGAAGTGGCCCCTGCAACGTTGAAAGTTCTGGTTGGCAGTGTACCAAAAGTGATTTGAATTTTGTACGTCTTTCCCTTCTCCAATTTAATAGTTCCAATTTCTTCGATTGTTCCGGAGCCAAAGAAGCTATCTCCGGGGGTCTGCACAGTTTCGTTGTCGATGACACACTGACCATCGACCATCACTTTGCCAGTCCCCGATACCGAAAGACTAAATTCATACTCTGAAGTCTCTTCTGGTGTGAGTGTGCCATCAAGCTCCAGGTAGAACAGATTGCTCTCGATTTTTGGGTGCGAGTAATCTGCGAGGAAAATGTCTGCTGTGTCGACATATAGCAAGTCGACCATTTCACGATCCTTGTTTGACGCTGGTTCGAGATAGACTTTCATGTCAAATCCTTCTAGACCGTTGCTTGCTTTGGTCAACCGAGATAGAAGAGGCATTTTCTTCCAACCCGGGGCCCCCAGTGCATATTGAATATCTGGGACTTGTGCTCTCAGTCCATCGAGAGGAGTGGTCGCATAATATGGCTTGAGTGATGCGGAGCCACCGCCGCAATATGCCGCAAAATCGGCGTTTGGACCGATAACAGCGGTTGTCTTGTTCTTCTTGAATGGCAGAATATCGTGTTCATTCTTGAGCAACACCAGACTTGACGAGGCCAGAGAGCGAAGCAACGATGATGTCTCGGGGGTATCCGCAGTCAATTCTTCCGCATTTTCTGGAATGCCAAGAGGGATCACTTTCTTCACAAGCTTCAACACTTCTCTCACACATAGGTCAAGCTCAAAGGGTAGTAGTTTACCACATCCCAGAGCTTGCTTCACTAGTGTACCACGCATGTATGATGGTCCTGGCATCTCCAAGTCAAGGCCTGCTTGGATTGACTCGGCAGTGGAATAAACTCCAAACCTAAGTGCTGTCAGCCCACAGTTCATAGTATATGTGGCTGTTTCAAGCATGGATATATGCGTACCAATCAGACATCACCATTCCGTCGAAACCCCATTCCTTCCGCAAAATGTCATTAATGAGAACCTTGCTCTCACTTGCATGTGTTCCGTTGATTTTGTTGTACGCTGTCATGTAACACATCGGCTTTGCGTCTCTTTGCGCGATTTGGAATGGCATAAGATAAATCTCTCGCAAAGCCTGCTCCGATACCTGAGCATCCACAGACTGTCGCTCATGCTCCTGGTCATTGCAAACAAAATGCTTGAGGGTAGCCGCTACTCCCGTAGACTGAATACCGGCAATGGTCGCAGCACTCATGTTTCCAGCCAAAACTGGATCCTCACTGAAAGACTCGAAACCTCTGCCGCCCAGTGGAGATCGCTGCATATTGGTTGTCGGTCCCAATATAACCGATGCTCCTTTGGCAATAGCCTCTTGGCCTTGTAGCTCGCCACCTTTCTGGACTAGTGCGGTGTCCCAGGTAGCTGCAATGCCGGTTCCTAGTTGCAAATTAGCAATCGTGAGAAATGCAGAGATGCATACTCACCACATGGAAAGCAGGCCGCAGGAACACCATTGAAAAACTTGGTTCCTCTCACACCATTGGGTCCATCGGTTAGACGAATCGAAGGGATACCAAGGCGAGGTATGGGTGCAGTGTGCCAAGGGTCGCTGCCGGAGATCAGAGCTATCTTCTCGTCGACATTCAGTAGAGCGAGGACATGCTCCACGTCAAAGTCAGGATGGACCGTTTTTTGAACATTCACGGCATTTGTAAATTGTCGAGTCATGATGAAGTTTGGAAGAGAAGTCGTGACGGATAATGGCTGAGTGTTTGAAGAAAAAGCCGTTCTTGAGCGTAGGAAGTGCAGGCGATTCCATTATATTTGATAAATTGGACAGCAACCACCTATCAACACTTTGCAAGTCCTTTTTCGTTGTCCTTTCGATTTGGAATGGCAAGCAAGAGTGTCTGTCACTCGGTATATTTTCCCCCGACCGGCTAAACTCCGGGATTCCGCGGGTCATTCACTCACATATGAGACATTCCTTTCCCACAGTCATTCTATCTAGTCTTCCGGAATTCCGCTGACTTCCTACCTTGTTCCCTGCATTGCATTTTGAGCCCTGCACTTCGTCATCGTGCATGGCTAGGATTGATTCAGACATCCTAAACACCCCACCCTCAGATCCACTGAAGAAATGCCGACAGAGGAAACCTGCAACCCCCGGAAAAGGCAGCGACAGGAAAATAATGAAAGACCCTCGTACCCGCGGAAGCGGGCAGTACAAGCATGTCACACCTGTCGACAGAAACGAATTAAGTGCGACAATGAAAAGCCCGTGTGTGGCTCTTGTGTGGGATTGGCGATGCCGTGCATTTACCGAGAAAATGACAAATCCACGTAATTCATGAACCCCCAGCTAAGGAAGAGAAAATTTGCTAAGCAAGAATGATAGGTTTGACCCGGCCAGCATTCTCATCTTGCAACGCTTAGACACTCTGGAAGAATTGGTCCGTAGATCCACGTTGAGTCCCGGCTCTCTACCAGCAACACCAGACCCATCTTTAGCGCAGGGGACACTACAAAATCAGCTATCGCCGCCCGCAGAAGGGAGACTGCAAGCTCTGGAGAGGACGGAATCATCAACATTGTATCATATCAATGTCGAGAGTATTTTGAGTTGGCCAGTCTTTCAAACTTGCAATATTGCACAAAAACACGATCTAAGGGCTTTACTTCAACAACCAAACGAAATTCCAGAACAGCATTATTTGCCTGTCTCTTTGGAGTTCGAAAATGGCGGAGCCAGACAGCTATTGCAACGGTTCATCAGACATGTTCATATTTACAACCCCGTCTTGGAAATTGGCAAAGTGCAGGAGTATATGAGAGATACTCTTTTCGATGGTCTGGGTTGGGATGCTAAGTCATGTTTACTTGTCAGTAAATCTGAAGGCATTTGTCATAGGCTCTGCTCACTCCCATCAGCTCTTGATATATGCACTAGGAACCATCTCCGGTCCTCCTGACAGCCAGTCCTCATCCCCATCTTCATCTTTGGACATCCGTCAATCAGAGGAATTCAAGAAAGCAGAAGCATACTTTCTTGCAGCCAGAAAGCGGATGGGTGTATTACTTGGCGGGAGTGGTATAATCGAAGCACAGTGCTTTTTTCTTGCAGGTGTGTATTTGATGGCAACACTTCGACCATTTCAGGCTTGGTCGATGTTTGTCCAGGCTCTAGTCTGCTGTGAAGGGTTCAACAGTCCCATACCTCCGAGTGATGCCAATCATGATGAGAAACATACTCTACGAGAAAGTATATATTGGACATGTTTCAAGTCAGAATTGTCAGTTGTGATCTCGAACCAAATTCAAACATCAGACTAACCATGAATCTACAGAGAACTTCGATTGGAACTGGGTGTTGGAAAGACCAGCTGCCTGGATCTGACATATCCCGCCCTCTTCCCTTCTCCACCCAAAGATCTTGAAATCCAGGGGGAGACCGTCTGGTATTTCTATCTGGCTGAGATAGCTCTACGCCGGTTGGGTAACCGAGTTTTGAACTATGTCTATAACTGTAAGCCGTTTGGAAAATCGGCTGAATTAGAGACAACTAGGGAGTTCGAAGGACAAACACACGGGTTGTATGTTTGCTCTTATTTCTCATTTTCCCTTTTGATTTACTGATTTCTTCTTCTATCTAGACTGAACTCGCTCCCAGGACTGCTAAAGCCTGATACACCGAGCGAAGAAGCGCAAGCTAAAGACGAAGAACACTCCGCTTTGCGTTTTATCTTGAAGGGTCATGCAATCGACTGCTTCGAGATGGTTTACTGGCCATTTATCTTCGATGCCATTCACGAAGGTTTGCCTTGCGATCCAGAGCTGGTAGAATTTACACGAAAGGGGTTACATATCTGTGCGTCTCGAATTGGAAATAACAAGGCTGGGTTCTACTATCGCCACCATGGAACGTGGCTGATGTTGCGGTCCTGTACACGTAGTGCCTTGGTTTTGTGTGGTGCAGCTCGTCGGGGCCTCGTTACTTTACTTCCTCCCCGTTGGAAGAATGGTGTTGAACAGGTGATGCAAATGCTGAGATATTGGAGTCTTGAGGCGAATGACATCGCTAGTCAGTTAGAGATACTCGAGGATATGATCAAAGACATTCCAGAAGACTGTTAGATTGTTGTGAACTAAGTTTCTTTCCCGGTGGTTGATTTCATTGTGTACAAAAAGATATGCGCGACACGGCCTTCCTATATGGAAGCGTAGTTATTACACGAAATCAATGGAATAGGTAAATCTAGTGTTGTGGACTTAATCATTTGGCATTCAAAGTTAGGTGAATATCTTCACCACCATCCATCATCTCGTCATGTCCATCTGGAAAGACCACTCGAATGGGCAAGTTTGCAGCCTCCCCGTTGTCCATTTTCAATGATAATGAAACTTTGATAGTATCTCCCTCGCGTTTCCAATGAACATGTGCAATGCCAGATGAGCCATAGGCCCCAAAGGGAACTGTGGCATTGAGTGTCGGGAACAAACCAACCCGTGGATGGAAGGTCATATTCCTCCATCCTGGTGTACCCATTCGAACACCAGCAACCTCAGTCATGAACTCGTATATCGGCGAGCTTCCCCATGCATGACAATCCGATCGTTGGAAGACTGTATCTTCCAACCAGGTGTTAAGGTTCTGCGACAACTGGGTTTTCCATGGCCCCCAAAATTGGTGGAAGCGTTCGTCATAAAGACTACCTCCGACCATTGACATAGCACGAAGCGCATAAAAGGACATGGCTGTTGACGCTGGTGTAAAATCCCTAGCACCAGACACTGCAGTGCATTCGGAGATGATATCATAAGCCAAATCGCCTGTAGCGGCACCGGATAGCACCGCCCAAACCTGACCGTGCTGGCTATAATTATTGTCACCAGCTGCCTCTGAGGCTAATCCGTCTGTGAAGAAGTGACCATCAAAGCAGTGGGCCTTCAGCGCAAGCTGTGTTGCATTGGCTCGCATTTGGTATTCACTAGCAACTCCTGGGCGACCCGCAGAAAGCAAAACTGTTGATATCCGCTTCAGGGTGTATGAATACAACATGTTGGTATACGATGCAAAGCCAGACCTTTCAGCCGCTGGTGGAATTCCGAGTGGCTTCCATGAGTCCGCCCAATCCACAAAGTCCCATTGCAGTAAGCTATCAGACATACGAATCAGGCCGAGCGTAGGGTCGATTCGACGAGCAAACGACTCCAACACGCCGTCGCACACGGGCAAGAACTGACGAACAAATTCGGCGTCATTGAAGTATTCGAAATGATCGCTTATCATGCAGATCCAAAACAGGGAGAAATGAGGAATTAGCTGAAGTTGGTGAGCTGGCGCGCGGCTTGCTGTGAGTCCAACTTCTGGCGAGTATGAGTTGTGAAGTTGGATGATTGCTTGGCGTGCTAGGCGATCATCGCCTGAGCAACAGTATGTGAAAAGGGACGAGCTCCTGGTGTCCATTGCATATTGAAGTTGCTCATAGAAAGGACAATCCTCATAACAATCATGCATGCAATTTGAGAGGGTTCGAATGCTTGTCGTCCACATTTTCCGGTAGACATTATCAACGGATAAAACGTCAAAATCTGCAAGCACATGCAGGGGGTATTTGGTCGTAGTTATGTCGATGCGCTTCATGGTGAGATCTGATAGCTCTGATACACTGATGTCCAATGCCAGGAATCGAAATGTGCGAAAGTGAAACGGTGCAAAGACATCCTCATCAGAATAGTTTGAGTTGTAGCTCAGTGTGCCCCCGAGCTTTTGTTCGGCGATCCCAGGGATCGTATACTCGTCTGTTGGTCCGACGAGTTTCTTCCTGGTATCACGGCGGTCGCCCTTCCTTCTAACCCACGGGACAGTCTCGGGTTCGTCTTCATAGCACTCGGAGTAGGTCACTTTCATCATACTACCGGCATGTTCAGGCCACTTGAAACGAAAGTAAAGCAGTGCAGTGGTATGGTTCTCAAGTTCCAGTTCTAGATGATGCCGACTTCCAGCTGGAAGAAGAATTCCCTCGGAAATGGTATCATCTGAACCGAGTAAAGCTTGTTCCCAGTCTGCTCGAGACCGGTTGCTTTCAATCTTGTGAATCGACTTGAATGTCACTGACTCATATTGAGGAAATGGTATCAGTCGAGGAGAAAGTTTCCATGGGGCTGAAAGACCGTGGGAGGTGGGAAAGACTAAAGGTTTGGCCGGGACCCAGTTTGGTTGGGTCATATGACCGACTTTCTCGTAGACATGTAAGAATGCGTCCTCTGAAATGTCTGTGGGTAGGATGGTTGATTCATCAAGAGCCGTTTCCCAGCTGTCGTCGGTCTGGACATTGATGGCCAGATCCAAATCTGAGCAGGCGTTGCGGAGGAGAAGACCTGGCACATGTAATCGTGGAAAACTGGTTGCGTGTGCCGTGGCATGGTACAATCGCAGCACTCTAACATTGATGGTGTTGACACCCAATCTCAAGTAAGGTTGAATGTCTAGCTCGTCATAAAACCAGAGATGCTGGTCCCCTTTCACGGGACCGACAGATACAAATTCGGAATTTACATAGAGTTTATATTTCGTGTCGGCGGTGATGTGAATGTGTACTGGCTTTGAGAGGCTCTCCGTCAGGGTGAATCTCTTGCGAAAGTGAACAAATGCTCCAGCCGAGTCCGTTGACTGCTCTGTCCATTCGGGGTGCCATATCCACATAGACATGATTGAAGGGATCAAAATAAGAAAAATAAAAAGACAAGCGGGATTGTCATCTGACGCCGTTTCAATGTGGCTTGCGCGTCACAACCTAAGATGATATATCCTTCAACATGTTATATGTACCCAAGGGTTAATCGAGAGAAAAGAAATCTGCCATCAAATACCCGGGATTCCGCGGGGTGCGGACGTTGGCCGAACCCCTTGGCGAGCCGAGATTGACCCGGGACTCCGCGATATCGGTTTACCCTTTCGCCTATCCTTACACTATTTTCGCTCTCTATTTCCCCGGCTTCTCGCCAAATTCTTCCCCCACAACTGAGAACCCCGGGGTACCAGAGAAATTGGCCCAGAACGACAACGTGGATCACCATATCATGGCTTCTATCTAGATGGAAAAAAAAGGGAGGATACATATAAAGTGTCCTCCGGATCTCCCCACAGCATCTTAGTTTACTCAACGGTTCTTCTGTACAAGCAATCGTTTTTGAAAATCGGCTTCCCTTTGAGGGAGCATCTTCGCCTGAATGTCTTCTTCTTCTAGGGCCGTGATGCCCGAGAGCAGCGTGGACGTGGTCCACTGGTGGAGGCACAAGAATTTACGTTCACTGAATCTTCTCATGATGTTTCCACTGCTGTCTCTTTTTACTCAGGGGTACGCTTACAAACAGTCTTCTAGCGAGGAATTGAACCCATTTCTTGTCTTTTGGAAGTTGACTAACCTATGCCAATGATAGCTTTGACGGGTCGATGATGAATGGGCTCCAGGCAGTGGAAAGTTGGCGCAGCTATTTTGGAGAACCGAAAGGAGCTACCCTCGGTTTATTCAATGCTGCCTATCCAATCGGTGGCCTGGTGGCTATTCCGTTCATATCATTTGTGTGTGATGGTTTTGGTCGACGTGCTGGCCTTGCCCTTGGTGCAATTATCTGCTGCATTGGAGCAGCACTCCAAGGCGGTGCCCAGAACCTCGAAATGTTCGTGATTGCTCGTGGAATTCTAGGCTGCGGAACAGTCTTCCTTGGGTCATCTGGCGCCCCATTGATCACAGAGATTGCACACCCAGCGCACCGAGCTACAGCGACAGCTATGTTCAACACAACCTACGCCCTTGGAGCAATTGTTGCGGCCTGGACGACCTTTGGCACATTTCGCATCGATGGCAGCGCTGCGTGGCGAATTCCCTCCGCCCTTCAGGGCCTTCCGTCCCTTGTCCAACTTCTGGGGTTATACTTTGTCCCAGAGAGCCCACGTTGGCTTATATCCAAGGATAGAAGCAATGAAGCACTTGAAATCCTTGCTAAATACCACGGAGAAGGCAACAAGGACGATCCGCTCGTTCGTTTCGAATTCAACGACATCCAAGAGGCTCTCCAATATGAACACAGTGTGAACAAAGCTAGCTGGATTCAGAGCTATTTGCAATTTACTCGCTCTGCTGGAAATCGGAAGCGCTTGTTTATTCTGTTATGGAGCGCGTGTTTCGCTCAGGTATGTGCCCCCGACCAAGATTTGTGATATATATGTTGAAGCTAATATCGGGGCTTGTACCCCTTGTATCAGATGTCGGGCAATGCTTTTATTTCATATTACCTCTCGCCAGTTCTCTCGAGTGTGGGATTGACATCCAGTCTCGAGCAAACCTTGATTAATGCAACCCAGCAGATGCTTTCGTGGTTTTCCTCGTTATACTTCGCCACTCTTCCCAACAAGCTTGGACGTCGAGTTCTATTCCTCGGATCAGGAACGAGCATCTTCTTTTGTCTCATTGGTATCACCATTGGCAGTGCTATTTTCGCCCAAGATTCTTCAAACAAAGCCGCAGGTGGTGCAGTGGTTGCCTTCCTCTACCTCTTTTCGCCATGTTATAATTTTGGATTGAACGGCAATCTCGGTCTCTATATTGCGGAGACCCTGCCTTTCCATCTTCGCATGAGAGGTCAAGCTTTGTTTCAACTTTTCTCCACTTCCTTCACCCTCCTCGCGGCCTACGCGTTTCCTATTGGGCTTCAAAACATCGCATGGAAGTTCTATATCATCTTTATCCCGTGGGTGGCCATCGAGTTTATTGTAGTTTACTTCGTCTACCCGGAAACCAAGGGATACTCACTCGAGGAAATCGCGATAATCTTTGATGGAGACGGCGCGCCTCGTCTAGGGGATGATCTATGTGTGGATGGCAAGGATGTTATTGATGTTGAACACTCTGAAATTGTTAGCAAATAGCTTCTTCGTTCTCGCTAAACAACGGGCTTATTGCCAGTTTTTCAGATGTGGAGGAGACGGCACATGGAATTCCCAAGCGATTCCCAATTCGGAAATATCCCCCGAGTCTCGGATTTAACAACTTCGCTCGTTCACAGCTATCTATCCTACTACTGAAATTTCTTCGTAATGGTCACCCCGTAATATATGTCCTACAAGCACAGTTGAGCAGAGCTTGATCAAATATTAATCAATCACCATAGCTACAGTACTAAGCACAATTGGGTGGCTCAATATCAAGCCAAGTCCCATAACGCCTCAATCCCTCATGTGGAGTTTATTTCAACCAATAGCTTCCTTGACGGCTTTGTATTATCCCCCAAGTCTAACACCCCAGTCCCTATCAGTATACGTAAATGATGTGTCGCGTTCCGAGGAGAATTTGTCCTCGGAGAAAGCCCTGCAACCCTTATCGACTGGTTGGATCAAAACTTTCCATTGCTAATAGTTTACCTTAATATTCATTCCGCGGGCTTTAGTGCATACAACCGCCCCTGCAAATGCTACTCAATGCTCTTCGGATTGCCTAATTCGATTGCCTAATCTCCCCCTCTAGCCAATTCGGGTATGCATCATGACCCTACCAGAGTAATAGAAAGCCCCGCTTGCTATGAAATCTTCCCTGTCTATATGGTGGGGTCTGGAAATACTGTGGATATGTTGATCAAACTCGTCCGCCCTGGATATCGTAGATCTTAGCTAGTTATGGATCTACCTTCGTGGTCTTGGGTGCGACGTTTGCTTATCTAGCTTGTCTCCACTGCCTATATATTCGTGTGACTTAATACGAGGTGTGTTCCCGATAAATAAACAAACGTGGGCCCCGTGGTGACATCTTGTTCTGGAATCGAAGGTTGAAGACTGTCCTTCACAACCAACACGCCTTGGCCATTTGAAGTGCCATCATACCACATTGGCCCACAATGTCGAGCGATGATGATCACATCAGACCCGCTAGAAACTTTGAGGCACAAAGTGCATTTGCGTCTACCCTAGTGAATGATGTTGAAAAAGCAGGGCCATCTAAGATAAGCGAAGCGCCCGAAAAACAACACAAAAGCCTCTTCGGGGTTGAAATCGAAACCCCCAAGGTCCATCCTGGAAGCGATGCCGTCTTCGCGGCAAAGGCCCAGCTCTTGAACCAAGCGCTGCTGGACATGGGAATGGGGATATATCAATGGATGCTTTTCTTGATGACCGGCGTTGGCTGGTTTCTTGATAGTGTAAGTTCTCGTATCATACAAAGAAAGTCTCCCTGGGTACTAATTAAGTTCGTTCAATGGTAGTTCTGGATCATGTCTTTCATAGTCATTGCTCCTTCATCTGGAAATGAAGCTCAGTTCTTCTTTCCCGGTGACAACACCGATTACCTCTTCATCAGCTTATTTGTCGGTCTCACTGTCGGCGGTACAGCTTGGCCCATGATGTCGGATACACTGGGTAGGAAGTGGATGTTCACTAGCACCATCGTGTTGATGGGGATGGGTGGTCTAGTCGGTGCGGGCTTGCCTTCCTTCACAGGTCTATGTGTCGTAGGCTGCGTTGTCGGATTTGCTGTTGCTGGGAACCAAGCTGTTGACGCAATGATTCTGCTGGAATCGCTGCCTGCGTCACATCAATACTTGGTCGCCTTGCAGGGTGTATTCTGGGGCTTGGGACAATTGGTTGCCGCTGCAGTGGGATGGTAAGCAATAGCTAGATCATTTATTGGAAAACATCACTAAACTATATGTAGGGCTTTCATCGCTCTATACACATGTGGCACCGGCCCGGACGAAGTGAGCACTTCTCAATCGATGGCCCACAAGCGCGCCCTCGGCCATTCAAGCAGCGCCAGCTCCTCATCTGACAGCTCCTCGTCCTGTCACTACGTCAGCAACAAAGGCTGGCGCTACGTATGGTGGACCTTCGGGTGCATGACTCTCTTCCTGTATCTGTGTCGTTTCGCATTGAACCTACACGAAACACCAAAGTTCCTCCTCTCACGTCGCCGCGATGCAGAAACAACCCAGCTCGTCAAGGATATTGCGCTTCACAACAAGCGCCAGACATGGCTTACGGAAGCATCGTTTGCACGGATTGATTCCACAGTCGACGGTACCGAAGCTGAACTGCGCACAAAATCCCGACCTCAAGGCCTTGTTTCTTCCCTCAATATTCATGGCACAGTGTCTCTTGTCCTGCTGTGGAGTGTGATGGGTTTAACCTTCGTCCTTCACCAAACTTATATCAGTAATTATCTCGCGGCGCGTGGTGTAGCCCAAGTCAACGCGACAACAGCCTCGAGATCATACCTTTACAGTCGGTACATATATGTTGCGCTCTGTGGTATCCCCGGCCCGCTCGTGGCAGCAATTTTGGTTGAAGTGAAAGGCCTGGGACGCAAGCGCACCGGAGCTGGGATTGCTATTTTGACTGGGCTGTTTATGCTTCTCGCTACCTTAGCCAAGTCTCGCAGTGCTACGCTGGCCTTTGAATGCATCATCAGCTTCCTGCGCTTTGCTGGCATAGCTACGCTGACCCTTTATACTGTTGAGGTTGTGCCGACTACAGTGCGTGGATATAGTCTGGGTGTGATGGGATTCTTTTGGGGAGTGTTTGGCTTGATTGCTCATATTATTACCACTTTTGATAACACTGCGGTTTCGGGCGGAGGTCCGGTCTGGTTCTGCGGTGCAGTTTGGATTCTCATGGCTGGTGCGTGGTTGGCACTGCCGATCGAAACTCAAGCAAGAGCAGCGGCGTAGACAACCCATATATACAGGGTCATATTTGCCTTGTGCATTCCAATATGACGGCTCAAAAAAATACCCCTTCGTTGCTTTTTCTATAACTTTTATTGTGGTTCTGAATGCAATGTTCAGACCGTATACGTGATACGTTCCTTTGACAAGTTAAGGGCGGTGTCGATTATCTGCATACTCTCAGTTTTGTCCATGAGGATATTAATCCAGACAATGTCATGTTTGCAAATGAACAAAGTGATACACCAGTCATCATCGACTTCGATTCGTGCGCCTTGAGGGGATATCCACTCCCAAGCAAGCGGGGCGGATTGCCGGGAGGAAGCCGAGCTACGGAGTTTGAGAATGAAGATTTTGCTTTGGAGTCGCTCCAGAAGGAAATTTATGAAAGAATGCTAGTTTTGAAAATCCTCGGAATACTCTATTACATTTTATCCGATCACTCTAATTTCTCTTGTCCCATAGGCGATCGAATCATCATCACCAGCACATAGTCGGGGTATGGTGAAAAGGTACCAACTTCCCGGAACCCATATTTCGCATACAATGGTCTCCCAACCGGAGATGCACCCAGATAAACCTCCACACCTTCAGCATCAGCGCGCGTGAGACCCCATTTGAGGAGCTTCGAGCCAAGTCCCTTGCCCTGGTAGGAAGGGTGGACACCCAGCATATCCAGATCTATGCATGGCTGTTAGTGGCTGTTTTATTCGTATTCTTTCGTGGAATAAGGAGCAAGCATATCTTGAAGTTTGAAAGTTTGAAACGAAATAAAAATCCAAGAAAGGGGGTTGGGGGGACATACAATAATGAGGCCTCTCCCCCATCCACTTTTCATGTGCGGCTTCCATACCCCAGAAAAACCGATCGCAAAGCTCCTTATCGCTACTAGGAGGCCACACGATCTGCTCCTCGTGTCGATCGTGATCGACGGGTGCGGGACGCTTCCATTTGGCGAACGCGACAATGCGGCCACTTTCCGATCCTTCCGTCACCTTGAAGAATATCTCATTGGACTCGCCTGCAATTGAGCGGGTGATTGCCGTGCTGAAAGCTCTCTCCCACCATTCTACCCCGTCCGGCGTGTTTGGGAACATGGCCGTGTCGACATCGCTACGGAAGGTGGCGTAGAACACTTGCGTGAGCCCGGGCGCGTCGGCGGGAGTCGCGGGATAAACCTCCAGTGACATTTTGGGTTGAAAACTTGTACGCGATAATGGATACGATATCCGATGGGTAAGTTGTGTATTGTGGAATTTTTGGAGGAAATTGGGAGATCTTGGTGGGGGTGGAGGCTAGGTGGATTACCCGAATACTAGTACGTAGTAGCTCTACAAATACCGCGTACAAAAATGAAGGTATGATCCCTTTGACGGCAATGGCTGTGTATTGCACAGTGAAGGAATATTATACCACGTGGTAACTTCGGTGTCAAGGCGTGAACGGGTGATTTGTGCTTAACAATCTTAGGAATATTAGGCGCCTGCTATTTGACTGTCAGACTATGAATATGTTCCATGGGAGCTAACGAGGGAGTGAAAGTTGCACGTTTATATACTGTTCTTGACTAAGTGATTCTACATATTTTTGGTGTGATATTTGAATAGCTTCATAATCGTGCCAAGCCCACTTCCCGTGTTGGCATGCAAGGTTCAATTTTGCTTATATGTGAATGACTATAAATTTGTTTCCTCGCCGGGCTTATCCAAGATGGCCAAAGGTACGTTTCCAGCTTGAGAACAATGCCTAAAAGACATATCTGAATCCCTTGTTCTTTAGATCTGTGGCATCGACCAGCTGTGTCTGAGCAACGTCATGTTTCTCATGGTCCTCCGACACTGTCTCCATGCGCTGCTTGTCGCGTCTAATATTTGTCCAACGCAGATAGAACAAAAGCGCAAACCCGTCAATCACACATATAATTAAACAAATAATGATAGCCAGGAATCCACTCTACCGTATGATTAATAACGCACCCAGTAGGGGATTAAAACAGAGTCAAAAACATACCTGATATTTTGGCGCTTCTCTTTCGAAAAAGAGCTGCGGGCCGATGATATTGCCGGTGCAGTACATGATGAAGTAAATTGCACCGACGGTAGCTTTCTTTGTAAAGCCACCTACGTTGGAGCTGATCATTGCCATCGAAATCGGCATTGTAGCTGAGTAGATTCCCATGAGAAGTAGGCCTGCATATTGGGAACCCAGAGTGTCGGTGGCATAGATGAGAGCACTGCCAATGATACTGTTCGAGATATTAGCATCTTGTGAGTTGTTTACTTTACTTTGAAAAGGAAAGTATTGTCACCTTATCATGTAGCATCCGACCATAACGAGACACCGGCTATTGGGCACCTTTGATGAAATGATACCTCTAAGGGCCTATATCAGCAAAACCCATATATAATGCCTCAAGGAACTTACGACACCAACACGAAGGTGAAGACAATCACACCACCTGGTATACCGAGCAACAGTGTATTGAAAGTTGAAAAGCCGAACCCTCGTAGGACCAATCCGTTGAACTGCAATATATCAGCCCGAATCACCTTGAATATGGAGCATATCACGATTGACTGACCGTTGTGAAACCACCGTTTGGAATATTGCCAGCCAATATCAAGATTGCAAGCAACCAAGTCTTGACATCCGTAAATGCTTCCATAATCTGCGAGTTATCAATGGTCGAATTTTTGAACCCAGTCTGATTTGCCTTGATTCGTTCTGTTGCAATGAGCTTTTCCTCTTCGGTGAGGAAACTCGCAGAAGTAGGCGAATCCGGGAGTCTGAAGAGCATGACAATTCCCAATAGGAATGTAACGATTCCAAAGATGATGAATAGCCACTGCAAGGTATGAGTAATGATGACTAGGGACTAGATCCTTGGAGATTTTTTCAAGCTCACCTGCCATGCCTTGAGACTATTGTCAATCTGCAGTATTCCAACAGCGATCAAGTTTCCAAAGATCGTAGATAAGGCATTTCCGCAAAACCAGATACCATGACGAAGTGGCTGTTCAGATGTTCTGTACCAAAGCGAAGTGATCAGTGTAAAGCCTGGAGAGAGGCTTGCTTCTGTACACCCGAGAAAGAAACGTGCCACCATCAGACCAGCAAAGTTCGTAGTAGCTGCATGACAGGCCAGAACGATGGCCCACAAAATACTATATTTTTGTTAGACCTCATGACCGGTCAAAAAGAAGATAGACTACCAACAAGACCGTAGAAAGATATTTGCCGAGTGGGAACTTGACCATCAACAAAGATGCTGGGTACCTGGTAGTTATCAGCCACAATGCAGGATCGTCATCAGGGAAGGGATTATTTACGAGAAGAACAAGTATCCGAAGTAGAATATGCTAGATGACCAATTATACTGGGAGCCAACCAGATGAAGGTCCTCTCGAATACTCATAAGGGAGGTGTAGTTCAATGTCTGCTTATCCAGAAAAGCCATCATATAGGCGATCAGCATGATTGGAAGAACCCTAGACAAAAGTCATTAGCGGAGCTCCAAGGGAAATTTCTGCCTTCTCAAAAAGCTCACATCAAATCAATTTTCCGAACTAGCTTTTTCTCTTCGCTGGCAGAAAATTGGAACGAAGACTTCAGGGCGCCATTTTCAACACTTTGGCCATCCAGCTTCTCATCGTACAGCGGCTCGTTCTTGATTGAGTCTTTTGACATTGTGAAAAGGATTTTAAGCAAGAAGAAGTTGTAAATCGAAGAAGAACTGAATGGATGTCCTGTGCGGTAACAACTTGTCTATTTATATGGAAGACATGGTTCGCATATGCTATACTTTGCTTTGATACGAAGATAAAGCTTTCCCCGCAAATTTTTAAATTTGGATAACAGAAGGCTGAGACATCTTCTCGCATCTTCTGATTGGCTGTTTCGGCAAACTTGTAAAGCCTTGGCATATCTACTGAGGACCGGAAAGATACCAAGAACAGCTGCCGAAGCTTTATATCCGATATCGCGTATCTGATTGGTCCTCTGGTTGTAGGTCATTTCCCCAGATAACAAGCACTCCTGTCTCGATCTACCACGAGGGGCATACTTATCAGGAGTGCAATGTGTTCAGCAAAGGCATTTCGTATACGATATCCGAAAGATTCCGACTTCATGTTGTTAGCACAGTGTTACTGCCTCGGGTAGATAGGATATCTGCTCCTCGACTAGCTGATTCTCTTCCTCTCTTTCTATCTCTCTATCTCTCCTAGCAATGAACTCAATACAATATAGCGTTTCTCTCTCACTTTGTGGCTCTTACATTAGTTCTTGAAAGATAGTAATAAGGCGGCAATGAGGAGAAAAGAAGGATTGATTCTCTACAAACAAGCATGAATAACTAGTTGAAATCTGACAAACAAGGCATGTATCAGGTAGTCTGTCTCAACAAATAGAAAAATTTTGTCATAAATTTGGAAATATAAATTCAGTTTCAACATTGGCTTTCTCACGTCCGCAGTTAATCAATTCTCCTCAAAGTTCCTCTTCACATCCTCGGCAAATTTATCATCAACAAGAATTTGGCAAGCCACTACGGCCATGCCTGCTGCACAGGCGAGTGCCCTCTTAAAGCCCTCCTCCGATCCCGCACCCTTGGTAAACTGGGGTGTGTGGTTGACTCCCTCGGTGGGAATAGTGAAGACGCCGTGGAATCCAGGGACTGCATATGAGACGTTGCCTAGACGACATCGCTTAGAAAATGCATTGCAAATCGGATACCATTTTCATTTAATACATACCCATATCAGTAGATGCTCCAGCCAGTGCGCCCTTCAGTGTCGAGTTATCAAATAATGTGTGATGCCCCAGGGCGCGCATTACAGAGACGTAGCTTTCACAGATCGGCAGGTTGGTTTTCAGATCGGCATATGAGATGCCCCTATTGATATGACACGGTTAGTCTTTTTTCAACAGAAGTCCAGAGCATGCAAAAATACCAGTCAAATTCAACCTTACAGCCAGTAGCAGTCGCAGCAGCCTCGAAACATTTCACCACTTTCTCCGTCAGAGGCTTGAGAGTCTTCACGGTCGGCGAGCGAATATAATAATCTACAGTGGCAGACATCGGAATGATATTGGGGCGGTCACCACCATTGACAATGACTCCATGAACCTTCTGGGTGGGAAGAATCTGCTGGCGAAGCATTGAAATGTTGACATATGCTGAAACTACAGCATCCAGCGCATTGATACCCTCCCAAGGGGCAGCAGCGGCATGTGCTGGCTTGCCAGTGAAAGTGACTTTCACTTTGTCATTGGCAAGGTATCCACCCTCCATGACGGTTGCCATTCCCATCAGCTCGGGGTGGTCTGGTACCATCGGGATCGGGTGCACCATAAGGCAGGCATCGACGCCCTTGTATGCTCCTTTGTTCAGCAGGCACACTTTTCCACCACCGGACTCTTCGGCTGGAGTGCCCAAAAGACGAACGGTAAATCCCTTTCCGGATGATTGCTGCGACTGGGCTTTCATGGCCTCACAGGTGGCAATGAAGGCAGCAATCGAGCTGGTTGCGATGAGGTTGTGACCACACGCATGCCCAATTCCGGGAAGGGCATCGTATTCAGCATTGAAAGCCACGACACGGCCTCCAGTTCCGTAGGTGTATTCAACCTCCAGGGCAGTTTCGAGATCATACGCTTTGCGAGTGACTGAATATCCTTCAGATTTGAGACCTTCAAAAAGGTCAGAAATGTTGTTGTGCGCATCGAACTCTGCATATGCAAGCTCAGGGTTCGACCAAATCTGACTTGATATTAGCGATCTCGTCCAGATTTGTCACCGACTTCGAGCTTACTTTATGATTGATATCCTTCAATTGCGCATCATACCGACGAAGTGCATCCTGCACGAAGTCGAGGAATCGGCTGTTAGATTCGGAAAACCGCATTTTGAGTCTGTTATCAGTAAAGAACTCAGATGTTTGTGGTTTTCACTTTCTTAAATAACTCTTCCCTAACGATTTCGCATCATTAGGTGGAGTATAGGCGATTGTAACGATAAAATAGTAGACTGGCCAATCAAACGGCCACCCACAACATATGCATGAATTATTGCCGACGCAGCCAATCGGCATCATCAACTCGGCTCCAACGTGAACCTCCCGATAACCAACTTTTCCCCGCCTCTTTTCCCTCACATCTTGTCTGTTTTAAGGTCGATTAGGCGAGTGATGTTGTAATTCATAACTGTTCTTAAACCGTGTGAGCCGAGCCAGATGCAAAATAACCCCGTCGCCCTAGGCTGGTTGAACAATGGATAAACCGGGAAAGACCCGTTCTAGGACAGGCAAGGACCCACAGATCCTCTCCCTTGCATCAACCCCTGGTGCTGACAGCTCGTATAGGTTGCCGAACTTGCCGTATCCGCAAGGTCAAGTGTGACGAGGAAAGAATACCAAGTCAAGCGCACGAGGAGCCACAATGTAAGCGATGCTTGGCCGCGAGGATCCTGTGCGAGTGGAAAGGCGCCCCAATCCCGCGCAGGCCGACGCGTACTTCAACAGATATATCATCCAAGAGATCTACAAGAGATGAAGCCAGCACTGCGAATTCTTCCAGAAGTGCAAGGAAGCGACCGCAAATTATATCATATCCACAGCAATCACTCTCAACTCAAAATCAGCTTTGCGTGCAGGGTCGGAGCATTCAGGCTGCCAATTCCTTATCACTGTCAGAGTTCGATCGCGAATGTTTGAGTTATATTCAGGATTCGATCTTGGTTGTACTTGTCGGAAAGCAGTGGCCATGGTCAACTGTCTCTTATGCGTACCACAGAATAGCGACCAAAGAACCTATGGTCATGAGCGTGATGTTGGCTAGTGCTGCGAGGGAGATCCACCGGTCTAAACTCTATGACATGGAGAATCCCCTCGGTCATCTACCGAGCAGTGAGCGATCAGACATGGATGGCAGGGTACATTACGGGCGAGCTTTGTCAAGTCTCAGAGAAGCTCTCAAGGAAGAGGTGAAGACCCCACAGCAAATCGAGAGTATTTTCATCACACTTTGGTTGATGATAGACTATGAGAACCGCTTTGGCAGCGGGGCCTCCGCGATCAATATCCATATCCGGGGGTTGAGACACTTCTCCATAACCACATTGTCCCTTTGCTTCAGTGCAACACGCAGCCAGCTGCCATTACGCACAGCCAACTACCCTTGCAGCAACCTGATCCCCACATGAACCTTTCTGCTTTGGGCGAATATGCAAGCAGTACAGACTCTGCTACTCCCGCTCGACCTTCAGGGTCGATAATAGACGGACTGGGTGGCACATCTGTTCCCCTTTTCCTTCTTTGGACACTCTACTTCTTCACTCCTGCAGTTCTTTTCTTTGGCTCTGGGGCCGCAAACCTGGACACTGATATCTTTCGGTTTTTCTTACGACCTGAGACTGGAAATACTGCGCTTAGCCTTCCTGCACTCTACAGACTGAGCAGGCAGTCCCCTTCCCGCTTCTGGGGCGATGGATACCCCATATCATCCCAGCTGGATGATTTAGAAAATCTTCCCGGCTTGACTTTATATCACCGTAGCCATGTGCTTCAGTTCAAAATTACCGAACTATTCAAACATAGTTCAGGTCCAGATATCAGCTCTGGGGAAGGTTCTCCATACCATCGGATCACCAAAGAAATAAACACATTGTCTATCGTGAGTCCATGCATCGTAAACATTGATGATCGTTGATTCCCAATCTTCCTTTTTCTAACCAATCAACTCAGGAATATGATACACTCCTCACCTCAGCCAAAATGTCCGCCTCCTGCGATCTCGCCGGCGATCGTCGCGTTATGGAGACCATTTTCTGGTCAGCTATCACATATTACGGCACGATTGTCTATTTCCATCTCTGCATCGAAAGTCTCCTAGCCGGTCGGCCCGAGTTCCAAAGCTACAATAACATCATTCTCCCTGTAACCACTGCCGTGTCTTTAGTTCTTGAACTGAGTTTGAAACTGCACCGAAGCCGGCCGCGTCTTTTAGTCCGGATAACCTGGTCATTATTCATTGCGGGCATTGCAACTTCGGACCGAATTTATCAAGACTGGGTTTCCATTCGGCTACGGGAGCTTGGAAGATACGGGCAAAATTATGAGCGCATCAGTGCGCGGTTTGACGAAATTAGCCAGGGTGGTCACTCTTACTTTCATGATGGAAGAGGTCATTACTTTTTAGGGGCCTAGCCAAATATATTTGCAAACTCATAGACGATATGAGCTCTGCGGCTTGAGGTGAGGTAAGTACATTGATGTGAAATTATCCGAGCTCTATTGGGTATCGATGAAGCCTGTTCATGCTCAGAAAATTGGAGACATGACTATTCATCTGCTGTGCAAGGCACAGAACCCTAAATCCAGAGAATAGAGATTGGTCCGGATGATATGCTACGTCGTGATTGGCCTTCCCAGTATGCTTTATGCACATGGGCTTTGACTTCACCCTAGAAGTGCTGCGGCAGGTGAGATTGGGGACCCAATTAGCACCCAGAAAGATATTTTACAGCCGATTTCATGTTTTCACAATCCTCGAGAAACGGTCACTTCTAATAATTGAGCTGCAATTATGTCTCGTCTGAGCCATAATTTGTGTCTATATCCATATAGCACGTACGAAAATGGTCCTACCTGTGAATTCTCACCATCTGAAGATCTAGCCCGTCGAATATTTAGATGTTGATCGGTTAAAAGATCCGTCTGGGATATAGATGAAGGTTGGATGAGGTTGTAAACATCGATTTAAAATGATTGTATATTGCTAGATGCATCATGCATCTTGACAGTCAGCTGTACATAGCTCCAAGGGTCTGGGACTAGAGCCGAACTGGTTCGTCTGTGCTTGCACATCCCTCTGACATGCCCTCTGACATGTATAATGTTGTGCTTGATCTTAGCATTAAGGATAGTTACCTGCCTAGGGCACTCGGGCACCAAGGCATCAATTATCATCCTCAGGCCACCAAGTTGTGCATAACTAGTTACACTATATGCAAACTCTACTATAACAATCATATCAGAGTATTTTGATCGTTAATGGTGTCGTATTTTGCTCCATAGAAGTTCCTTAATTGGCTCTAAGAACCTCCCTCTTAACCACCTCATGGCGATAACTCGATGTACTCTGAGACCATATCTCAGCAAAGTGTCGCCATACTACGCCATCTCGCATAAACCATCATCATCTCCCCCAAAAGAGCGACCAGTTCCAATAGGAAACCGATATTTGACCCATCACAGGGAATTGTTACCCGTTGCGATGCCGAACTGCCTTAAGTCACAGGGGCGGGGAAGTTCGATAAGAAAACCGTTGTCCGCGCCCTATGACAGTTCTCACTTAAAACCCTCCAACATCCTGAAGTCCAGCACGCATTTCAAAAATATTCAAGGCAAACATGGGTGATGCGCCAATCCCATCTGAGCATATGCTCGTTGTTTTCTACAGGTCAATGCCACCAGAGCTGAAAGACATTATCCGAGACAAATTCTCCGATGCCGAGGTCACTATTTATCAGTCTGAGGACGGTGCTCCTGTGCCATCTGGTAAGTGACAATCATCATCAAAGATTCGAAACGATGGAAATTAAATCTCGCCCAGAATTATACCAAAGTGCCACTGTCCTTGTCACTTTCGTGGATCTTCCAGATCTCAAGGACTCGAAGAAGTAAGCTCCTACTCCAATTGATTATACTGTGTATTAACCATTATTGTAGCCTTAAACTGATTCACACCTTCTCTGCTGGTGTGGATCATCTTTTGCAACATGTCATTCTGCGGGAAAGCGATATTCCCATCACTACAAGCTCAGGTATCCACGGTCCTCCAATTTCAGAATGGACCGTGATGAACTGGCTGGTCTCGTCCAGGAAATTTGCCCTGAGCTATGAAGCACAGAAATCACACGTATGGGCAGACAAAACCCCATACACGCAAGGTATACATGATCAAGTGGGCAAGAAGGTCGGTATCCTAGGATATGGAAGTATCGGGCGCCAAAGTAAGTTTCACCCATTCTCACTCGATACCCCGAGTTGCAAATTGCATAAAAATAAAACCCCCAAGCTTACCACCGACAGTTGCCCGCGTCTCGAGCGCACTGGGCATGACCGTCCACGCATACACGGCCAACCCACGCCCAACGCCTGAATCCCGCCATGACACGGGCTACATCGTACCCGGAACCGGAGACCCCGACGGCTCGATCCCGGCATCGTGGCACCACGGAACCGACCGGAAATCCATCCACTCTTTCTTGGCGCTCGGGTTGGACCATCTGGTCATCTCACTTCCGCTGACTCCGCAAACTACCCATCTGCTCGGCGCAGAGGAATTCGCCATTCTATCTGATAACTGCCATCATCCTGTAAGCAAGCCTTACGTGACCAACATCTCGCGAGGCAAGGTCATCGACCAGAAGGCGTTGGCCGATGCATTGAATTCTGGGGTTTTGGGTGGTGCCGCCCTCGATGTTACTGACCCCGAGCCTCTTCCTAAGGATGATCCTCTCTGGGATGCGTCCAATGTTCAGATCAGTCCACATGTCAGTGGTCTTGGGATGGAATATTTCCCCCGCTCTCTCGATATCCTCCAGGTAAACTTGGGGCGTATCGCTCGGGGTGAGCCTTTGATCAACTCTTATATACGGGGCAAAGGGTATTAGTATTTGCGCATGTATGCATTGGTTGCACGAATGCCCCAAGGCTGGACAATCTGAATGTACAGTGTAGTCTTATCAGATGTTGGAGATCATAAGTCAGCACAACTTCATCGAGGCCTAGCCTTGTCCAAACAAATATCTGATGATTCTTTTCATGCTTTTATTTGCTCTCTTGAATAAATATATTCCCCTCTCACGACCTGTATAAAGCCTCCAAATTGCGTTGTCGTCGTCGAGTCACTGCTGCGTCCTGGCATATGTCCCATAACATTTGCTTTTTAATATACTCGCGATGCCTTTTCACATGCTCCTGCGCCTCGATTGCGATCTGCATTACCGTTAACCTTGTTTCAGTAAACTAATACAGACACTAGACATACCAAGTGTCCGTCCTCTGAGGAAACTCGCAGCCTATGCAGTGACCGGGTCCCACAATTTCATGTTTTTCGAAGTTACTTGTTGTTTGTCTCAGTATAATATTGCACCCGTGGCATATATATCAGTGATCTTCTTGTATTGGAGCTTGCGGCTGTGTTGGTGCAGGTGGGGGCTCCATATCGATGTGATCAAAAATGTTGGAAAAAGGGGTGTTTTGAAGAGCGGGTTGAGAATATGCAGGTAGGTATGTGTAGACTAATTATTGGATGGTGTTTTGCTCTTTATAATCCAAATACGGGCTGATTGGTCCAATGATGGTAGTTGTAGGTCTTCAACTTCCCACGCAATTCTTAGTATCGATCGGGAAATTCGCCAACATTTTCGATATATTTCAAAAGCCCATACTATACTTCAATTTCGGCAATCTCGGCATCGACGCATTTTTGCCAATCTAGAAAAAATGGTCTCCTTACTATGTTCTTACATGTCATAAGCACCTCTAAACCTCTCCTCAATCACCACACCAATAAACCCGCAACTAGCAACAGCCAATGCCCATGGATTCACCAAGTCCCGCAAATCAGGCCAGAAACTGTTCCTCTCTCTCTGCCACTGTTGTAGCTGCCCGTAATTATGTGGATCTTGAGATTTATAGCGCTCTTTTTGGCTAGCCTCAGTCTCCTTGTCCCCACCAACAAACCGAAGGAAGAGATAGTTCGCCACAGGGCCCAGTATCACAACTGGATTGAACCGACCAGCCATGTTAAGCAAAGCAAATGAAAAATGGACCAAAGTGTCCCCGAGATAACTAGATAACCATCAGCTCATATCATATAAGGTGAAGAGTAATATATATCTCGCAACCAAACTTACTTCGGATGCCTCACCAGACCCCAAACACCGTGTCGACACAAATCTGTGCGTTCCTGTCGATGAAGTCCAAGCTGCGTATCCGCCATAGCCTCCATCGCAAAACCAGCACTAAAAAGTCCAACGCCAAGGGCCCGAACAACATTCATTACATCATCGCCTATCGAGAGCGTAATCTCACCCATAGTGAACGGAACCGTGAATGGCAAAGAGATCACACTTAACACAGCAGCTTCCGGTAAAAAGATCTTCAAAAAGGCTTTTTTCCAAAAGCCCGGCTCTTTTTTGACTGCCTCGTACCGTGCATCATCTGTCCCGCGGGACAACGACCGGCACGCGATCCGGGCAAAGAGTCTCGTCCCCCAGATAGTAACGCAGCTTAGAAGAACCCTTTCGGTCCATGGTAGAGCTTCAAAAGCTGTTCCGAAGGAGATGTCGTGCTTGCACATCGGTTGCCCGACGGCGGTCCACCAGGCATTGAGGACTTGGGCAGATGGCCAAAGCCAGTCTTTCAGTTCGACTCGGTCTGTTGCTTCCGCTGCAATGTATGTTGCGAGTGAGAGGGATGAATAAAGGCCGAATGAGGGTAGGAGAGTTGATTTTAGGATTCCTACGTCACCGGGTGTTATATTGTTTCTGAGGGGTGGGGAATGGAGGAAGCTAGAGGCTTGGTTCTCTAGAGCCGACGGGGGTATGAGATATGCCATTTTGACGCATCATCTGGAGTATTGAGGGACTAAATTACAATGTCAATGGTTATTTTATAGCTGGTTTGATGTCCATGGATGTGTTGATGTCAGGATTATGTAACCGTCAAGTTGGCATCCACCTGGGCCATTCATGGACGTTCCCGAGTTGGTTTTACCTTGAATTAGGAATGTTTGGATTGAATGGATAATTCAAAAAAATAGAATATAATATGTGTTGATATGCGAAGAATGGCACAGAAAGGCGGACTGTTCGTTGTTCAAGATTGGATAACTTGACGGCAGCATTCTATAAAATCCTCGAGAAGCTTGGAGAATCATCCAGAGTCGATCTTCCTGAAAGCAGTATAGTGTACCCAATCTTGCACGCCGAAAAACTACCCAGAGCAACCACTATGAGCCCCCTCCTGAGCTAGATTGCTGGCCCTAACCCCTCAGTGGTTGCTCGGCGTAGCTTCCTGGCGTGGAACATAGGGTGGACTTCGATACTTTAAGGAAGATCGACTTTGACTTTAGATTTCCTTTTGCAAAAAAAATGTGGTGACAGATGGTAATGGGTAGGAATTGGGAATGAACTGTAGTGTAAGATCTCTGATATTGAATCTATGCAATCAGAGGGAATAATACATGACAAGTTGGATGTGAGACACAGGTAAACCAGGGGGAGGTCCTAGATCATGACAGCAACGGAGATTGCCTCTTGATATTTCGTGGTAAACCACATATACAGGCCAGTCCAGGGTATGCAGCTCTGATTCATACTGGGCTGTTTGCACTGTACCCGATGGCAAACTGCATGCATGACTCGGCTTCCCTGCTTCTTCAGAGAATATGGTAGCACAGTATCGGTCAAGGGAACATTCACTCAATTGTACTACTAACCAATGTCGTCGCTGTCGGAGAAGGAATGTACCAAAGTTCAGGAAACTGTCGGAACTTTGGTAAGGGATTATTAGTATGTCAGTCATACACGAGAAAGTGTAAAAGCTCTGATATTTAATCTATAGAATAAATAAGAGGTCATAGTTAAGGACATGGATGATAGGAGACATAGCCTTGGAGGTAAATATAGGAGGATTCTGGTTATCACTGAGCGGAGAGTACCTCTTTCAAGGTATTCTGTGGGTATGGCCTGCCCTAATTGTTTGGCTGTTTGCACTATTTTTCCAAATGTTCAGAAATAATGGGGGCAAGATCAATTTGAACGCTCAAAGTCTTTGATTCATCCTTGTTCTTGTATTGCTGCTCCATGATAAGAATCAACCGTTCATTCCAGAACGGTATGCAGGTTTCAAGATCAGATGCTGAGAAGGATGTAGTTTCGTTGTAATTTTCAGTATATAGATCCTCGGGGATATTCTGCTTGAACAAGTTCGAGCCGGACGACAGGTCAACCGAGCAGGTTAGACCGAGATCATGCAGGTCTGAGCCATCGGGTATACGTTCGAATGGAAGTCGGCTGGTGGGTAGTTTCCGAGCCTTTCCATCCTTCGTCGAGGGATCATCGGTAGAATGTTCCTTTCCCTGGCGGATGAGATATGCTCGCGGATCACGAGGAGAGAGGGTTGTCGCAGAGACCGGCTCGCCGATCGAAGTTTGCGATGAAGTTAACGCAGATTTTGCGGCAAGATACCGACTGCTATGAGGCAAATGAGATACTGCGGCAGACTGGGAACTGGATCGTTTATCGTTCTGCCTGAAGCGTGTGCGACTGTTCTGAATGGCTTCTTTCTTCCGCCTTTCAAAGTCAAGTGCTTTCTCCAGATCAGATGATTGCTCATGACTGATGCCGTGATGAAGTTGAGCGGCCCATCTTTCAAGAACCGGAAATCCTCGGCCACTATCCATTGACTCTGGAATATGGGCACCTTGGTCTTCGGGTAGCGCAGACCCATGACCAGCGGGTTCTGGAGTGATGTGATTTTCAGATGGACTGTCCGAAAAGCCATCATTCGGCCCATCGACAGGTATAATATTTGGCGAAGTGTTCGTTGGCAATCCAAATCGTTGCTCGGCAAGGAAGGAAAGCGGTGAATCCGGTTCCTCAGTCGGTCCTTCCTCAACAGGGTTCTGCTCCAGCGAGACTTGTGTAGTCCGCTGAAACCAAGTGTCTAAAGCGCCGTTCCCATACCGATCTCGATCACGTTCCCTCTCAGCACGTCGGGCGCTCGAAATTCGATCAGTCCCAGGGGAGGACGCAGTCGACTTTTGCGGATATTGTCGATGGCGACTCACTGGCGACGTGAGCGGACTTGTGAAACCCGAGTTTGGCGAATGCTGGAGGTCTTGCGATACACTCTCCCTCCGAATTGGCTCTTGCAGGCTACTGCTTTGGCTGAGAGAATTGCTTCCGCCTCGCGGTGTTTGAAGAAACGAGGCATTGATTCTAGATATAGACCACGGATTGACGAAGCTGGATTGTTTTTCCTAGCGGCGGCCGATTCGTTAGGGCTTCCGGGACCCTTGCTGCTAGAAGGAACTGCAGGCGAAAAGGGGTACTGAGACTGAACGGGCTTCTGTGGGAGAGGCGTGTGGGGTATAGCTTCACTGAAGGGTTTGTCAGGATTGCGAGGCTGTGTGGCAAGTTCCGAAGCTGGCTTCCTAGCCATCAAAAGTCCAAATCCCCCTGACCTGTCATTGGATTTGCAAGCGTCCTGTGTTTCTTGCTTGGAATTTGTTGTTTCTGTCCCATTTATTTCTCCATAGTGGTCGCGAAACAAATTGTCCACCAAGGCCAAGACTGCATCTCGATCTTCGAAGAGCAGATCATCTTTGCTCGGCTCGATGTTGACATCGTACGTTCCCCGAGGACAACGAATTTGCAAGCAGAGAAAAGGGTCGATAACCGCCTTGGAGGATTCGTTTTTGGATGCGGCGACCCGGACATATGGCTTGAAAATTCTGACAATCTCATTCCCAATCCCCCTGCTACTAGAGAGAGGGCGGCCATCCACGCTGATGTACTGGCCTGTGTTGTTGATCTTGGAGGTATCTAACTTGGTTGGTAACCACATCACCGGAAGTTCAATAAAATGAACTCACCAAATTGTGTTTTCGGAAGAAAGGCGACGGCTCCATACTCTTCCCGGTCTGATGATCCTTGTTGATTCTCAGTGATGTTCTGGGAGGAAAGTCGCTTCACGGCACAAGAAGAAGACACTTCTGTGCCGGCCACCTTGAGAGCTGCATCCGAGAGCGAGGCGTCTGCGCTTGGCGCGTATGTCCAATTACTGCTTTCATTTTTCGCCTTCAGAACTTTGAGTGAAAGCCTCTTGGATGGTTGAGCTATAGCATATGCCTGGAGAAGCTTTTTGATCCTTGTGAGATTTCTCGCAGCGCCCTTCAGGGCAGTCTGCCTGCGAACAGGAATGTGTTTGAGAAAGTCCGTGATACGGACAGTTGTGCCCACTGGATGTGACGTCCGTTCTGTTCTGCGATGAAAAGTTAGCAATGGCAAAGAAGGAAAAATACCCGCACGGTCAATATACCCAGTAAGTTCTCCGTTTCTTCCGTACTTCAAACATGACCCGGCAACTTCGGACTCAACTCGAGTGGTGACAACGAGGATCCCGGACATCTCTGCGACACTGGCAAGTGCTTCACCACGAAATCCCAATGATGACCCACCGACATTTTTGAGATCATCTAAAGTTTGGATCTTGCTGGTAAAAGCTCGTTTGCACACATGTTGCTGGTCCTCTGGAGAGATGCCATGACCATTGTCCTTGAGCTGTATGACATCCACAGTATTTGGAGAAATTTCAACCTGCAAAGACGTAGCAGAAGCATCCAGGGCATTGTCTACAAGTTCCTTGACAACAGAGTAGGGATCCGAAATGACGGATGTGGAGCCAATCGCCCGGATTGTTTTCTGGGGAAGAGCCTCAATCGGCATTCTGCACGCCTGGTATTAGATTTTCATCCCCGAAAGCAGCACAAATCGTCTGATCGGGATAACTGAGGCTCAAAGAAACATGCGACCAATCTCAATGGGTTATATTTCGTGAATGTTTGACATTGCAAATGTCGAAGGAGGATGAGATTGTCTTGGCACCTTGGGTCACGTGGCATTAATGCCTTATGCTTCAGGCCAGATTCCCAAGGTTCTCTCTCATTCTATCCCCCATCTCGCCTATGATGAAAAAATCTACATTATGTCTTTCCTTCTTCCCCTTGCTGCCATGACTGCCAATAAATGACCACCCTAGCTCATGAGCTCACCTGAACAGGATATAGCAGCGCTGGCTAACAGACACCCCTGAATACTTCTTGTTTCCTTCCTTATCGACGATACATATGTTATGATCTGATTGATTTGGCTAATATGGGAGAAGTTATATTGAGATGTCCTTTTAGAAGATATTTGAACCCCCTAACTATATAGCGAGGGCTAGACGGCGTCACTATTTGGTGGGCTTTTATTTCCACTCATTATTAAAGTTGCAATAACCTCATCCCATAATCTATCTCTTTCTGGAGGTCTTCTTTATGTGGAAGAAATGCATGTTATTTTGCTCACTTAAGAGATGGAGAAAATCCAAATTTTGTAAATCATGTTTGTACTTTTGAAGTTCCCAAAATATTCAGAATCACCGATTGTGACCATATGAGGGCTATCCTCCCAAGCATTCATACCTTGCATCCCTTAAATATGAGTATAAACATCACCATCGGCCATTCAATGATGCGGCCTTCGATCAGGTGCTCAGGTGTGGTTGAGCTTGAGCCCCATATGCCCATTTTCAATCTCCGGAAGCTATAAACTCAGGGATCTTAGGCTTTCTCAAGACAACCGGCAGCATTGTAGTCTTGGAACGTAGCTTTATATGGCTATGCTCGCTTGCAAGCGTTACAAACAACAACCTTGCAGAAAAGAAAATGTGCAGAAAGATCATCACAGGGGATTTTAGCATTGCGGCTTGTATAGGTCACGATGAGATATATATGACCCTCTTCGCGTGAGCAAAATCAGGATTGCCACAGCTATAACACACATTGTGTGAGATCCGATGTCGAACCTGGAGGGGGGCCTGGAGTAGAAGTAAAGGGTTGACTGGGGGCAAGGCGGTATATAGAATATAGAGTTGGAAGGTGGTGAACAGAGCAGTTGGAAGTGCCATAACTCATGTGGCCAGTCCACGTAAAATGGTGGGTCTGAATTTCAGCTAGGGATTCTTCAGCGCGCTGGACTACCTTTCCGGGCAGCAGGATGGGTGTGGTAGCCGGAGGGCGGAGTTGGGGGCAGGGTGGCGGCAGAGTGGGCAGGGGGAAGCACGGATATCCTATACCTGTTAGTAAAGCCGCACATTTATGATTAGAATGATAGTTCATGCTGTGCATACGGCGGGCGATCCGTCTCAGAGTATCTATTAGCATAATTCCAAAGGATAATGACTGATTTGCACCTACTGCATTTCAGGTTGTTCTGGTCAAAGGGCAGTCGAACATGGTATAACCCTCATTTGCATGGTGGTGTCGTTGATGAGAGAAAACTTCGCTTCCCTGATTATAGATATTAAACACCTAAATAAGTAAAGTTAGTCCTCATATCTAGGGCCTCAAGAAGTAGAACTGAAGCGACTCACTTTGACTGTATTGCTGGATATGCTGAAGTTCAGCTGGCCATGGTACACAAGGTGTTGTCCTATTTGGTATATGTAGTCATATATTCACTTGACGGGAGTGACGGAGGAGAGACGATGAGAGAAGTAGAAAAGAAGAAGTAGCGGGGAGGTCGAAGAGATTGAAAAGAAACAAGAAGGGTAGAAAGTGCTGGAGAGCCCAGCTCCTCTTCTGTATGCTGCTGAAAGGCGGACAACTGCATTTATGTATAAAGATGGGATTCTTTCCTGACATCGTCATTTGATAACACATAAGGCCTTCAACCTGAAATGACAATAATAGGTGGTAGATATCAATGATGGAACTTGATGGGAGATGAAGAGAGAAACCAAAATTGAATTCTGGCAAACGGGGTATATGTACATCCTAATCTAGCAAACAAGGCCTGACAAGGAAGGCACCAATGCAAGCAACCTGACACTGCATGGAACCACAGGAGCAAAGCAGAATGCCATAGATGTTGTTATTATGTTAATTAAGTATATTAGATGCTTCAGGATCTATCACGTCTCATTCTCTTGCCCCGAACAAATATACAGTCTCCTAGTGATGGGTAGGAGAATGTCAGCCCCAAAGAATGTTCATCTTTGCCCATGTGCTGTCTTTCTTGATTGGTACATTATCCGGGTCATTGTTGGCCTCGTCTATCGCTTGTTGAACGGGTACCATCTTCAGAGGAAGAATCTCTGTCCGGCGGATCCACTTATAGCCCACGTACGCAAAAAGGACGAGTGGAATATCCCTGGCTCCAAGGTTAGTAGACTGAGCGTAATGCCACAAAGATGTACACTCACAGATACGACGAGACAAACGAGGCGGGGTCCCAGTTTCCAGCCGTGAAAACCGAGAAACCTCCAGTCAGGAGAATCAGAACGCAAGAGACCAACGCGAACCAGCTTGTGTATCCTTGATAATGTCAGTATTAGGATCCTCCAAAAGACTTGATCTCTCAAAACTAGACTGCGATACATACTGGTAATGCGATTATGCCACGGTAACTCTGTGGGGGAAATGCCCTGTTTATCCAGCGCCTGCAACAGACGAATATGGTTCAAGGAGATGGTGATCCACGAGACCAAGGTACCAGCCGCGGTCAAATCAACGAACCACCAGAAGACATTCATGGCGTTGTTGGAAACACACATATAAGCCAGGAGTGAGAAAGCAACCTGCAGCAGCACACACATGTACGGCACTCCCCACTTGGTGGTGCGCAGGAATATCTTCGGAGCATGGCCCTTGATCGCAAGACCATATAAGGTTCTGGTTCCCGCCAGAATACTTTGATTTGATGCAGACCACGCGGACGTCAGACATACAGCGTTCACAACGGATGGAATAGCCTTGATACCTGCATCACCGGCGGCAATGACGAATGGACTCGTAGCTGCGGTGCCAGAATCTGAGCCAAGACGTTCATCGGCGCTAGAGACCAACATGCCCACGACTAGCACAGCGGCGACATAGAAGATAGACACTCGTGCAAACACCCTTTTGCACGCCTTGGGAATATTCTGTCGAGGGTTTTTGGTTTCGGCAGCGGCCATGGCTAAAGATTCCACACCTGCGAACGAGTAGACTGCATTGGTCATGACAGCCCAGAATCCAAGAAATCGTCCCAAAGACCCAGTAGCGATATACTCCACGAACGGGCCGGGGTCTTTCCAGTAGTGGAAGCCTCGTCGGGGTACTCCCGGAACACCACCGAGATCAATGATGAGACCGAGGATGACCACAAAAATAACCAACAGGATTTTGAGAATGGCGAAAACGAATTCGATCTCGCCATAGACGCGGATAAACGAGATAGCAACAACCACAGAAACCACTATGAGGAGAGTCACCCAAACGGCGGCACTAATATCGGTCCAGTACTGAATAAGGACCACGCTGGCGGAGATCTCACTCGGAACGCTGATAAAGCATCCATAAACAACATTCCAGCCAACAGCGAAAGCCAGCGCGGGGTCAACTAAGATCTCTGCATGTCGCACAAAAGAACCAGTAACTGGTAGCAGGGCTGAGACTTCTCCCAGTGCAAATTGAATGCTGCAGACTACCAGGCCGATAAATAGGTAGCCTAGCAGGGCGCCCAGAGGACCACCCGTGGCGATCGAGCCACCCAGACCAAGAAAGAGACCTGTACCCTATAGCAGGTTAGACACAAGTTGCTTTGTTCATAATGGTCTACATACAATTGCACCGGCAATGGCAATCATTTGAATATGGCGTTGCCCCAGACCCCGGACCAAGCTTTGGCGTTCATATTGGGTAACGATCTGCCCATCGTCGACGATGACAGAGTTCGATGGACCCGACTGTGGGGTGAAATGTTGATCTTCCACATCCTGAACATTTTGAACGATATATTGACTCCCAGTCTTAGAGTTCTGGAACTTCTGGTCCTCGAATACCCCTGCCATGGCGTCGTTGCAGGAAAGGAAATCCTACAAGCAGAAAATATTTCCACGCTAGGAGGGTCAAGGCTAATCACACCATTTGACTGGTCGATGATGGGACTAGTTTTTGCTTATCTGGGGAAAAAGCTTTCGCGTAACGGCAATTATATTAACGGCGACATCGCTTCAGCCGAACCCCCGAAGTTGGAGGGGTTACAAGTTCAAAAGCAAATATCATGCATGAGTTGATTGGCTCATTATTTTCATTCGATTATAATATGTTGAAAGTAATGGACACGCAATACATTAATATATATTGTAGAATATTATTTCACGCGCTCGGGGAGTCTCCGAGGTTGTTCCAAGGTTTCACATTCGGCTTTTGACTTAAAAACAAGGCTAGCCCTATATGATTGATATAGGCCATTCGATACTCCTCCCTCTTTGAGATGTATCAGCGTATGGCATATCTAAGAACCAAATGCTATCATCCTGAGATTTTTTTCACCTATGTGGAATATAGTTGATTGGACCAAGCAACTACCCCTACGCTTGATAATCAACCGTTTTGTTTCTCGCCCTTTAGGGAAACGTTGCTCCGAACTATTTTTGTATATAGAAATCCAATCATTCACATACGTCAAACTCCAAGAATCTTCAGTAACCGGGTAGTTATTGCTTGGAATTAAGCCTCTGGTCGCCGCATCTCTTCCTGGGCGTGGAGGACGATGCTGAGTAATCAAGACGCGGCGCTGGGGGTCCACCGCGTCAGAGGTAAGAAAGTGACTCAAGCTTCATGCTCACTCTCTCTATACACCAGCCATGTCCTTAACATTGAAGCTCTCCTCTTTGGCAATCAGGACCTTGTCCAAGCCCATTGCTGTAAGCTTGCACCTCGAACCCAATCCTGCCAAATCCATAGGCTGACCCACACAGTCTCAAATCAAAGCCCAAGCCCGCGAACATGAACGCTTTCGCAAGATCTGCGTCTCTATGGCCCAAGCCCTTCACCGATTCGATATGCGTCTCCGAATAGGCACCCTCCGCGATAGTGCGGCGGCACAACGTCGAGCCGCCGCCGAAGCCGAAGCTCGAAAACATAAGCCTTCAATGCCCACCGTTCGAAATGCCGCCGACATGAAAGCCGCAGAGGAGGCAGAGGCCAAAGCCAAAGCTGCGGCAGAAGAGGCAGCCAAACCCCACCACTACCATATCCGTCCCCTTTCCGAGTCTAAAGCTATCGAGTCCGGTGCCAACTTCATCTCCGAATCCTTCCTTTTCATTGTTGCTGGAAGCCTGATCCTCTTTGAGTCGTGGCGGTCACGGAATAAGGAAAGCACACGACGGGAAGGTGTGGAGGGAAGGTTAGCAGAGCTGGAGAAATCCGAGGAGGCGGCACGTGAAGCTCTGGTGGCACTAGAAAAGGAGCTGCTCCAGCTAAGAGCGAAGCACGGCGACTTGCCCAAGTTGTCGACGAAGAGGATTCTGTCTCCTGAGATCTATGAACAAGCCCCAGAACCCGATACGCCAATAGTCGCACAGGGGTGGCTCTCACGCATTTCCTCGTACATTTCTTTTGGTCAAAGCGTTGCAAATACGACTGAGTCTGCGCCCAATACCCAGCCTACAATAGAAAAGGCTGACTCGACACCTCGAACTATGAACCAGTCTGCTGCATCAGCTAGTCAGAGTCCACCAACTGCATCAAAAAACTCGTGATTGTTTATGATTAATATTCGTCTAATGTCTAGCGATATCCTATATAAGGTTAGCGCGCATTTCCTTTTACATTCGGTCAAGATACCCCATTGAAAGACCGGAAATACTCACAGGAGTTGTGTTTTTGAGAGAGTAGGGGTTGCAAGGCGGAGTCACTTGTTGATATTCTCTCCGCTCCTTCCCTGAAATGTACATACACACACATCACTTCCATAGAAGCAACAACTCTTCTCTTTGATTCTTCTTCTCTTTCATCAGTCCTTTTGGCCTGTCGCTTCTCCTCTCAGTTCGGTTTTCTTGCTTCTCTCTTTCCAATGCGTGCTCAGTCTCCTGACAAGTCGCCTCCCTCTCCTCGCTCCGCTGCATGCCCACTCAATTCATCAGTTCCATTTATCCCCATATCTACCCTCGCTCCTCGAACGGCAGGTAGTGCCAGTCCTCCAGCATCTCTTTTCAGGTCCACTCTCACGATGTCTACACCTCCCCCAACGCTCGGCCTTCGGGGTGAATACAGCCTAGAACTTAGGAAACGGGATGAATGGGGCAGGCTGTCTGCTACCCTCACTTCTCTGGGGACAATGAAAGAAGGTATAGCAATTTCATTCACTTATCCAACATTTAAAGCTGACCATATCTTCTAGCTTCCCCGGCGCCGCCGAGAACAGATTTCAGTTGTAAGTTCCTTTAACTTCCTCACAAAAGGTCCAAGGGTTGACCCTCTTTCAAGCTCTATGGGCTAGTCGAGATGCCGACTTCAGGTTCGAGCTGACCTACCAGGCCCGAACTCTGTCGTCATTTGATGTCCTTCATCAAATACAGTCTATCAAGCTCAATGCACTTCTATTGACTCCCAATCGATTCCACGCAACCATGAGACACCAGACTGCGATGGGAATTCAAAAATTCACCCAAGGAAACAAGAATTCATTGGGTGTGATTGTGTATTTGATGGATGCAAGATCGTCGGGTGACGAACAGATTGAGGCAGTGCAGTCTCTTGGTGCACTACACCACTGCCTTTCACTGGGCTTTTCAAATCCACCTCCCGTTCTTGTAGTGTTGGACGCATCCTACCTCTTGGATTGCGTAGGCGCTTATATGAAGAGTGCCTCCCGGGCAAATCCGGTGAGTTATAGTCGAACGACAAGGCTTTCTTTGTGTTGGTCATTTGCTCATATATCGCCATTAGGTTCCGGTGAACGCTCTTGAAGATAAATCTTCGGTGCCGCCGCCGTCTACGCCTGTGTCTACATCGTTTCCGCTTCCGAAGTTTCCACCTTCAAACTTTTCTGCTGCACTCCAGGCCAAAAAGTGACGTACATGCATTGCAGAATATCGTCGCTTTTTCGAGAGAGCATGTCTTTGATCCCAGGGATTTGCACTGATGAGAGTCAGCACAATATTCCTGACCGGTAGACATTTTTATTGGTCGAGCATGTATGATTACCAAATTACCACAGCATCCAAATCTTCATATCCTTCCATCGGTGCTATCTCCCATTGAATGTTTGTTTTGTTGCACGGGGACGCAATGATCCAAAGTTTACTTTAGTGGGTTACACAAAGCCTTCTAGTTTCTTGATTCATAGGTCTTGCCGAACCGGTTGAATCCTGACGTTGCGAGTCTTACTTCAAACAACATATCCCATTGTCATCTACAACTTTGCTTCCCCTCTATCGCTGTCAGACAATTAAATGCAAGACATTGCCCTCGATTTGGCTTCCTTTCATACTATATCCCTTGTGGCTCGCCACTCCCGGTTTCGGTTTTCTTATGGAGTACTGATCAAGACAGCAAGTCGAGGTTCGCATATTAGGGCTACATAGTTTCAAGAATGAACAGAGAGTTTTCAGATCAACAGTACAGTCATATGTGGTATCATGGCTTCTAGTAATCTCCGGTGGTCTGGGAAGGTCCAAATTTGCAGTTAGGCAGGAGTATAGTTGTCCTAATATGCCCAATGACGTCGGTGTATCTATTCTTGACCGCATGAGCCACAAGCCCTGACGCGCGTGGCTGACTGATTGGGTTCGTAGAAAAAAAAGAATTGCCATGGAACAAAAATTCAATCGATCAATAAGGATGCCTATATCAAAAGATCTTACTAACCGGGTAAATTGACCTCGGGATATCCCATTCGCCCCTGAGGCAGCAACGGAACCAGAAGACCCTCTGTGGCGCAGCTGTTTGCTTCGGTTTGACTCGTTGTACGTAAGTCCGCCTGGGCACTTCCCTCTTACAATCACCTAGAATTGGTTCTAGACTTACTTCTAGACTTCCTACTCACTCTCAATTCCTGCTTAACTTGTCAATAGAATTACTGCATTCAGTTGACAGGTCAGATTCCACATTTCTCGCCTGGGCGCGAGATCAGTTGACACAAGATGGTAGGTGGCCTACTTGCGACCAGATAAGAACCCAACTGACCCTGTGATTGCGGTATAGGGTCAGTCACGACGCCCCGTTGGCGGAGAAAAGAAGAGCCGCTTCGGGCGCTCTAAAGCAGTCGCCGATGTTGGTGATGGCCGGCAAGCGGGGGGAAAGCCGCAGGTCAGGAAGGCCGCTTTCGAGAGCAGCAAGAAGAAGGAGATCGGCGTGTCAGATCTTACGCTACTCAGCAAGATCTCCAACGAGGCCATCAACGATAACCTGAAGCTCCGGTTCGAGCATGACGAGATTTATGTAAGTGATCGCTGTCGCACGCGGACTGCGGGGTTGTGCGCAAACACCAGTACAGGCTGACGAGAGACTACTAGACTTATATTGGCCATGTGTTGGTCTCAGTGAATCCTTTCCGAGACTGTGAGTTGCTCCGCGAAGAGGATTCGGTTTCCTATTTGCTAACATAGTTGCGATCAACAGTGGGTATCTACACAGATAATGTCCTCGATTCGTATCGCGGCAAGAACCGTCTCGAAGTCCCTCCCCATGTATTCGGAGTCGCCGAGTCCGCATACTACAATATGAAATCCTACAAGGACAACCAGTGTGTCATCATTTCTGGAGAGTCCGGTGCCGGAAAGACCGAGGCCGCGAAGCGGATCATGCAATACATTGCCAGTGTCTCTGGCGGTGGCGATTCGTCTATTCAGCAGACCAAGGAGATGGTATTGGCGACAAATCCGTTGCTAGAGTCATTCGGTAATGCGAAGACACTGCGCAACAACAACTCGTCCCGATTCGGAAAGTACCTGGAATTGGAGTTCAATGCCAACGGTGAGCCGGTGGGAGCCAACATTACGAACTATCTGCTTGAGAAGTCGCGAGTTGTGGGACAAATTGCGAATGAGCGAAATTTCCACATCTTTTACCAACTCACAAAGGGTGCCCCACAGAAGTACCGCGACAGCTTCGGTCTTCAGCAACCCCAGTCTTACCTCTATACGAGCCGTTCCAAGTGTTTCGATGTGCCGGGAATCGACGATGTTGCCGAGTTCAAGGATACACTGGATGCGATGAGGGTGATTGGAATGAGCGATGCCGAGCAGGACAACGTGTTCCGCATGTTGGCAGCGATTCTCTGGATTGGCAATGTTCAGTTCAGCGAGGATGACTCTGGAAATGCGACTATTAGTGACCAGTCAGTTGTTGATTTCGTCGCCTACCTGATGGAGGTGGATGCTGCTCAAGTGAACAAAGCTTTGACTATTCGTCTGATGGAGACTGCCCGAGGAGGGCGCAGGGGTTCCGTTTATGAGGTACCACTAAATAGGGTCCAAGCTTCAGCTGTTCGGGACGCTTTGGCCAAGGGAATTTACTTCAATCTTTTCGATTGGATTGTCGAGCGCGTCAACCAGTCACTGACTGCTCGGGGATCTATCACCAATTCAATTGGTATCCTGGATATTTACGGATTCGAAATCTTCGAGAAGAACTCTTTCGAGCAACTGTGCATCAACTATGTCAACGAGAAGCTGCAACAGATTTTCATTCAATTGACTCTCAAAGCAGAACAAGATGAGTATGCCCGCGAGCAGATCAAGTGGACTCCTATCGAGTACTTTGACAACAAGGTGGTGTGCTCGTTGATCGAGGACAAACGCCCCCCTGGTGTTTTTGCCGCTTTGAACGATGCTTGTGCAACTGCCCACGCTGATTCCGGTGCTGCCGATCAAACTTTCGTTGGCAGGCTCAACTTCCTGTCCCAGAACCCCAACTTCGAAGGTCGCCAGGGTCAGTTCATTATCAAGCACTACGCCGGTGATGTCAGCTACGCGGTGGAGGGAATGACGGATAAGAACAAGGATCAGTTGTTGAAGGACTTGTTGAACCTTGCCCAATCTAGCAGCAACGAATTCGTCCACTCCCTGTTCCCCGACCAGGTCAACCAGGATGACAAGCGTCGCCCACCTACCGCCGGTGACAAGATCAAGGCATCCGCGAATGACCTTGTGGCCACGCTCATGAAAGCGCAACCATCTTATATTCGTACCATCAAACCCAACGATAACAAGGCCCCCAGGGAGTACAACCACGGCAATGTCCTGCACCAGATCAAGTACCTGGGTCTCCAGGAGAACGTCCGCATTCGACGTGCTGGATTTGCTTACCGTCAGACCTTTGACAAGTTCACCGAGCGATTCTACCTCCTGTCTCCGAAGACTTCGTATGCCGGTGACTACACATGGACCGGCGATGTGGAATCCGGCGCCAAGCAAATCCTGAAGGATACCCGAATCCCCGCCGAGGAGTACCAGATGGGTATCACAAAGGTTTTCGTCAAGACCCCGGAGACACTGTTCGCACTCGAAGCTATGCGAGATAAATACTGGCACAACATGGCCATTCGCATCCAGCGTGCTTGGAGAAACTATCTCCGATACCGCATTGAATGTGCGATCCGCATCCAGCGCTTCTGGCGCCGCATGACCGGTGGACTCGAATTCATCAAGGTTCGTGATCAGGGCCACCAAATTCTCCAGGGCCGCAAGGAACGTCGGAGAATGAGTCTTCTCGGCTCTCGTCGCTTCCTGGGCGATTATCTCGGTGTCGGGAATACCGGTGGTCCTGGTGAAATGATCCGCAACGGTGCAGGCATCAGCGGTTCAGATGAGGTTGTTTTCTCTTGCCGTGCCGAGCTTTTGGTGTCCAAGTTTGGTCGGTCTAGCAAACCTGTTCCCCGGATTCTTGTCTTGACGAATCGACATGTCTACATTGTTGCACAGAGTATCCTCAACAACCAGCTTGTTATTTCAGCGGAACGAACCGTCCCCGTTGGAGCCATCAAGAGTGTTAGCACTTCGAATCTCAAGGACGACTGGTTCTCGCTGGTCATTGGGGCTCAGGAACCCGACCCGCTGATCAACTGTGTCTTCAAAACCGAGTTCTTTACCCATCTCACCACTGTCCTGCGTGGCTCTCTGACTTTGAAGGTTGGAGAAACCATCGAATACCATAAGAAGCCTGGCAAGCTGGCGACCGTCAAGGCAGTCAAAGATCCCGCTGCTGGAAACGTCGATAGCTACAAAAGCAGCACGATCCACACCAGTGCTGGTGAGCCTCCTAACTCTGTCTCGAAACCTACTCCGCGGCCGAAGCCTGTTGCTGCTCGTCCCGTTACAAAGGGCAAGCTACTCCGTCCCGGTGGTCCCGGTGGCGGCCCTTCAAAATTGTCTCAGGCTGCTCGCAGACCTGTTCCTGCCACTCAGCCTCTGCCCCGGTCTATCCCACAGCCTGCCGCGGTGCCGCAACCTGCTGCCCAGTCGCGTGTCGTACCTCAACCGCGCATCGTGCCTCAGCCTGTGGCTGCTGCTGCCGCTGCTGCACACTCTCGCAACGAGTCTACTAGCTCCATGATGTCCTCTAACTCCATCCGGGCTCCTCCACCACCTCCACCATCGGCACCTCCCCCAGCCTCAAGGAAGCCTTCCGCAAAGGTCAAGTATGACTACAACAGCGACCGGGCCAATGAGCTTTCCATCATCAAGGGCGAAATTGTTGAGATTGTATCCAAGGAAGGAAATGGTACGTACCTATAACATACTTCAGTTTGATCACAACTAACTTGTCCTAGGATGGTGGCTGTGTAAGAACACAACAACATCAGCGCAAGGATGGACGCCCGAATCCTACCTCGAAGAAGTAGCCGCTGCTCCCGCGCCAAAGCCTACTCCACCCCCACCTCCTATGACACCCCGCGCAACCCCCAGCCCTATTCCAAATGGCGCTGGAGCCGCTGCAGCTGCAAAGACTAAACCCGCCCCGCCAGCTCCCCCGGCCAAGCGTCCCAACATGGCCGGACGCAAACCAGCGCCCCCTCCCGCTCCCCGGGATAGCGTCGCGAGCCTGCAATCGGGCGATTCATCCGGCGCCAGCGGCCGCGGTACGCCTAACAGCGCATCGAACGCCAGTTTGGCAGGTGGTTTGGCCGAGGCACTGCGGGCCCGACAAAGCGCCATGCAAGGCAAGCACGACGATGACGATGAGTGGTAGTTGAGAAATGTATTGTTTATGGTCGGTCGCGGTGTTGGACATTTCTGCGCTTAGCGTTGACCTTTTGCGTTTGTTTTTGTGAGGGCCATGGCATATGCATATGCAGGTCAGCGAGTCATTGTTTTTTTTTCTCTCATTACATTCCACTGTAGAGCCGAGTTCAATATATACCGTTTCACGCGAATCAAAATCATATGGAAATTGTCATGTCATTCGGGATGCTATTCATGTCCCAACATTCAAAGTATGAAACAATGTAAATCATTTACAAGAACTTGCTCGCAAGACTCATAAGTCCACTAGCACCACCGCTGCTACCACCACTAACCTGACTCTTCATATACATCTTCAGCGCCACCTCGGCAGCAGAGTTAACAGCAGACTGCTTATCACCAGACTAAACAATCATTAGCATCATCACCCCCCCCCAATCATCAAAAGAATAACATACCACATTACCCCCAGACCCATTCTTCTCATCCCACAACTTCCCAGCCTGAGCCATAGCAAGTCCAATAAGCTTATTCTTATCCATACCCCCCTCACTGCTGCTGTTTCCACTGCCACCACCAGTAAACATCTTCAAAGCCTGCATGGCAGCACCAGCACCAACAGTACTGGAATCATGCTTCTGGTTCGAGTCATTGCCGGAACCGTACATGGCCTGGTGTGCATTGGCCGCTTGTTTCTCGTCGACGTCGTCGTCGGACTTGCGGTTCTGGAGGAAGTTCAAGGCGCTGCTGAAGAGGGATTTGTCTTCGTTGCTGTCGTGTTCTTGGGCGTGGGTTGCTGCGCTGCTGAAGTCTTCGTTGGAAGAGTGGTTGTTGTTGTTGTTGTTGTTGTTGTTGTTGTTGTTGTAGCCTTGGTTCTGGTTTTGGTTGTAGCTCTCGTTGGAGTTGCCGTAGCCAGAGTTGTTGTTGTTGGAGTTGCCGTAACCGGAGTTGTTGTGGCTCTCGTTGGAGTTGCCGTAGCCAGAGTTGTTATTGTTGGAGTTGCCGTAACCGGAGTTGTTGTGGCTCTCGTTCGAGTTGCCATAGCCTGAGTTGTTGTTGTTGTTTCCGTAACCGTGGGACTCCTGACGACCGTAGTTGTCCTGGCGTTGGTTCTGGTTACCGTAGCCTTCGTTGGAACGTCCTTCGTTAGAAGAGTTGCCGTAGCCGCCGGATCCACCGTAGGAGTTGTTGTTGTTGTTGTTGGTGTTGTAATAGCTGTTGCTAGCGCCGCCGCCGCCGCCGCCGTACTGGTTATCGTTGTAAGACATGGTTTAGTTTGGTTTGGGTAGGTCAAGATAGAGATAGTTGGTTAAGAAATGGAGATGTGAAACTAGAATGATTTAATAGAAAAACCAGAAGAACAGAATCGAATGGAAGAGCTTCAGCTGATGGAGGGGTTGCGGGGCTGTTTTGATTCCGATTTGGGCGATTCGCTGTTCGATCGCATGGACGGTGGATCGAAGTGGTGGCCAATTATGAACGTGTAGACTTATTAGTGGATGTTTTAGAAGGTGAACTATTGATTTTGCATTGTTTTTAGTCATTTTAGTGTGTTTTAGTCTCTTTTAGGTGATAGTTCGGAGGTTATATCAGATATGATATAAACCCGAGAAGTGGTACTGGTTATAATAGGGATATAAGTTGGAATAAATTCAATCAAATAGATTGACAGACTGTTTCCCTTTACTATACATTGTAGGCTCTGTAAAATGGGATATCTGTACTCCGTAGGTAATGGAGCACCGGATTTCCTCTACTTCTTGGCGTTTCCTTTCCTGCTCAGACCCGCTTTCTACGTACAACTGTGGGCATAGGTGAGTACTGTCATTAAGCTGGCAAGACAATGCTTGAAGACAAGTATAACATTATTGAGACTACATGGTCTTGTGTGTTGATCGTGAAACCACATCCAATACTCTAAAACAAAGAAACGAATATAAACAACCTCCAACTCCATAACCCAGGGTATCAGATGCAGATGAAACGCAAAGAATACCAACCCAGAAAAAGAAATAAAGAAAAAAAAAACAGCAGACAATAGAAAACAACATCAAAGAATCAACGAATCATGCTCCTCATCCGACAAATTTCTCAAAAACCTCAGTCCCCGCTCCCTCTTACTTAAAACACATCTAGGATCTAGCGCCAACTCTTCCTCTGTAACCCACTCAGAAGGCAAATCTGTCAACCCAAGCCTCTGCCCAGACTGTTTCCGCTCATACTGCATGAATCCACCGAAATGGCGATCCGTATTAGCAACCCAGATCTCGGCGCCGTCAGGCGCGTAATCCGCACCACCGATTTCACCAAAGAAATCATGTACCTGTCTTGAGCGGAAGAGTTGTGCGTCGACGATAGAGATGCGGTCTGCAGGTTCGGTGCAGAGGAGAGTGCGTGGGCCACCGCCGACAGGTGAGAATCGCAGGGAGCGATAGCCCGCGACGTCGGAGTCGATGGTTTCGAGCGGACGCCAGGTTCGGGCGTCCCAGATGATGACTGTTTTGTCTTGGTTTGAGGTTGCTATATGGCGCATATCTGGGGACCAGGCGCAGGCGAAACCGAAGTCGCGGTGCCCGCGGAGGGGATGGACTGGGCGGCCTGTGTCGGATTCTATGACCCATGCGTCTGGTGAGTCGCCGATTACGACGCGAAGACGGCTGTCCGGGGATGTGGCGGTGCAGTTTATTGGTTGGGCGAGTTCTTGGTCGGAGATGAAGATGTTTGTTTCTGTGTCGAGGATGCGGAGATGTCTGTCGTTTGAGGCGAAGACGCCGGTGGGCGAGGGACCTGTGCGGTTGGGGATTATGTCGACGTGGTTGGTAATGCCGTCGTTGAAATCTGGGGTTACTAGGCCTTTTATGCCGGGGTCGCAGCCGCTAGTGCTGCGTAGGGCATATTCGCCGCAGAATCCGCCTGCGATCGTGAGACCGTGTGCTGTTTTCATAGTGGAGATTTTGACTGGGCCGAGGAAACCGGATTCTGGGTCTGGTTGGCTCATGTCGATTAGACAGCGTGCGTCACCAGTTGTTGGGGTCCATGAAAAGACTTTCGAGCGCGAGGCGAAGTGGACGGTATTAGATGCAGGGGTCGACATTAAATTGCGGAGCTGAAAGTGCTCAATAGACGCTTTGTGGGAAGTGTGCATGGACCTCTCGCGGAAAAAGGTTTCATGTTGTGGAAGGCGCTTTGCATGGCCCGGATGCGAGTAATGCATGTTGCAATACGGGATATACCAGGCGTCGCGCACTGCTCGTGCATCGGACCGTGTTACTCGTAAAGTTTCAGTCCATGGGATCTGCTGCAGGTCATAAAAATCGCGTCTCCATCTAGGCGGTCGAACAACCTCGTGTGGTGGTTGCCAGCTAATCATCTTTGCGAGTGGGCGGAGCTGGGGTGGAATTCGACTTTCGGTATGGAAGCCATGGGGAATGGTGTTTATCGAGACCATCCAGTGCTTGATGAATTCATCAATGGTGAGATTCCGCTCGTAGGCTAGAGGGTAATTAGCTCGGGTCTTGTTCCAACAGTCATAGTGCCTTACTAGATGTGTGGATTATAGATGCCGGACGTGGTCCAGGGAATTCCATTTGCTCGTCGGCGTAGTTCCGCAAAGGTTCTGTGATAGACAAACCAATGTTCTGGGGGAGATCCACGTCAATATCGTCATAGCTCATACTGTTATAAAAATCATCGAGATCACAATCTGGCATTTCGGTTTCATGCGTCGGGCGGTTCTTGCGCTGGTAGTAATACTCCTCTTCATCAGGATAGAATCGAAGAAAGTCTTCCAGCTCATCATCGGATGTCGACTCCGGCGACCGGTTGTCTTCGATGGTAGTTGACTCGTAATCCATAACCATATCCTTGTGGCCATCCTCGACGTCGTGGTCTGGGCCGACGGCGATATTTTGCCGGGCGGCGGTGCGGTGAATCAAGTTCCGAACAATGGATTCCATGTCGACGTCGCCACTCGGGTTCGAACCAAAGACAAACTCCGGTCCAGCCGAAGAGGTACCTCCCATTCCCGATTGTTGAAAATGACCCCGATGTCCAGGCATCAAAGAACTCCCGGACTCCATATGTCGATAATAATCTGGAGGACTGCCAGCACTCGTAACAGCATTGACGACTTCGGACACCATAAAAGAATCATTGTGCGCATTATCCTCCGCACGCGGGTACTGGGACACCGCAGCCAGAGCTGCAACGCCCACGTCATGTAATCGGCGGTCGATCTCGGAAGTCATATTCGTCGGAGCAGATCGATCACTGGAAACCATATCCGAATCGACGGTCGAATTAAAGTCCCCATCGTCTGCACCAGACACCCCAGAACGAGTTGGATTCATGGCTGGAGGATCGATATCACATGACACATGGCGCGGTACGGGATTCAAGGCGGGGAAGTCGGATGAATTCGAGTCACTGGAATGAATCATCGCCCGCCATGGATATCTCGAACGATCGAATTGTTAAACCCGGAGTTCTTCCAGGCACCGTGCTGCAAGGATGATCACGTCCCGAAAAAGGTCGAATCAGCAGGGATGACTAGCGGTCGCACAAGCGGAGGAAATCGATCCAGTAAGAACAGTAAACCTGGGCAGCGTACAGGTAACACGTTGCGGTTTGAAGTTGCACAGGTTTGGCTCGCAGTCAACTCCACACTGCGTGGCGTTGATTTCCAAGCCTTTTGAGGGAAAAAAAAGGCGGAGAGATTGAAATGCCGAGTTCAACCGTGATGCCGAAAAACAGCCCCCTAATGAGATTTCAAAACCGACAAATATCAGCTTAGTAAATTATGTAGGCTGATCAAAAAGGAAATAGAGGGGGAATATGCGGACAGTGCGCGGTAGCCTTTTCCGCAACGACAGAAAGAGAGAGATGCAGAACGTGGGGAGAAACGTGAGAGACACTCTCCACTTTTAGATCTCCATGACTTTATAAAGGAAATAAAAAGAAAGCATAAGAATCTGAAAGATGATACGTAGATTGCAGGGATTCAACCCTAATATTCAGCCCCTTCAAACCATACAGATCAAAGATATACGCAAGTAGATCATGCAAATGAAATCTACATCTGCTTTATCATCTCGAGCCTCGCATATGTAAACAATGCAGGGAGTAAACGCACTGCAGATCTAAACCGGTCAAGCCAGGTGACTTGCGCTTTGATGTCGGGCACGCCTTGGGCTGAATATGGGGCCATATAAACTGAAAAGTCGGAAATCTGATAGTTCATGTTGCTTCACAGCGCTATTTCGATTACGCTATGTCGATTACGCTATGTCGATTAATATGTCGATTAATATGTCGATTAATATGTCGATTAATATGACGATTTATACAAGGCAACCCGGTCCAAATCACCGAGAAAAAAATAAAAAAAAATAAAGAATATGAACATAAAAATAATCAACTCGTCAGTCGTGCAACGCCTTTGAACTATATTATAAGAATGAACGCCGGTATGTAAATGGTACAATAAATCACGTCGAAACCAGATGCATCCGGAAGAAACAGAACAATTAAAAAAAGAACAAGCGCAATCGCTTTCGTTAATAATGGGAATATGTGTCATACTGCGACGGATAAGGATCCGTCGAAGCATGAGGTTGTGACTGTGACTGTGCCCAGGCACTGCGAAGACGGCGTTCTAAGGAGAATGTTAGAATCGACTATATCAAATCATCCCAACAGGGAAAAGGGCAAGACATACCTTTTTCAAAATCACGCCACCTCTTCATCGTGATCTTCGTACTATCAAACTCGCCCTCGGCATCACCGTGTCCCTTATCCTTCTCACCAGCAGTCTTACGGGTATCACCCCAACTGAAGTCATCGAACTTCCAGAATGCGTACATCGGCAGAACGAAATTCCAAATGGGAAGCGAGCAGAGGTAAATGAACATCCAGGCCACGTAGACGAGTTTGTGTGCGGTGACGACAATCAGAACACCAGGCAGACCCAAGACTAGGGCCAACAGAACCAGCGGAATGACTTGGACGGGTTTCCTGACGATTGAGACAATGACGACGTAGATGGTGAATGCAATGGCGGCGGGGAGGACGAGGGTTCCGATAAGCTCGATGAAGATGACGAACTGCATGCTGAAACAGAAGGTTCCACACAGATCGCGAACGAGGACCAGTTCGAAGAGATTGTGGACGGTACTGTTGATCCAGCGACGGCGTTGGGAGAGCAGGACTAGGAATGCGTCTGGAACGACAGTTTTGCACACGGCTTGGGGGACGAAGATCTGCTTGCGTTTCGGGAAGGTCTTGAGCATCAGGGTGGTTAGGTATCGATCTTCACCGAGAAGGAGCAAGTTCTTCTTGTGGAGGGTGTCGACGACGTTTTCCGAGTAGTGTTCGACGATATCTGGGTTGGCGAGAATGGGTACCCAGTAGTTCTGGCCGCCCTTGGGAGCTTTAATTCGGTACATGGTGAAACATCCAGGGAGACAGGTTACACCACCGAAGACGGATTCAAATGATTTGGCTAGATGGTGAGAGACAAAGTACCTGTTGGAGTTAGTTACTGTGCTGGTTACACCATCAACCCTGGGGAACTTACTCGAAGACCTGGATCATTGTTACCCAGCTGTCGGTCTTGTTTGCGATTTTGGTTTCTCCACAGAGACCCATGATTTCTGGGTCCTTCACCATGGCCGAGACCATATGTGTCAAGCTGTCTGGGAACACCTTCGTGTCGGCATCAACCATGAGAACAATCTCGTAAAAGTCCGGCGGGATGCCTGTGACATTCCACATGCCATTGAACATTTCGAACTCGAGTTCCGTCATACGCTCGTCAAACATAACCTTCTGGAGGAAAGACATGAGAATGATCTGACTGTCTCGCTTGCCTCGGTTACCAGGCTTTGACTGGGTCGACTCCTGGGCAGTTCCGCACTTGACAATCACCATCATGGGAACACGCTGCTGCTTTTCGATTGGGATGACCGATGTGGTACCGTAGTCGTAGAATCCAGTGTAGACCTTGGCCATGTTGTGTCGCTTGGAGCCAGTAGCCACAGCCACGTAGGAGTACGGCTGGACCTCGTCTTTGGGAACAACAGGGTCCCTAAGCATGCCCACTACAATATCTGGCGTGGAGAACTCCTCTCCCTTACCCTTGATGATACCATCACAAATGACCAGGATCGTTTTGTGGCTGTTCGGGTAGTCGGTCATGGCAACGGAATCCAAAGTCGACCTAATACCCTCTTCACCTTCAGAGTAGCAAGTAACCAGACAGAGACTGTGAGCCAGAGGGTAGCCGAATGGCTGCCAGTCAGCAGGAGGCTGAGGAACGACAGCTTCGTGAATGAAACCAGCAGGACCCGCATCCTGATCTGCCGATAGGGTGGAGAAACCCGGATCTTGCTGACCCTGACCGGGAGGAACCAAGCTAGTCCGACTGGCAGTAGGATTTTGCCGAGAGTTGTCGGCGCTCAGAGTGCCACCACTGCCGTTGTGGCTTGACTTGTACATAGTGCCAGGATTAGAGCTGGGCATGAGATGAGTCGTCGAGTTCTGACTAGCCATGGTGACATAAATCGGCCTTTGCTTGCTACCAGTGCTGCTGCTCACATTGTATGGGCTCGAGAAACGGGAAGTGGTCGGGAGGAAGCTAGCGCGTTTGTTCATGCGATCGGGAACGATGGGTTCGGTAATTCTTGGAGCCGGTCGATAGATATCGTTGGACCAGTCTTCAATCTGTTGATTGCGAGTCTTGGCATTGGAGGACATGCTCGTGGTCTGCGCGGCAAACCTAGGTGCCATAAACCACTGGAAGAAGACAGCGAAAGCGAACTTGACGCCCACGATGGCGAGAATGAAGATCAGGGACACGTAGAGGACGACTTGCGACGCAATACAGCCAACAGTATCAGTGTCGATGCTGCCCACTTTGATAATCTGCGCCAGGCACTTGCCAATCTTCTTCTCCTCCCCGGATTGTAGGTAGTAGGTGAGATCAACACCACGGACAGCAGGATTCTTGCGAAGCTCGTCGAATTGTTTGGGATAGGACACCTGGCTGCGATCAAACCAGGCGAGAAGGTCGAGGTCGAGCACAGTTCCGGAGTATATCGCCAGATTGCGACTCTTGTTCTTCGTGTCCTCCCATGTGTAGTACACATCCCCATCACTGTTCAGCGAGTAGAAAGGCTCACGAGCCTGCTTGCTTGTATGGCAAGCCCAGCCCGTGTAGTACTGAGTGGTCAAATTGGGCGAGGACGAACCATCCTGGTTGAAGGGCGCACAGGGAAAGTACCATCCGAGATCTCCTTTGGAGTTTGTTGGAATATCCCCATCAGGCTTGGCCGTAATCAGTCCCTTGCACGCACCATTGACCTGCTGGAAGAAGAAGCTGCCATCCTGTCCACCATACCTGTGTGGCAAGTCGTAGATAACATTTGAACGAGTGGGGATACCAGCAACAGCGGGATGTTTGGAACCACTCAAGTCATATGCCTTTCCGTGGAAGATCATGAAGTTGGGACTGATTTTATTGGCCTTCAACCGAACCGGGGGTGAGCCACAAACCGTAGCCGTGAAACCGAAAGTCAAGAAACCGACAAAGGCACCGATCATCAGAATGATACTGATAAGGCCTATCTTCTCTCGCCAAGCACTGCGCTGCTCCTTCTCTGGCATGCCGAAGCATTTCAGCACAAAGTCCGGAATGAAGAATGTGAGCACTGCACAATATGTAGGCCACAACTCGGGCGGGCCACTCTGCTCGATAATAGCTTTCTGACGTCTCTGTTCATCCGCAGCTCCCTTCGACGACCTCCGCGAGCCTCTCTTCTTCTTCTTCGATCGATGTCTGCTAGGAACTCGTTCCATTGGTTTGTTGACATTACCCTGCGCGCCGTATAGCCCATCCTTGTTTTTCATATCTATGCTGCGCGAGCTGTTCGTCTCCGCCTCGACATCTCTGTTGTCCAATAACGGATCGTTTCCCGTCGCCGAGGGAAAAGCGGTTGATCGCGGCCGGTAGTGATGATCAGATTGTTCACGGTCGTCCCGCCTGCGCTCTGGTTTGACCATGCTCTTTTTGCGTCTCACATCGCTCCGGTCCATGCGCTCTTCGTCCGTTTCCACTCCTCTTCGGTGACTGGAGTGTCGACGACGGTGTCGGTGGGAGGGGGAAGTGGGGTCGTCGCTGTAAGTGCCCGAGTCGATATCGCGTCGACGGCGTCGAGAGGGTTCGCGAAATGCGCGGGCTTCTTCGCGCCGACCTGGGGGCTTGCCTGGCCTCTGCGGCAAAGACATCTCGTTTCTACGAAGGTTGATGTCAGTCCACACTCCGAGCTTGGTTGGATTTCAATTTGCAGGCGCACTCACTTTAGTTATTGCTCATCAACAGCAGGTTGGGTCGATTATTCAAAATATGGATCTGTCGGTTGCCGCTTGAAACATGTCAAATGCGTTGACCCGGTCCTCGATAATGCGACCTATTTGTATTCTCAAATGTCTGATCTATTGACCAGCAAATAGAGTGGGTTGGGAGTTCTCGAAGGCGATACGGTCGGCCTGTGCAAGGTGGAGAGTAAACAAAGTCCCCACTCAAGAAAACGAAAGATGGAAAACAGAAAAGCGAATGTGATGATAGGTAGTAAAAGGGAAAGGGAAGTGCTGAGACAAAGACCCTGTACACGGGACTTTAGCGCTCTAGGAGAGGTTAGGCCTGTTTTACCATGTAAAGGCCATATTAAGACATATTAAAAATAAATAATCTATTTTCTTTGTCGCTAGGGGCAATATCATAATATCACAAATATCACAAATATCACACTATCCAGGCCAATTAGATCACCCACGGTTTAACCAAATGTCTTCCAAGGTTCGTTAATACAATACCAAGAATGGCCAGATTTTAGTGATTTTTAGTGATTTTGTCGGTAACAAAAGGAAAAACCAGCCGAGGAGGCATTTTTCTCTGATCACGGGGTTCAATTTCTATTTTGGGCCAACTAAGACAGTTTATGCTTAGTTCTAGCTTTAGTGATCTTAGCCGGATAATAGCCACGCTAAATAGCCAATTGCCACTTACACTTTAACATAAATAGTAAATAGTTCACGGTAAAAGCAAAAGAGAGAAAAAGATGGAAGCTTCCCCATAATCCATCTCCTAACCCCTGTGAAAACCCGTAAACAGCTATGTGATATATCTCGAAGGTATATACGAACATTATGTTTCGAGTCGGTGTACTCCGTACTCCGTGCGGAGGAATGGCGTAGCTCTAGATCAAAGAAAACAGGTTATAATAGTCAAAGGTAATGCACGCCATATATGTACAAGCCCTTGACAAAACACTAAAACACCTGTACTACCAGTCTAAAGTCTAGCCAGAACAGAACGCATTATGTGATGGAAATAGTACTTGAAAGAAGTCGAAAATCTGCATTGTCTGGATATAAAATCTAGGATACCCCTGTATGTAGGTACCCCAAGGTCAATGCCAATGTCAATGCCAATTCAATATGATCGACAACTGGCGGCCGATCATCACGGCTATCCCCAGAATCCATACAGCCCATGGGCCCCATAGTGCATATGCACCATTCCGTTTCACATTCGAAGACCATATGGTGTTCTATAGTCCCTACCCCGTAGACGTTCTTGAATCACGAAAGGAACGTGTCACTTGTGGACAATTCCCCTTTTCCATTCAAAAAATAATCCAATTGAGAATCCAACTTGGCTGCGGATTTGCTGGTCTACGGTGGAGTCCGGTATCCTTGTCGGGCCACGTTCTTCGGCTCTTACTAGAATGCTGACAGTATCTCTCCGCATGAGCTGATGTAGTACAGCTTCAACTCCGAGTACCCAGGCTACGAGGGATGTCTGGCAATATCTGGTTAATGAATTCACCACGTAGGCTATGGCGTTATACGATATTATTAGAGTACTTTACTTTTTGTCTGGCATTGACGGTGTGGGTTGACTGCAAGGAGTATACATTGACAGATGAATATGATCCGTGCGAGGATCTGAAACTCAGTTTTGTTTTCCACGTTAATGAGATAGGGCTAATAGAACTGGGAATACGGAGTAGAAATAGAAATAATATATCATTTCGGTTACGCTAAAATTAATAGGAGTTAATAAGAACCCTCTCTGCGGCATCGGGTGTAAATAAGGAGCTCATATTTCCACTTCCAACTTTATCCACCACGCACAGAGCCCCGGAGTAGTCGGATATAAATCCCACTAGAGACACTAACCACTAAAGACAGTGAATAGAAAAGCCGCTTAGAGTTGTGCACAGTAAAAAAGAGGGGATGAAAGGTCAGCATGTCTTATGCGTTAGATGGCATGTCTCGGAGGACCCTGTTAGTCGACCCGATAGGCATCAACTTTGATGATTTGGGTTATACGAGAATGTGCCAGGCATAATAATAGCATGAAAGATATAATAAAACAATAAAAGAATTTGAAGACTAGTTTATTTCTTTTTACTCTTCCCCTCGCTTCAGCTTCGAAATATCTCTAATAGTCTCGTGTCCACTCTTTTTAACTAGCTCTCCCCCATGGATTCCTTAAACTCCTAACTCCCATTTTCTTCATGGATCTTCCAACTCTCACTTTTGACCTTTAATATCTCTCTTCACCATGGCCAGTCCTGCTAGTCCTGCGGGACACCGCCAGCTGCCTTCTCCCCCGCCAGCTTACCTCCGATCATCGCCTCCATTCACCCCATCGCAATCACCACGGACCATCCCGAGACCCCAGAGTTTGAATCTCCGCAAACCAGTCCCTTCATCGCAATCCGAAACCTCCCCCGTCCTACAAAATTCGCCGCGCTCACCAGTCAAAATCGCACATACTGCAGATATCCCAGATGCCTCCAGCGTGCGCATCGAAGGCGCATACAGTGGGCCCACCACACCGCAATTGGAGCTCCCCGAGTTCGCAGACATGTCACTCGACGGCCCCGTACAGCCGCCTCAGCAGAGCTGGAATCCCGCCCACCCCCCGCGGCGAGACTCAATACAGGCCCCGCACTACACACACACGCATCCCTACGGTCACACCCCAGCAAGCAGCGGCTCATGGTCGGTGGTAGAGCCGAAAGACGAAGGACATGGAACCCCGAAAAAGAGCGCCTCTTCATTAGAGCGCGAGGGTCAGAGCTATAATGGCTCATCGCGGGGAAGCCTGGATAGCGTGGCGCTGGCGTCCGACAACTACGAACCTCTGACCTACCACCACCAGCAAGAGCCAGCTGGGGTACCTAACAGGAAACCCGCACCCAATGCTAGAGATAATCCATCCGCCTCAACGGACAAACTGGCCGCTAGGCGATCAAGGCTTTCGCGGCCTCTTTCGACATACTCCGCAACCTCAGAGGGTGGTCACCGACGGAACCTCTCCGCATCGCCGTATCTACACCCGCGATCCTCATCTGGAACCCCCGAAAACAGGTCTTCATCATTCCTCGATTTGCTCAACACATCATACCCACAGCCAGGCCCAACAGCAGCGCGATTCGACAACTCGCGTCTCCAAGCTTCAGTCGGAAACAACGCCTCTCTTCTTAGCCACAAAGACACATTTGAGATGTACCTAGCGAACGTAAAGAAAACTGACGAGCCAACAGTGCTGTATGAATTCGCCGTGTTCATGATAAACTCGATGCGCGAGATGCCAGCCGTGGACCTGGAAGACTCCAGCCCAATAACGCGTGCCCGTCTACTCCGCGAATCAAAATCCATCCTGCAGCGCCTCGCAGACCGCAGCTACCCCTTCGCACAGTACTACCTCGGCGACGGGTACGCGTCGGGCCTGTTCAACAAAGGCGTCGAGGACCACGACCGCTCCTTCCCGCTCTTCGTGGCAGCCAGCAAACACGGCCACGTCGAAGCCTGCTACCGCACAGCGCTGTGTTACGAGTTCGGCTGGGGATGCCGTCCCGATGGCACCCGTGCAGTGCAATTCTATCGCCAAGCAGCGTCGAAGAACCATCCGGGCGCCATGATGCGTATGGCCAACGCCTGTATTGCTGGCGATATGGGGCTGGGCAAACGGTACCGCGAGGGGGTCAAGTGGATGAAGCGCGCGACCGAGTCCGCAGACACGCAGTATAACGCCGGCCCGTACGAGCTCGGTGTGATGCATGAGAGAGGCTTCGGAGACGATGTCTTCCCCGATGAGACTTATGCAGCGCAGCTGTTCACTAAATCCGCGGAATTGGGCCACGTCGAGGCTTGTTATCGTCTTGGAGATGCGTATGAGCATGGGAAATTGAATTGTCCGCGCGATCCGGCGCTCAGTATCCATTTCTATACCAGTGCCGCGCAGAATGGGCATCCGGTGGCGATGATGGCGCTTTGTGCGTGGTATCTTGTTGGTGCGGAGCCTGTGCTCGAGAAGGATGAGAACGAGGCTTATGAGTGGGCTTTCCGGGCTGCGCATCTCGGCCTCGCGAAGGCTCAGTATGCTGTTGGCTACTTTACTGAAATGGGTATCGGCTGCCGTCGTGATCCTCTCGAGTCGAATGTGTGGTATGTCAAGGCAGCGGACCAGGGCGATGAACGGGCCAAGCATCGAATCGCTACAATCCGAGCTGCAGCAGAGGGTACACATCCAACTGCGGCTGGTCGCAATGGAGCGACTCGTACTGGAGGCCGGCTTAAGAAAGCCGAGCGCAAGGACCCAAGTCATGCACAGGGTGAGTGAACCGAACTCGATTTGCATCCATACACATTTTGCTAACTACATATGAATTAACCAGAACCCGAAAACGAAAAGCCTGCCAAACAGAAACGATTTGTCATTTTCTAATCTCACCATACAAAACACATTTATGACCTGATCTGTTCAGACGATCTAAATTGCACACGTCCAAGCACCTTCACCCCAAGCCCGTTACCTTGCGACTCTCAGCAAGCATTGAAATATAAATGCAAGCTGAAAGCCCCTCACGAGAACAGTCTACGAACGAAAATACATACATAATCCCATTCACAACCTCTGCATACAACCCCGCGCAGCAAAGCGCGAGCACGAAAACTGCCATTTTACAAGCGATCTGAATCGGAATATGAATCAATTCACATGCCCCTTATTGAAATCTTGTGCATTTCTCGAGTATCGAGCTGATATTTCGAATCTGTTTATACCACTCTCTTTTTCGTACCTATTCTACATCTTCCATCTCATCTCTCATTTATCAGCGTGGTTGTTTCCATCTGCTTTCATTCCTTTGCGCTCATATTCATCTTTGTATGAATCTACTCTGGTTTCCTGGATTGTTTGTTTCATCGGCGTTGTAAAATTTTATTCCGAAAATACATGATTCTACTGGGGATATATGTATGCATTTTTACCGTATTCCTGGGATCTCTTGTGGATTCCTAGAGCTCAGCTTAACTTGTTTTGCTGCTCGTTTTTTTCTTATATATATTTAGTGACTTATCTCCTACGCTTGTCGATTTATGTCGGCCAAAGCGGGCACATGACTTTAATCTTCTGGGTCGCTTTATATTGCTCGTACTTCGCTCGATGATGTACAAGGGTTTCTTGCGCCTCTCTCCGATATCGGCAGATATACAGATCCAGCCATCGTTGCTCAACAAAATCATCCCGACTAATGATATCTATGTGCTCAGGTTCTGCGAGGCTGTCCAGGTGTTACGGGTTAGTCATCAAAACCACATCGATGTTGCCTGCGACCCAATGGTATGGTTAGTGCACGCGGGGAATGAACGGGGGTGGTTAGGGCTCTCGTTTTCGCTATATATCTTGCCCAGGTTGAACCAATAACTTGCAGTTTCATATATTCTATAATTACAGCTCTGTCTAAATATATTGAAAGGAGCCTGTTGGGAATATATAAGTGATGTGGGAGGTTGTTATACTAGGGATACTAGGGAAAAGAGGGAGAAATATATATCAGACCTAACACTTATTGCTAATCAAAGACAAATAAATATATCATGAACAGATCATGGACAGCGAGAATTTCACTATTATCTTGAAGCTCTGGCTCTCAGAAGTCACCTTCATCATACTGAGCAGCAATCTCAGTGCCCATGGCCCGTGCCCAAAGTCGTGTTCAACCACGCATGGATCGTCCTCGAAAGCTCCTGCCCACTACCAGTCTGGCAATGAAAGCCAGCAAGCCCCTTGAATGTATGTAGAGTCGCCCAGTGGCCCAGCGCATCCGCCACCTGCTTCGGTTGTCCAACGTAACTGCTCTGCAGCTTGGCGTCACCGACAAACATAGGCATCTTGATCTGGTCAATGAAAGACTCTACGTTATACTGCTTGACCTAGGTGAAGAAGTTAGATGGCGAGTGTGTGTAGAACGCCCATAGGCCTTGGTCGATACCCTAGGCAGCGCCGGTGGGGTCTAAGCGGAAATGGAAAGGGGCAGAGGAAATTAAGTCACTACATACGAGGTAGCTAAGCTTCCACCCTCGGCTAAACTAACTATGTACATAAATCCACTTCTTTATCAAGACCGCAACTAGGAGCATCGGCGTCGGTCTATTTTCAGCCTCGGTGGGGCGTTCAGTGGATTCATCGCGAATTATTGCTGAACGTTGGATAATATCTTGATTTTTGGCCTACAAGACTCGCGTCAATAACCTGCTAGGAAAAAGTTAGCTCTAATATCAATTGAACGCCTGCTGCTCTTTCTGTTGTTAATTCACCACACTCATTTATTTCGTTTCAACTACCCTGTTCGGGTCTGGTGTTTGGATGATGCAGTCTACTCTCCCTATCTCCTTGCTGCTGCTTCTCCTACCATTGAACGTATTTGCAGAGACCGAGGTGATCACTGGAACCGATGTAACTTGTTCCTGGAGTCATAATGTTGCTCAAAATCCGTCGTTTGAGCTCGGGTCCCTCTCTCCTTGGGCTGTCTATCAAACCCAGGGTACTTCAAGTGTTGTGGCGGACGCCTCTGACGACGGGGGCTATGTTGCGTAAGAATCTCTTGCATATATGTTGAATCTGCCCGAGGTTGTTGTATATCTTTACTGACTCAATATTGGACAAATAGAGCGTTGACACCGGCCACTTCGGGATGGGGCTCGCTATACCAGAGCTTGACGGACCTCACCGTAGGACAGACGTACACACTCTCCTTTGACTACAAAATTGCTTCTGCTGTCAACTCTGGAACCTGCAATTTCTACTTTGCGGTGAACGGTGTTTTCGGAACGAATCGTATTACCACAACGCCAATGGGATATGTTGCGTACTCAGGATCATCGACAACCCCAGCTGCTTCATCGTGGAGGACACTGTCGACCACATATGCACCTACCAGCACAAACCTTGACTTGATGCTTTTCGTGATTTGTTCAGGAAATTCTCGTCTCCCTCAGGCTATGCCTCAGGTCTACTTTGACAATGTTCAATTCAGCAATGATAATGTCGAAATCGAGACTTGCACTACGTCCACTTATACCTCGACTGTCACTATCGCCTCCACTTTGACTCCTGTCAGTACACCATCGGCTGTGGCTACCAGCTCCATCATTCTTTCGTCGGCTGTGGTTGTCTCTCAAACGCCTTCCAGCAAACCTGATGCGAGCCTGTCGTCGTCTGTAATCGTTGCTTCTAGTTCTACTCCCTCTCTCGTTGCATCCACCGTACCCACTTCCAACACTCCTTCCAGCACCCCATCAAGAACCCCAGCAGGTCCCACGGGACGACCATTGCCTTCTAGTTCGAGGGTTCCAATTTCGAGTACATCACCCCCAGCTTCGCCATTGAAGCAATCATCGACTGCTCTGCCTTTGTCGGTTTCCAGCCTGTCAAGCAGAAACCCGGCCTCCACAGGACAACTCTCGCAAACATTCGTTCTTTCATCGTCGGCTACCGCAGTCCCTCAATCAACGCCACTCGTTAACTTGCCCGTGCCTCAGTCAAGCTCAAGCAATGCCGCTTCTTCGATCGGCGTCGCTCCATCGGCTCAAATCACAAGCGTCGTCTCCAGCAGCATTGCAAGCGCAACCGAGATTGATAGTTCTTCAAGCCTTGTCTCGGTACCCGCCGCACCAGCAACCATCGATTCTGGTGCCACTAATGCTTCCGGATCTACACCTACCACTGTTTCGATCACGGAGAATCATATCTCATCCTCGATAATCGGTCCTACGACGATTATTGAGACGCAAAGCAGCCTGCCACAAACTATGACAGGAGGACCACTACCTGGAAATGAAGGGAGTGCTCCAAGCCCTGCGTTTACGACCTCTACTGTCTTCAGCACCCGGACCGCAACAATCACAGCTTGCCCCTCCAGTGTCCTCGACTGTCCCGCCTCCGCTAAATCTACCTACGTTACAACCGAAACTATCATTCTGTCAACTACCATCTGCCCAGTCACTGCTGCAGAACCCACCGTCACAGCTGCCCCCAAAATCACAGAAAGCACAGGTGCCGAAGATCTCGCATACACGGCATCGACTGTGTTCAGTACCCGGACTGCCACAATCACAGCCTGCCCTTCTAGTGTGCTTGAATGTCCTGCTTCTTCTAAGACCACTTCTGTGATGACAGAGACTATCCTGGTGTCCATTACTATCTGCCCTGTCACTCCTACCGCCACTGCCGCTCTTTCTGTAGGACCAGGAAATAACGTTGTTGAGGGAGATGTGACAACGGAAACTCTTTTGACTACCGTGACTAAGACTATCACCGCTTGCCCCTCCACAGTGACGGACTGCCCTGCTTCTCAGAAACAGACATACACCACTACCGAGATTCTCGTTGCAGGGACCACTGCATACCCAGTAGCCTCTGCTAAGCAGATTTCGGTCGCGGGCAACTCAGATGTTTTGACCACGACTCTCTCACTTGTCCCAGTTGGAAATGGAAACAGCAAACCCACAGAGACCGGAACCACTCCTATGGTTGCACCGACACCGTATTCCTCAGAGTTGACATTTGTCAATGCTGAACCCACATCATTCGAAATTTCAGCCTCCACTCCCACAGCTTCGACAAGTTCAACATCAGTATCGTCTGTCGCTATTGATGTTTCAGCCCAGGCTATAGAGTCCGAGTCCTCCGAAGCCGGTATTTACGCTTCTGCTCTACCGACTACAAGCACGGTTATTCATGCTAGCGCCAGCAACCCTACACATTCATTCTCCGCCCTTATCTCAACAGCTGCAAGCAGTAGTACTCTGACCTCCCAGAAGAGCTCTGCTACCAGCTCATCGACATCCACTCAGAGCTACAGCGGTATCACTGCGGCACCTAGTGTCGCATACACTGGTTCAGCGTCACCTCTTCGCTCCGAGTGGTTGAAGGTGATTGGTGGTATTTTCCTTGTTTTGTTCGTTTAGTTGACGTTAGAACTAGATATTAATTGTGAATTGATACAAACATCCCCCCGCGACCCTAATTTTGTAATGATTACTGCGTTCAATAATCTGACTACTATTTCCAGGAACCGATCAGGCAGACTCGTTTGAACTCCTATATCCTTGAGGGACTTGCCCACATATTTAAACACGGCTGTGGCTTGAGAGAGATTATCCCATCATTTTTGTATGAATTTCCGCGCCGGGCCAACCAAGCTACGTTTTGCGACTACGCCTTAGCCGTTGCTGTGAATTTAGGATGTGGAGTTTGCATCGAGTGCCTGGTCGAAGCGGGTGGCCGCCACAAAACTGGATTGCCATCCAATCAACGAACTGAATTGATTGTCGAAAAAGTCCTCAGAAATGCAGCGATGAGAGCTCAGCTCCAGAGCGTGAAAACATTCATACAAGCAAAAGCCGATATAAATGCGGCACCAGTCCGATATCGTGGACAAACAGCCCTTGAAGCCGCAGCTGGTGTCGATACCAATGCACCTCTCACTCACGACGTTGGCCGAACGGCCCTACAAGCAGCAGCTGGAGAGGGCCCTCTTGAGGTTGTGAACTCACTGATAAAACTCAATGCTGATATCAATGCTGCTCCAGCCGAAAACGGTGACCGAACAGCTCTCCAACCAGCAGCTGAAGCAGGTCATCTTCAGGCTGTGAACACATTGATACAGGAAAACGCTGATGTTAATGCAGCCCCAGGAAACATCTATGGTAAAACTGCCCTCGAAGCTTTAGCCAAACTGCCCTCCAAGAAGCAGCCGTAAATGGACATATTGAAGCTGTGAGAATACTGATAGAGGCAAATGCTGATGTTAATCTGGTGCCGAGAAATTCCAATAGCGAATGCCCCCTTGAAGAAGCCGAAGATGGGGGCTATTTTGTAGTTGCAGAGATATTAAGGCAGGCTGGCGCAAAGGAATACATAGGGCGATGATCAAATCGGTTTGACACTTCTTCTACCGCGAAAGACAGAACCAACCACCAACATTGCTATCGTTCCCTCCTCCAGAGGTCGGCAGCCTTCTATTTTTGCTGAGGGCCCAGACTAAATACGAGTTTAGCGGTACATATTTCTCTTTGGTAGCTAGACACTGCGTGATTTGTGTACTAACGGCCCCGGAGATTATATTACCGAGAATACACAGCCCCGACACCATCCCTGTAGTGATGCAGCCAACTGCCACCCGATCAAATTAATGACCACTGGACTGTCGCGGCCAGACCCATTTTAGTGAGCTGGAAAGCAAACAGGCTCGGGTATCCGGTTGTCTCCCTAATCGTGCTGATCATCTCTCTCAGTTGGTGGGGTTCCCCCGCCGGATGATCTCTATGCCTCTGATCAGTAATCAATCAACGTAAAAGAATCAACTCATTCAAGTCAGCAATTTTCTTTCCAAATTCATCAAGCCATGGGTGTTCATGTGGTTTCAAAGCTGGATAACCGCCAGCATGCGAGCTTCAACCTCGAAAAGGATGCTCAGAGGGAACTATCAGAGTCCTCAGTAAGAATTCGGACGCAACTGATCAGCCTCACTTCGAATAATTTGACCTATGCTTTAATGGGTGGATTTCTGCGTTGGTATGTTCTCAATATCTACCCAAACCAAATAAGACTGTCCGAAAACGACCTGAAATGGGATTCTTATCAATTACTCGCAGGTGGGACGCGTACCCCGTATCTGAAGACTATCCCGCACCATACAACGACCCATCAGCATGGGGAATCGTTCCAGCCTGGGGCTATGCCACAGTGGAAGAGACGACCATTCCAGAATTACCCAAAGGGACACTTCTTTACGGATTCTGGCCTACAACCAGCACACCAACCGATCTCAAACTCAAGCGCGGCTCACCAGAAGGCCACTGGATTGAGGCCAGCGATCATCGCCAGCAACTGATGCCGCTGTACAACCGATACACGGTAACTCCTACATCGACTCCAATCTCCGCCCTGACCACGGCACCCAATCCCCTTTCAGATTCTGCACAGGATGAGCTAGACCGCATGGCCTGGACCGCCCTGTTTATTGGCGGATCGGCCGGGTACATTCTCAGCGAGTACGTTTTCTCGCCCTACCCAAGCCAACCTCCCATCCATCCACTGGGAAATCAAGCTGGGTTGCAGTGGACCCTGTCCGACGGGGATTTGTCATCCGCGGTCGTCGTAAACCTGGCCGCATCGACTAACACGGCCCGTGTTTTCTCGTACTACCTGTCGCAAAAGCCGCATGCCTCGGCACCCCTTGGCCTGTTGCAGGTTACATCAGGTGTGTCACGCATCGCGGAAGCGGGTCGGAATCTGGCTTCTGTTCCTTCTAAGGCGGTTAGGTATCAGGATATTACATCCGATGAGACTGCGGATTGGTTGGCTAGCCGCAAGGCTAAAAAGATTGTTATTGTTGACTTCGGTGGTCGTGCAAATGCTCTGGAAGACACACTCTCCCTGATTAAGAATCATGCTGAGTTGCAATCTTGCAAGGTCGTCATTGTCAATGTGGGAAATGAGCAGAAAGTATACTCAATGGAGGAAATTATTGCTGGAAGAGAAGCAACGGAGAAGCTTGGAAAGGTTCAATACAACACTTCTGGTGTTCAAGACACGATACTCGGATCTATCGACCCGGAAGCCTATTTCGCAACAAAAGGGGCACAGTGGGAACGATGGTTGGATGAGCGACACTTGAGCGTGCCAGGAAAGCAGATTGTGTTTGGCCGGGGTGTCTCTGGTGCTGATGGCGTTGAGGGAGGGTGGGATAGACTATGTGATGGACAAGTAGGAGCTGATGAGGGATTGGTGTACAAGATTCAGGCTTAATTTGACATGGATTAGTTTGAACGAAGTATTTGACAGATATAACGAGAGAGAATTTGTGAAATTAAACCCTCCAGGCTGTGGGCCAGAAATCAATACCGGGGCAGAGAAAGAGTAGACAAAAAAGGAGTCCAAATTCAAAGTGACTATACGACCTCTTCGTACCGGGGAGAAGGCTCAGCAGTGTGAATACTCGCACTTTGTTCACTTGACGAACGCGGAGAATTAATCTCCGCTAGCATCAGATGCCCACATAGATCCAGTTGAGCAGCTGCCGAGACTATCAAATCCGAAAAACGCTCAGTGTAAGCTGGAGGAGGACTTCGGCTTCCCTGCATGTGTTGAATATCTTGCCCACGAATGAACGCATTTTCTCCGATCACATTAGATGTCATATATATCTTAAATGGAACAAATTGCGTGATCTAATTTCCCGTTAGCTGTATGTCATGAGACTTCGACTAGGCTATTTGCATACCACAGCTGTCGTATCCCCCGCCTCATCGCGGAACTCAGCAGCGATAGAGAGCTCATGGCTGATCTTGATATGTCTGGTCGAGATACTCTGCGAGCACGCGTCGAGACTCTCGGGCAGAGAGACTGGTGTAGTAAAGCGCCATTCAATTTCCGAAAGACCGTCTACCGGTGACTCATCCGCTTGAGAGAAATTGATAGTTTTTGAGAAAACAGTTTGGGTTTGTGCTGCAGTGATAAACCGTAAGTTGTGTCGCACTGATTCTGCAGCAGTAGCTTCCAACCGCGCAGTCTGTTTCTCAACCACTTTGATTGTGACAGTGTTGAGTGTGGCGTATTTTAACAGCGGTGCAAACCAGCATTCTACTGGAAATGTGCAACCAAAGGGAACATTTCGGTCAGTGATGGAGAGGCAATACTGGATATTGTCGTTGGAGTGGCCCTCGAGGGTCTAGATATTTTTAGTTATTTGGGTGTCGCAAACCATATCCAATGCAAAAATGTACTAACCAGCGGGCAATGAGGCCTTAAATAGCTTGTTTCCAAATCGGAAACTTGGTATATTCTAACCGGCTGCAAGACCACGAAATCGCTTTTGAGGCGTCGCTCGATAATGACCTCTACCCGATATGTGTGATATTGATTGTTTGCCCCAGTCACTGTGTCGAGAATCTTACTTGGAAGCGGAAAGTTGAATAAAAATGAGTGGTCTCCTGCCGGCATTTGGAATGCGTTGAGCGTTTTCGAAGAAGCTAATGGTTGTTCGAGCTCGAATGTGATCTGATCGCGGCTTTCTGCTGATCCAAAGACTCCCTCCATAGGGCTATAAACATGGTAAGATTATAGTCAATAACGAACTATGTACTGGGAGTCCTCACATTGCTAATATACCCCTCAATCTCACTTTGATACTCTTAATCGACACGACTTGTGCAAGGGAGAGATTGAATCTTCCAGTAACAGAAACTGGATGTCGCTCTTCCGAAATAAAAATACATGATTCATCAAGCCTAGTGGAATATGCGTTAGGTTATTATGAAAAAGCTAACAGGAATCATCGTACCTCAGCTCAGCCCTAGTAATATGTTCGCGGAACATAGTCAAAGACGCAAGCAATATTTAACTTGATAAATTATAAGTGGGATGAATACTTCAATTGAATTTGAGCCGTCGAATTAATAGCGAGGGAATCATGGCGCATTGTTTGCCTTTATACTCGTGTCTGCGCGACAGAGCGACAGGGCGGACATTCCTAAACGGGGTCGGGGAGCTGATTCCAATGACTTGAACCTTACAAGTGCAGCTCTTCACCACGGAAGGAAATACCGACATTCTTGTTATGTTGTCTAAATACATAGGTTACAATAAGTCGCGAAGATCTTTCAAGGTTAGTACTTGGAGATTTTCTTACAATCTTGCGAGGGACATTCCTTGATCTATAATGGAGCATCTTCCCACCATCATATGACTGCTAGTTCTGAAAGTATATAATGTATTGGAGTACTTGGACCCAAGTATATTACAGCCAAAAAGTATACACAGGATCTGTTCTTGTGTACTATAAAAGCTACTGACAAATTTCCCGCTAAACTACCTCGGGTATGTCTTCCGCTGGCCGCTGTTTTCAACTACCCTATCGGAATCATTACATATAGCTCTTCACCGCTAAACTGCCAAGATGATAACTACGACAGGATAGTCAAGAACAGCGGCCACCGGAAGATATACCCCTGGCAGTTTAGCGGGAATGTATCCGTAGGCCTTCTCTTCACTATGCACCCTATGCCATATTAAATACAAAAAGTACACAACAAGCACAAGATATGTTCCTTTACCTTCCTGCAATTTTCATCAAGCTAGACCGTCCCCAAATTCGAAGTCGGCCATGTCGAGATCTAACAATAATTGATCATTCGAGCGGTTCGGAAAACCAACATCAAGAAAATTGCCGAAAAAGGTATCAAAATCCTCGATTTCAGTTGCTGTTAACAATGGCGTGGTGTCTACTTCGAAATTAGAAGGTTTGTCCGATCCCAGTCGATGACCAGCCAGAGGGTGTGTGGTCTGAGATCCTGTATGAATCCGTCTCGCCACCTGCGCAATGTCGACAACCGAGTGCGACGGGATATTATCAGTGGAAATAAGTGGCTGTGAAGATATATGACTTGATTCCGGCAGAGAGTTTAGTCGGGTGATATTGATTTCTGGACCTGTGGAACGTTCTTCGTCTATGGTGGGTTGGATGCTGTTTAACACACGTTGGCCTAGACGAGTCATCACAGCGGCCGACCACCATGTAGTGCCCATTTTCTTGAGACACTGATGAAATAGACGAATTTGAGAAATGGCTGCGTGGCGTGCACTTGGCAGTTTGCTTTCTCTCAGCTGTTTGTACGTGACCGAGAAGACGAGCGAGATGGTGTAACCGATCATCGGAAACGGCAGAAAATTCCGAATATCTTGATTGCAACTAAGCGACGCGATGGTAAGGATTGAATGACTTTGTCGGATTTTTGATGCTAATGGCCGTGAACGTCCTTGCAATCCGGTGGAATGTGTTGAGAGAATAATCACAGAATGATAAACAAGCTCGAGAGACTCTGTCGGTCTATGGGTTAGACAATGTTGCAACTAAAAGACGGAGTGTTTCATACCAAGCAGGTCTGGAGACATGTCCCAGGCCTCACATTGCTCTACAATATCTTCAAAGGAGGGGAGATCGAGTTCGCTCTGATCCATGCCTTTCATGATCGGTCGGTAGAAGTGAATCACTTCTCCGAGCTTATCGGAAATCCGAAGCCAGACACGAAACGGCGAGTGGAACGTTGAAACAACGTCATCCACCCCCTGGCTCCTGTCTCCGTCGTGGATCATCAGGGGTCTCCCATTCATAGCAGCGTTCCATCGGTCTAGACTCCACAGGCACCAGAAAATACCCTTGGAAGAGGTACTAGAGTGTTGATCTGGCCTCAGCAGATGCAACCCCATGGTCTGGGCATGGTGAATAGCCTGGGCCAGATTCAAAGAACAATCCTCGGACCCAGTGGAGCCCCATTCGTGCAGTGACAGAAGCGCCAAGATTTGTATTGCGAGTACTTTTTTCTCGGCCCTTCTTGAGATGTTTTGCATAGCATCAGTATAGATGATGTTACTGAATTTCTCCAGTGGAAGAGTGTTTGGATGGGAACCAAGGCATTGGAAAGGCACCGCGCTCTGGTCCTTCGCTGCAACAAGACAAATCACTTGAAGAAGCCGCGGAGGGAGAATACCTGCTCTGTGCTGGGTTCGTACTTCATGTTCATCAAGAAGAGGCAGCAATGGGTGTATCCGACGAAAATATATGTCTATCAACGCCTCTTGGCAGTCTTTTGGGGGCAGCCAGTCGGGGTGAACATGGTTCCCTAGTGCTGTAGGTGAGGAGAAGCTAGGGGTTTCGCCTTGATCAATGAAATTCTCCTCAGCGCCCAACCATGCACCCACATCTCCTTTTTGGGATCGACCCTTCTGCAGCCTTGACTCGTTCTGTTCCATTAGAGTCGCTATAGGGTTGGAGTCACACGCAAAACGACGAGACTCTTGATCCACCTGTTCGCCCCCTTGTTCCACCGGATTCTGGGGGAGAAGCCACTTGATCGCTCACCTCTTGGAGATGCAGATCTATTTCTGACTGCTGGATATCGTCTTGAAGTCTGAGATACAGGACTTTGGCTACTTGTGAGACAAGAGATATCAGGGGAACAAGTCCCACCAGGTAATTGCTCGTGGGAGGTGTTGTGATAACATCGTTTCTGGCAAAGTCAGCGTACAACTCCGGTTGCTAGAAGGTTATCTAGGACAGTATACGACACCTTTTTGTGACGACAGGAGTTACAGGCTCGCTGCGCATGTCCCCTCTTGGCATTTGTTCCATCGCGACTTATTAAGAAAGTCAACTCCATCGTGAATGATTCTCATATGCATTATTCATCTTGTTGGCAAGTCATTGCGGGCCTTCCCTCTCGGGGGCAGGAACGGGAAGTACGCCACCGGAGCGGCAACCGTGTCCCAAAGCGGCAAGTCCGACTTCATAGCAGAACGGTTGTAGGCATAAATATGACCAACCACCGACATGACCCTGAAAGAAATATCGATACGGTAATGTCTTATACCAAAGGAGATCTAAGTCCAAATGCAAGGCTCACTGTGTGTGGTATATACTATAGTGTCAGGACGACAGTACTGAAAGTGTTGATGCCTGAGGCCTTAGTGGTGCCTGGGGCCGTCAGGCCTCAGCAGGCAGCAACCTCATTTCTCACCCCTGACACCCATCTGGGCACCCGACTACTGGCCGCACATAAGCCGTGTACTCTGCACGGCCGGCTCTCCAGATGCCACCAGCACCCAAGCGCCACTTAGGGTGGGTGCGGGTGATATGAGTGAGATGTCGAGAGACTATGATGAGACAGCTGAGAACGCGGTGAGGATTCTCAACATAACTGGAGTAGTTTAGCGGGGAGTGTGCTGCCTGTAAAAGTGTTTTCCCGTGGTCTTACTCGTCAATTGTATAAAAGTCACCCTTTTGCATTGTTACCTATGATTCCTAGATAGTTTCTGTTGGTTTACTGCTCCTATAGGATGGACACTTACATAACTCGAGACACGTAACTAACTAATTAACTACCTAGAATAGCAAATCGATCTCCCTCTTTCTGGATACGATGCAGCCAATGAGAAAACAATCTCCCGACATTATATTTTTATGCACCAATTAAAATCCCCTGTCAGCTTAGGCTGACACCACAACGGCACACCCACATCGTCTATAATATTATCCGGAAAACATCCGACTCCTATTGCACCCCTCATATCATTTCTCCTAGCCCATTATGAAGCGAGCAGGCCGATCCAAATCCAGAAATGGCTGCATCACATGCAAGTGAGTTAAGCCCGCCAACGACCAAGCCATCCAACTAACCCTGACAGAATGCGCCACGTAAGATGCGGCGAAGAAAAGCCAGACTGCTTGCAGTGTCTCAAAGGTGGGCGCAAATGCGATGGATACAACAGCGCATCGCAGAAGCAGCTACATGAGAAAGTCTCCCGCTCGAACCTCTGCCCAGCTGTCGGCCCGGATAATCGTATAGTGCTCTTGCCGGGGTCGCGTGAAGAGAGACAATATGTCCACGCGTTTTGCACGCAGATTTCGCAAGCTTTCTCTGGATTCTTTTCCTCCGATTTGTGGAACTATTTCCTTCCACAGCTCAGTTACCGTGAGCCGACGGTTCGGCATGCCGTTGCTGCTGTTAGCGCAATGTATGAGCAGCATACAAACCCAAGCGCTGATGGGCGCGGGTCTGATCTCTTTGCTCTTCAGCAGTATAATAAAGCTATTCAGAAATTCCGGGACCATTTAGCCAACCCCAAAGAGTTTAAATACGACTTGTTGCTAGTCACTTGTTTGTTATTCATTTGTGTGGAAATGCTCAGGTCAAACAACGTGCGGGTTTTAGATCATATCCAAGGGGGTATACATATCCTTCTGAACCAACAGAAACTAGTCAGCCCTAAACGCAGAGATGGAATTGACCACGAGCTATCTCAACTGTTCTACCGGCTCAATATCCAACTCCCTCTATTCGGCCGACCTGTCATATCTTTCGATCCCCAACCCAAAAAGCAAACATCAGCCCCAAGACAGGCTATCAAATTCGAGAATATATCGCAAGCACGAGAATCCCTGACTAGTATTACGAATCGAGGACTAGCATTTAGTCGATCCGCATTTTCGCACTCGCTCTCTCAATCCCCCAGCCTGGAGCGAACTGCTCCACCCGATCAAATCCGTGAGCAGCAATTGAAACAGCAATGGCAGTTGGAGCAAGAGTGCTATGACTGGTATACAGCCTTCGAGTTGATGATGGAAAAGCCGGCCAAAAAGATCGGTTTATTGGATCCGCGCGCAACCCTGGTTCTCAAAATCAACTACAACACCTCTCTTGTCTGGCTACTATGTTGCACGGCACGGCACGAGTGCATATACGACGAATACAACACATATTTTGAGAATATTGTTGCCGCCGCAGAAGAGATCATCACACTAGGCAGGAACCTGGAAAAGCCATCAGGCCTCGAGCCTTTCTCGCTTGACGCCGACGTCGTGCCAATGGTATACTGGGCCGCAACAAAATGTCGGGAGCCGTATATTCGGCGGCGGGCAATTGAGGTCCTGGCCAAATATCCTACAAAGGAGGGGCTTTGGGGCCAGGGAAGACGACACTGCAGCACTGCTCGGAGGATCTTAGAGATAGAAGAAGAACCCCTTTTGCATCTGGCTATTGGGGAGAGGGTTCCAGATGACTCGCAGCGGGTTTATGACGCGCTGATGTTTCCGGAGAATGACGTCTTTCCTAACCCGTGCCCGGTTCTCCTGTTGATGAAACCGCAGGGTGTTGACGGGCCGTGGGCAAGACAATCTGAATTTGTTGGGTGGTAGGAGTTGAGAAGAGTTGTAGTACCTCAAAGGAGAGTGGGAATTAAGGGCGTACTTTTGCCATCTCAACCCACAATTACGGCGATTTGTAGGATTGGAATTCCCTTTTGTATAGTGCCTCCTACATGATTCCCAAATTAGGCAATCTCAAACAGTAAAAATACGGTCCAGCCAATCACAGATCGACCTCTTGGTTTGGCTGTGGCCTGGCCAAAAATATACGAAGCAGCCAATGGGAGCTCAGCCCCCACACCTTAAATCTATAGAATTTCATGACTTGGACTTCGACTGAAATGAGCCCCAGTGAATCACTCAGAAGTCGCCAATTAGATTGAGAATGTTATGCTGCATCCTAAAATATCACTTGCCAATACTCAGTGGATCTAGAGGCTGAGCAGAGAGAGCTCCGTGTTCAATTTGCTATCATGGTCTGTCAGTAATATATAAGCCCATGTCTGTCGAAAAGAATATGAATCTTATCATCAACATCCATTCATCTACTCATTCACATTCCTCTCAATCCGAAATACAAATTCCGAGCTTCATATCCCAGATTACACCTCGTGATATCCAAACTTTCTCAATATGACCGGTATCACCCAAGCAGAGATGATTGAGATCGGCCAAGGCTGCCATGCATATAGACCCGACTTTTCTACAGGATACGGGTATATTCCAAGTAAGGCAGCCGGAGTTACGTTCTGTGTCTTATTCGGGCTATCTATGGCTCTCCATATCGCCCAATTTTGCTGGAAGCGCACATGGTGGTGCAGTGTTTTTGCTATTGGATGTTTAAGTACGCAACATTCTACAGCTGTTTTCTCACGAGGTCCTACTACGGGAACTGACAGTGTACATCTATAGTTGAACTAATTGGCTGGGCCGGGCGAACCTGGTCATCTGAATGCCCTTACAACTCGACCGCATTCATGATCCAGATCTCGACATTGATCATTGGTGAGCACAGCCCCAAGGAAAAATGAACTTTGATCTTAGGCTTGGACTAACCCAGACGATATAAAACAGCCCCAACCATGTTTACGGCAGGCATCTATATCCTCCTCGGCCGCTTCATCCAAATAGCTGGTCCTGAATCCTCTATCTTCACCCCAAAGCAATACCTCTGGATTTTCTGCACTTGCGACGTCGTGTCGCTCGTCATCCAAGCTGTCGGTGGAGGCCTGGCATCCTCAGAATCAGGCGTATCCGGCGGCGACACTGCACCAGGTACCCAGACCATGGTTGCAGGAATTGTATTCCAACTCGTCTCAATTTCGATCTTTGTGGTGTGTACCATCGATTTCGTCCGTCGAGTTACAAGGCTTGGCCTTCTTCGCTCTGCGAAAGGGTCTTTTTTGATACTGATGGCCACGATGGTTATGTCCGTGCTCTGCATCTATATCCGGAGTATTTACCGTACCATTGAGCTGGCTCAGGGCTGGGATGGGTATCTTATTACTCACGAGTCGTATTTCATTGGGCTTGATGGTGTGCTGATGGTCATTGCTGTTGGTATTTTCAATGTCTTTCATCCCGGCTGGTTGCTTTCTTCGGTTGAGGGTCTTGCTCTGCCTGCCAGTCGGACTAGCGGATACAAAGCTATGGAGATTAGTAAATAGTGGGCCTGGATGAGGATCTATGGTTTCATGGGATTGGTGCAGGGAGGTGTCTTAGGTGTGGTTCTTTAGATGGTCCACCCGGAGTGATTGTCGCGCTGCTAGAAAGCGGTATCAAGTACATATCCTTTGAAGGTTCAATACATTCACTAAGCCACTTAGTTAAGGTGCTGCAATTCTTCTTTCAAAAGTATCTGATAGAATATGGAGACAAGAGTGCTACTGACATCCAAGTCTTAATAAGTGGATTTGCAGTTCAATGTAAGAAAATTCATCGAAGCGCAAACGTCGTATGTCGTATTGGTTATTTCTTGAAGAGCTCTTATAGGATCCAGTTCTGGAGATAACCAGAGATCCTATATTCAACGAATCAATGTCATACTAGATACTGACCTCAAGCTCATAACAGGCGGAAAGGCGTACGAATACAAGATAACTATAAATGGGATATTCTGCAAGATCTCTGTTATTCGAACTAGATATGGAAACAGGCAGAATGATATGTGACAGAACCCGGACGATGGGCCGATTATTCTTTCTCTTCATATGAATATAGCTGGCACCCGCGCATCTCCGGTACATCCTATTCCATCAACCTGTTTCTCGTCGCCTGAATCCTTTCATTCTCTGAGGCAGTCCCATCCTTGGCGTATCCAGCTCTTTTCAACTCCTCGTTCAAAACTTCCCACTGCCGGTACCGTCGGGGACCCCACGGATCCTGCTGGCTGATGGCTTCATCTTCCGCTCTTGTTCGCACTGTCCACCCGTGTAGCATATCGCAAATCATAATGCTGCCTTCTTCTATATCGTATGGTTTCGCGCCGGGCATTGGCGGGAGTCCATTAGCAAATCGAATCCAGCTGCGAGCCATTTCCTCCCCCTGACGTCGCAGGAAATGGTTTCTGTGAGGAGGGAGACGTCCCGTGAGCGTCATGAACTGGTACATGAGTTCGACAAAATGATGCCCCGTGGTGTAGGAGAAAGCCGACCCTGGGAAGGGGTTCTGTAGACCAAACTGCCAGCGATACAAACGCTGGCGACCATTCTGCGCCACCGCGACGGCGACTGAGTGCGCAGGCTCGGAGAAGATCAAGTCTCCCATTATAACCATCAAATGCTGCCAGAAGAGGCCCTCGTCCATACCCTCGTATATGTCGTATGCGTCAAGCACGCGGCGGCCTGACTCCTCACCGAGAATAGTGTGAACTTGTGAAATGTACATGCTAGCAGAGATGTCTTTCAGTAGTGGCATGAACACAGATCCCTCACACGAGTCGTCGCCAATCATGATCTCGTGGACCCATGAGCATTTGGCCAGAATCTCGCCTTGATTGGCCCAAAAAGGCCGCTGAGAGAAAAACTCACACTCCGGGCCGAAGAAGGGCTTCATCGTGCCGACCTTTTTCTCACGAATGAAGTCAATCAGGCGTGACACCGGTACCTCACGGAGGGCCTTGAGCCGCTCTGCACGTGTTGCTCCTGTGATTTCTAAATATGACAGCAGACTGTGATAGTATGCATCAAACTTATCAAGTGTCCAGTTCTCTATGGTATTTGGTGTACCACTCTGGAGGATGACTCGGTTGAACAAAGGCACGTCTGAACAAGCGTGCAAGGAGAGCGAGACAGCGCCACCCGACTCACCAAAGGCCGTGATGTTATTTGGATCACCGCCAAAACCTGCGATGTGTTTCTGGACCCAGAGAAAGCTGTTGCGTTGGTCCCGCAGCCCATAATTGAATGCAGGTTCACCATTCTCCCTCGCCTCGTCGAGTAGATCGTAGCAGGCGATGAAGCCTTGCCAGTTTAACCGGTATCCTATGGACACAATCACAACATCCATGGCCTCGTGAGCTGCCAGCTCAGTCATCTTTGATGTGTCGTGAAGGGCGCTGACATGGCCCTTGCCTTCGACCATACCACCGCCATGCACATATACCAAAACTGGAAGCAGCCTTTTGGGCATTGATAGGCCAGTCTTGTTAAGGGCACTCTTGACAGGCGCAGAGATGGTCAAGTTGAGACAAGTTTGCTCATCATAGGTGACTGGCTCCTCACCAGGTACAAATCCTCCTGTCGCACTCCCTCTACCTGTGGGTTGTGGCACCTGCGGACAAGCAGCACCATACTGCGTAAAGTCGCCATGGGGACGATCGTCAAAGTGATCCGGGATGTGATCGAGGAGTACGCTTTGTCTGAAACGGGCCGGGATGGTGGCATAGGGGATGGAACGGAAATGGACGACAGGCTCAGTCACAGGCTGTCCATCAGCATGCTGGTGATCAACCAGGCGGCCAGCGAGGCTGCCAAGCTGTGGATGATCAAGGGCGAATATGGGAGTAGTCGTCATAGTCGTTCTCTAACTGGTGACAAGTGTAGTGTCAAAGGACAATGTCAGAAAATCCCCCTCCAACATGGCCTGTCAGAAATTAGCGCGGTGGTCCCGGAACAGAAATTCCTTGGCGTTAGGGTATGTGTTTAGAATCCTTAACAAATACATCCGTACGGAGGATGCTCCATAGATCACCTAGCTCCACAAAAAGGTGGGTGTGCTGCCTGGCTTAGCGTCAGGCAGCAGCCTCATTGGTGCCTGACTCCTCAGGCCACAAATATTGACTGCGTAACTAACAACACTCTCGTGTTTTTATTTAAAAGGCTTGTTCCTTCCTGTTTTCTATTCTACTTCCATCAAATCATCCTTCTGATCTTGAGTTCTATTTTCCTCTTATGTACCTCGTACACCTCAACCTCGTACTCGCTTGACTCTCGCCTCTTCAATCTTGACATTCTACATTCCTATTTTCTACTCCTGATACCAGGTCCTGTTTTACACTTGAGCTACATAATGCCGGCTCAAAGTTACAAGAAGCTTGTTATCGCTGTGGGCGGTACTTTTCCCAATCTAAAACAAGGTATGAGCCAGAGCCCCTATTCCCCTTGGGGCGGTCTTTGATTAGGTCATCTCCACCATAATCACATCCATGGATGCTGACCAGTCTACTACTAGCGGACTTGAAGTCGCTTATCGAGAAAAATGGAGCGACATTCAGTGCCGCGGTCACGGATGATTGTACACATCTGGTGACCACCGAGAAGGATGTGGAGAAGCAGACCACCAAATGTGAGTGCACTATCACAGGCCAAGACAACCTCTGAAGTTTGAAACCCTTGTGTGCTTTTTCAGTGGTCAATTTATCGCTATCTCAACACCCAAAGCCATTATGGACGGTATTGAGAATGTCCATGACGATAATTGAGACGCTTGTTTCGGCCCCCTGATCACCATTTTCAAGAATGGGAGGCCTAGACGGCGTTTGCTCGCAAGCAGTGGTCAAAGTTTCAGACTTTCGAGGTGTCACTATACAACCTTTGGGTTTTTTTATTAATCAGTCGACCAGACAAACAAGCTTGCCAGCTCGCCAACTGTCACATTGTCCCGCTTTCGTGGCTCCTTGATTCAGACAAGGCAAAGAAACCGTTGGCGGAGTCGAAGTACTCCCTCGGCCAGGCTGATCAGGCATCCCAGGCAGACGACAATGCGCAGACTGAGACTGCGGACAGTATCGCATCTCTTCCTGCAGATAACAAGCGTATTACCAGGAAGCGAGGTGCAGATGCGGCTTCTGCCGAAAATGATGCCGACAAAACGACAAACGGCACCCAGAAGAATGGAGCAAACGCTAAAGATAAATCCTCCGGCGATAAAAAGGCCGCTGTCAAGAATGAAGATGTGGATGAGAATCCCATTGAAAGCAAGAAGACCAAAGTCACCAAGGCGAATGGTGCAAACGGCAAAGCTAAACCATCCGAGGATAAAAAGCCCGGAAGCAAGAAACGAGGCGCGGATGAAGACACTGTTGAAAATGCTTCCAAAAAAAAGACAAAGGACACGCAAAAGACAGCCACAAAGGCAATTAATGTCCCAATCGACGAGGGCTTCGAGAGCCTGGGCAAACTGAAGGGTAAGTCTATACTACGAGAGCTCATGTGTGGGAGACAAACTGACTCGCTTTGCCACAGATCCCAAGGTCTACATTGACGATGCAGGCCTCATCTGGGATGCCACCTTAAGCCAGACTGTGGCAGCCAACAATGCGAACAAATTCTATCGTGTCCAATTGCTAGTCGGTGCAAACTCCAAATATTACACCTGGACGCGCTGGGGTCGAGTTGGGGAGCGTGGGCAGTCAGCCTGTCTCGGAGATGGCGGTTTAGCGTACGCGATGGAACAGTATGAGAAGAAGTTCAAAGACAAGTCAGGCCTCAGATGGGAGAACCGGCTCAGTACTCCTAAGCACGGGAAGTATACTTTCCTTGAGCGCAACTATGAAGAGGACGACGAAGGCGAAGAGCCTGTGAAAAAGGAGAAGACTATCAAGGAAGAAGAAGACGAGCCCATGACCCAGAGCGCCTTGTCCAAGGGGCTTCAAAACCTCATGTCCTTCATCTTCAATCGACAAAATGTTCTCGACACATTAGCTGCAATGTCATACGATGCCAACAAGCTGCCACTTGGAAAGCTGAGCGACAGGACTTTGAAAAGTGGATTTTTGGTTTTGAAGGAGATATCCGAGCTCATGACTACACCCGAGGTGGCACAAGAACGATATGGCCTGTTGTTTGATGATGCCATAGAGACATTGAGCAACCGGTATTTCACCTTGATTCCTCATGTCTTTGGTCGCCATCGGCCCCCGACCTTGAACACAAATTCGCAGATCAAGAAGGAAATCGATCTGCTGGAGGCACTGACGGACATGGACGTGGCGAATGAAATCATGGTATCGTCTAAGCAAGACAATGACATCCACCCACTGGATCGCCAGTTCCAGAGTCTGGGTATGAAGGAGATGACCGAATGTGTGTATAATTCCTAGAGCCTGCAATATCTCACCAAACTGACATATCTTAGTGGACCCCAAGTCAACCGAGTTCACAGAACTCGAGAGCTACCTCCAGAACTCACGCGGCGAGACACACGACATGAGCTACAAGGTAGTGAACATTTTCCGCATCGAACGCCAAGGCGAAAACGACCGCTTCAACGCATCCCCCTACGCCAACATCCCAAACAGCGACCGCCGCCTCCTCTGGCACGGATCCCGTAGTACAAACTTCGGTGGTATCCTCAGCCAAGGATTGCGTATCGCCCCCCCCGAAGCACCCGTCAACGGCTACATGTTCGGCAAGGGTGTTTATCTAGCAGATATCTCCAGCAAATCCGCAAACTACTGTTGTCCCTACAACAGTAGCGGAATGGGGCTGCTTCTTCTCTGCGATGCGGAGCTCGGTGCGCCCATGCTGGAGCTTGACGGAGCCAGCTACAATGCTGGGGAGGAAGCGCTAGCTGCTGGCAAGATTGCGACGCTCGGCAGGGGTTCGAACATTCCTGGTGGGTGGAAGGATTCGGCATGTTTGAATCCGACCTTGGCGGGTGTGAAGATGCCTGATGTAGCCGTTGGGGGTGTCAAGGGCAAACAATACGGGGGACTGTGGTACAATGAGTACATTGTGTATGATGTTGCACAGATCCGACAGCGTTATTTGTTCCAGGTTAAGATGAGCTGAATGGTTTGCCTTTGCATGGAGTATTGGGTTAGTCATGGGGGAGTTATTGAGCGGGATCTACTTCTCTTTGCTAGTTAATTTGCTTGTTTCAAATGTAACATATCATATATTGGATATTACAATGCTAAGCATAATGTTTACAATCAGTAGACCACCTGGCGTAAATGGCGTGATATTGAGAAAGAAGATGGAAGAGATGAAGATGGAAGACATGAACCCTTTTTTAAGCCCGTTACTAGCCATTCCTTCTCGTTATCTTTGTTTTCTATTTCTTTGCTTCTCGCTTAGGTCCAAATGCTAGACGACGAGGCTTTCCCCAGCCGTTACAAGGAAGAAAACGCCATGCGTGAGAATGTTTGCGGGCGAAGAAATAGTTGATCACCCAGCCAGCCATGGGAGGCAGCGAAGGCCACTGATTACCTCCCTCGAAGGTGACATCTCGCAGTCCGAGCACCATGGGAGGAACGACTTGCTATATATCACTTTGATCAATATGAATCTATTCTATGTGTTCCAGAGACATACCTTGTCTTGCTTGGTTGCCTCGGCTACACAGCTCTTGTATACCTTCATCAAAGCCTCCGGGTTATAATCAATCATTCGGAGAAGACTGTCAATTTCATCGCCTAGATGATCGCGGAAACTGGGCCCCATCACTTCAATGGTTTTGCGGATAATTGAGGGATCATAACCCGCAAGTTTAGTGTGGGCGCTATAATCCTGGAGTATCTTCAACTGTGGCTGGAAGCCATGATGCTGTTCCACATTGTCGCCTAGGAATCCAGGCGTGCCAATCACCTTCTCAAACCCCGGGAACATCATTTCTTCTTCCATGATATGGTGATGGGATACCCAGCCTGTCCAGCATTTGATGAAAAATAAAAGGTCCGTGATGTCTTCGGGTTTCTGGACATTCTCTGCTTGGTGGTAGATACTGTTCAGACCTCGGAGCATACAATTATGCGTGTGGGTCATTTCTTTCGCGATGTAAACGGCAGCATGTTTTGACTAGAGAGTAAGAGGGATATCATCTTGCAGTGTGAACGTGAACCACTTACGGCATTTTTAGTTGTTGGGATCAATGGCCACGGTGTATCGGCCCATATTTGGGTTCCATCAATGACTGTCATTGTTATCTTGGGTATAGAGTACTGAAGTTTTGGATATAAGTGATTTGGTGATTATTCTGATCGGATATCTAGAAATGTAAGCCAAGAGAGGGTAACGCACACGTTATTAATTCGTAGGGATAATCGGGCTGACGGCGGGCTGGGTACTAGAGAATGGAAGTAAGCAATCTGACTGCATGGATAACGGGGTCCCCGGTCGAATCAACATACGAGAAGTTGCACATACCGCAACGAAGCTACTAGTGGCGTTGTGCTGGTGTTGGACGATGTTACTATGTACTTGACTGGTCAAGAAATAAGCCACCTAATGGCTCGTATAGAAACCTCCGACCCCGCGAACTAAGGATAGAAGGAAAACCTTGAAGCGACGAAATACTGCGGCAATAAAAAGTGATTATGGATGAGATACGCGGTTTTAATATGATAACGAAGAGCGTACTATTCGACTAGCACTTTCGATACTATAAGTTGGTCGACTTGAGATAGTGTGATGCACGAGCTATCCACTGTGGAGTCAGCGTGATCGAAATGAAAAAAAGCTTGACGCAGAAAAGCACTGGGCTAGAGCCATGGCAGACTCTGGGGGCAAAATCCCCGAATGGGGGTGCATTACCTGTCGAGCACTATGTTATCATTAGTCTTTTCCAACCACTAATTATTCTAAAATGACACTGGGACCATTTGTTGCCTCAAATTTCAGTGCAGCAACCCCTTCGCCAAATTCGTAAAGTTCTTGATATCAATCATGTTCCGATCACTGGCCCGACCCAAGAAAATCCTCTCACCCGCCCACGCATGGAGAGATTCAGATTATCCTCTGCCAATGGCGACCTCGGCTCTCTGAGCTGCGGAGGTTTTACCTCTTGTTATTCACATATATTACAACCCGAGCGTTGATCATAAAATGGAGGACTGGGTAAAACCCACATGGGCGATATATATCTAGGGTACATTAGCTGACTGAATATTATTTTGAGAGCTCGTAGTTGCAAGTCTCTTTATTAAAATGGCGCGTCACAAATTTCTCAACAAAATTACAACCCGGTTGTTTCCATGCTATAGCTTGCATCTAAAGATTTAACCGATTCCGGGGTAAAGCACGTGGCCTAAGTCACGAAGGTTCGCTTCCATTCTGGTCAGGCCGGTTCCTGCGCTAAGCCATATTTGGCGAAAGAGGTACAAAGCTAGCCTATTAGGGACAAACATAGCCTACGACTCCCACATCAGGCAACGCGTAAATCTCGGGACGTGGGGACGCGGGGCTATGACATGCCGAAGGTCGAGATCCCGAGCAAAAACAAGAAAGGTCATGCGACGAGACATTTATTGAATCCTTAACCGTTAACATCCTTCAATTCAATTTCCTCAATTCAATTTAACCCGTACAAACCAACGCTCCTAAACCTCCCGAACCCCAAACCACCACATCCCACCAAAATGACCACCACAACCCCAACCCAAACCCGACCATCCGCCAAAAAGCCCCAAATCAGCATAATCGGCTCCCTCAACATCGACTTCGTTACAGCAACCCCTCGCTGCCCCGGACCCGGCGAAACCCTCACAGCAACCTCCCTCACCGTCTCAGCGGGCGGCAAAGGCGGAAATCAAGCTGTTGCCTGCGGCCGCTCCTCCTTCACCTCGCAAACAACCCAAGATGTATCCGTGAACATGATCGGCGCCGTTGGTGCTGAAGACCCATACTACTCTACCCTCCTACAACCCGCGCTTGAAAAATCCGGCGTCGACACAACATCCATTGAGCAATCGACTGTCGCGCAAACCGGGTCTGCCAGCATTATTGTTGAAGAAGCTATTGGCGGCGAGAACAGGATTCTCGTCGTTCCTGGCGCAAACCACGCCGGTCTGCTGAGTTCTGTGGATAATATTCTCGCTGCGTTCAAGAGCCAGTCAACTCCCGATATTGTGGTGTTGCAGGGTGAGATCCCGCGCACAACGACATTAGGCTTGTTGGAATATTTCAATGATGTTTCCGCCTTGGACCGCGCGAAGGTAGTCTTCAATCCTGCGCCCGTGTTCCCAGAGGGAATTCCTCTTTCGGCGCTGCACGGAACCGCCGTGCTTATTATGAATGAGACGGAGGTTGTGCAGATGGCGCGGTCGATTGAGGGTCTTCCTGTTGGAGATGTTGTTGAGGGTGATGATTTACGGCCTGAGGAGTTGGCGCCGCAGTTCCACGAGAAAGCGGGAGTTGAGATTGTTCTGATTACACTTGGTGCGAAGGGTGTTTATTTCTCGACCAAGACGGGTCGCACTGGCATCGTTGCTGGTGTTAAGGTCGCTAAGGTTGTTGATACCACTGCAGCCGGTGATACATTTGTTGGATACTTCGCGAGTGCCGTGGCGCGTTTCTTAGCTACAGGACGCAACTTGGGCGCATTTGATGATGACATTGAGGCAGCAGTTTCGACCGCGAATGCTGCTGCTGCCATGTGTGTGCAGCGACGAGGTGCTATGCAGAGTATTCCCTTTGCATACGATATGCAATGAGAGAATACAATGATGGAATGTGAATATTGAATATAGGTACCATTGATGTGAAAAAAGAATAATAGATACGGCGTTTTGGGTATAATTATGAAATCATAGCATCAGCTTCATCGTCGAATTCCTCCTCGTATCGCGCCAGGTTCCACGCCGCTTGTAGCTCCTCAGCCTCTCGGTCTAGTTTAATGCCCGTTGTAGCCGTGATCCTTGAAAAACGCTCTAGTAAAACTGCTTGCTGGGATTCGTGTGTCATCTCCTTCGCAATAGTGAGAAGACTCGCAACTAATATCGGATCCCATTGTTCGGGAGAATCGTTGCTTGCTGCGACCCCGGCGATGGACTGGGCATGCCAGATATGCGAGGTGACGGATCTTGGTCCAGGCAGTGATTTCAGAAGCCGTGGCTTATGTGTAAGTAATAAGAGACAAATCATATGGTAGACAGCGTTGGCGACCAGCGCCATTGGGGTCGTGTAGATGAGGATTGGGAATGACGAGTCGTGGTCTGGGTCGATTTGGTCGGCTTCGCTGCCGCGGATGTCGACGATCTGTTGCACGTTTACCGGTCGCTCATTGTACCATTTCTGGCAGTCTGACCACAGGAATGTCCATTGTGATAGGCTGTGCGATTGTCGTAAAGACGGGAATGCTGCCAGATCTGATGATGCGACTGTATGGGGAGAGGACATTTCTGGATCGCCGTGTATTAGGGCTAGACAGTGTCCCAGAAGACACAAGATGTGCTTGTAAACGGAATTAACGGTCTGAGGCCCCATGGATTGTGGGTGGTGTAATAAGGTGCCGTCTCGTCGTAATAATGATCGAAAGGGCATGAGTGGTGGCTTTGAAGAGGATATTGAGGCAGCGAGATCTGTAAGAAAGGCCCAGTGGTTAGTATACTGGCTGATTTGTTCAAGTCATTAGAGGTTGCCCTACCGAGTCGAAAGTAAAGCCACCACAAAGCGTCCCCGACCTCTTCTCCCACTGCTCGTGACGCAAAGTCACTTATATGCTCTATTCTGTGAATCAAAAGGGCTCTCCACTGTTGCGGGCCAGCAGGTAGAGCATCTTGAAGCATCAAGAGGGTATGGCCGGCGTATCTAGCCAGGTCATATTCAAGCACAAGACTCTCTTCCGCTTCCTTTCGGAACTGCTGGCTGCTTTCTAGGTCCTTGCTATTTGGGGATGCCACGAGAAGTCGTTGACCTGCAGATAGCGCAAGAACCGCAGCCTGCAGGGCTCTGTTGGTTCGCGAGAGCAGAAGAACATGCAGGCCGAATGGGAGCTCAGGGTCTCCGGTATCAATCCAAGGACCAACGTGGTACCGGAAATGTCGAAGCAAGTCAGTCTCATGGCTGCCACTTGTAAGTGCCCCTCGTCGCTCGACTGTCCTATCGCTGGTGACAGATCGGTATCCGAAGTACGGGGCACTGTTCATGTATCGAGTACCCGGCGCACTCCGTTCACCGACAAACGGGATTAGAGGTTGAGAAAAGTCGACATGGGGGACTGCGGGTGACAATATATTTTGGAATTCAAAGGCTCGTCCTGTACCCCCGGGGTCATCTGGGCCATCAGCCGAAGACTGTAATTCGTCTAAAGAGAATCCAGCATTGCCATCGCTCTGAGAATCATCTGCAGGCTTCTGCGGGGCCTTTGATTTCTCCTTATTTGCAGCTGCAAGGGGCGAGTCGTCGACAAACTAATCAAAATCAGCCTCATATCCATACCAGATCGCCAAGTGGACTCAAAATTCGAACCCATTGTGGAGCACTTACTGTAATACTGCTATACGCTTGTCGCGACGCGCCGGAACCACCCCCCTCGCGCTGTGGCACAAATGCGAGATCAGAGCTATATTTACACGCAAGTCCCTTAACCTCACAGTTGGCACATCTCGGTTTCTGCTCATCACCTACAACGTCAAACCGTCAGTTCTCATCGCGAAAAAAAAACAAAGCACGTGACGCGTACATTTTCTTCTCCTTTTCCGACAGGTCAGGCAACCAGTCCGAACCCGCTGCTTAGCTGTCGGTGTGGGTTTCCTGGGCATGGCGAGACGCGATATACGGCATTACCCCAGACGTTGCAGAAAAGAAGGATCGGAGGCTCCGCAGTCCCGATATGTGCTCGACTGCCGGTGATAATTTGGGTCTGTGGGGCGATGGGGTCCAACCGACGGTTTGCGGTGGGCGATTGTGACCGGATTGGTCATTAGGGGCTTTTATATGAAATGTCACTTGATACCCTTCGACCTTCGCCTACCCTTACCGTGCTTTGATCGAAAGCACTAGTGGACAAAGGGTAAATTAGTAAATTATCTTATTCTTGCTGGCCAAAGAGCGGCGTGTGTGCCCTCGTATCTAGAATCGGGAGACGGTTGGAGTTCTTTTATGCTGTTTCGATTAAGGAACTCTGAATTGGATGAGGTATCGGAACTCTTTTCATAGTTTGCCTCCATGGTCTAGTTGTGTTCCAGTCCTTAACCTTCCACCACCATCTAGCGAGGTGTTCTCCCCATTGACGTATGCTCCAGCTCTCGAGCACAAGTACACTATTGCACCTGCAACATCTTCTGCTTCTCCCAATCGACCCATTGGATTTGACCCTGCCGCCTTGTCCGGACCCCATAGATAATCAATTTGGGGCAATGCGAGACGCGTAGGGAAGAAGCCTGGTGAAATAATATTCGTTGTAATGTGTTTGGGAACGAGCTCCAGAGCCAGATTCCTTCCGAGGTGATGCACAGCTGCCTTGGAGGCACTATACATAATTGCGCCCCGATCCCCAACATGTGAAATGGCAATTCCAGCGATCGAACTGATGATAATCACACGCGCTGGATCTTGCGATGTCCCAGCCCCTGAAAGGAGCGGTACCATACTGCAAGCAGTGTGAGTATTCGGTCTGCAAGTCTTGCCACATAAAGGTTGGGGCAACCTACAACCTAACTAGATTGAAAACACCCCGGACATTCAAATCAAGTGTCTTGGCGCTTTTCCAGTCATCAAAAGTCTCGAATGGCCCACCCCAGCTAGCACCGGCATTTGCGACTAGGATGTCCATGAAGTCGTACTTGACAGCAACATCCTTCGTATACTGCCAGATTTCTTCGGCGCCAGAGTAGAAATTGGACCAAGAAGGGTTCCGCGTCTAAGTAAGCTGATAGGAGTGAGACGGAATATCGCAAGTGCAGCCGGGATAGCGATTTTCCAGCCAGGTGCCACCGATTTCCGAGTTCTTCTCATAGATCTGGAGGTCGATATTCTTAAGGAGCCGTTCAGCCTTGTAGGCAAGCTGGATTCCAGAAGCACCGGCACCAACACAAATCAGTCGAAGGCGCCGTTTTTCAAACAGGGGTTGTTCGGTGACACGATACCCGTGAAAATCCTGGTTGTACCAAGTGTTATCGTGCAGTGCGCCGGGTTCAGGAATGGCGCCGGGCACTTTCTGTTTCTGGGGTTCTCTCGCCATCTTCATCTGATATCCCGATCGATATCTCTTTTTTGTTATGACACAATGTCTTGATGGCCAACAGGATTCTCTACACGTCTTTTCAGAGTTTGACGAACCTGCGCCTCAACAGCTCATCGCCCAAATAGTCTAGGATGACCCGTACTTGGGTCACATCCTACGGCAGAATATGTACGGCATCGATGTTCTCTAGAACATGGCTAACGCGCGAACCGATGGCAAGCGAGATCCAAGCGCAGCTAACATAAGGATGATTCCCTCCTTGTACGGTATTGGTGGTATTTTTAAGTGGACCTACACGTTGCATCTACTATTGAACGAACTCTAACTATTCTACGTAAATAGGGGCTTGTAAGGGGCAGACTAGGGGAGGGTAGGGCAGAAGCTCCGCAAGCCGCTGCTTTTTACAGTAGGCTGCCTCGGCCAGGTCTTCGTGAGCGCGGTCGATCCGTCTCCCCCAACATGACCTCCCCTACATGAGAGCGCGACCCATGGCTAGTTTCCGTTATGCGCGAGGCTAAGAAAAGGAAGAAGAAACCGGTGGATGTCAGTTTACCACTAGGTTCGGCACCCTCAGCTACGAAACGACGGGACGCCGTCAAATCCTGCCAGCGCTGGGACGGCCCAGGCGCCGACACCCCTGTTTTTCGTACTGACCAAACGAGATAGGCCACCTGATCGAGGACTCTCAATCCCCAGTGGTCATTTAAACGGACCATTCGGCGACGGGGGAGATCGCCCAGCATACCCACTTGCGCTCATCATCCTTTCGCACTCTTGACGGAGTAACAGACTTCAGCATTGGTTTCAAAGAAAAGAGGGGAAAGGACAGGATGTGAGAGGGAAAATAAAAAAGAAGTGCAAAAGGAAACATGACCAGGGTTTTATTTGAATTCTATACACTATCGGCGTTGCTTCAACGGCCCTCTGTAGGCGATCAAACGCCACCCGTGCATCCGGTATCTAAGAATAAACTATTGTACGCTATACATAGGGCTCTACAGGGTGGATCAAAGATCTGCACATGAAAGAAGTAACTTCGTAAACGTTGAATAAATTATACAATGCGACATTGAGCAAGGCCCGTTTTTATAAAGCCCGCTTAAACCTTCTCAATATACTGCGACTCCTGATTTTTCTCGAGGTCGCCGCCATTTCCGGACATACGCGCAAGGAACGCAGTCAAGCCAACATCGCGCTGTGCTTCACGGAGAAGCTCAGCGTCCTGCTCGCCGGCTTTGCTATTAAAGACACGATCCATATCTTCCAATGATGCTCCCTTGGTTTCAGGCAAGAAGAACCAAACCCAGACCATCCCGCAGGCAAGGAAAGCAGCGAAGAAGATGTAAGTACCCCACTCCCAGTTCTGAAGCATAGGGGGGACAAAGAAGGCGATAGCGAAGTTGTTGATCCAGTTGCTGAAGGCACCGATAGAGGCACCCTTTGCGCGAATGGAGAGAGGGAAGATCTCGGAAACGAGGGTCCATGAGACAGGGCCCCAGGTGGCGCCGAAGCCTGCGATGTAGAGCCAGATCAAAGCTAGAACATATAAGTTAGCGATTATGATCATGAGTCGGAGGGAAATAGTAACGTACCAACAGCGGTCCAGCCGGCTGCCACATGGTTAGGCCAGTCGTGTTGGAACTTGGCCACAATCACGCCGACGATAACCATGCTGATGAGCATGACCAGCGATCCACCCAGGAGCATGGGCTTGCGGCCGACCTTGTCGATGATCAACATTCCGGGAATGGTACTGATGAGGAAAACGACACCAGTCACACCGGTTGCAAGAAGAGCAATGGTACCGCCGGTCAGTCCGAGGCTGACGAAGACATTTGAAGCGTAGTAAATAACTAGTGGATCAGGGTTAGCCAGATACTCGCAATATCTCTCAGACAAGTCGACTTACTAGCATCGATACCACTCCATTGCTGGAAGAACATAATCAACCAAGCAATGCAAACACGCTTGAAGTTATCCATCGAGCGGAAGCAGTTGGTATACTGCACGATCTGGTTCATGAAGACACTCTTCTTCTCCTTGTCGGCAAGCTTCGGCGAAGCAATAGCAAAGGCACGCTCCTCGAACACAGCCTCAGCCTTGATCTCAAGGTACTCCATCTGGACGAGCTCATGATCAACAGTGAGCTTCCGCATCCAAGCGATAGTGTCCTGGGCCTCCTGATCCCGACCTTGCTTAACCAGCCAGCGAGGCGAGAAAGGCATAAACCAAATACCACAAGCAAGCGCAATAGCAGGGATACCCTGAATAATCGAAGGCAAACGCCAAGCAAGATCGGACTGATCAGCCCCGGTACCACCGATATTGTTACTACCGTAGCCAACCCAGAAAGAAATCATGATTCCGAGAATGGTAGCGAGCTGGTAGAAAGAGACGAGCAGACCACGCATTTCGGGTGCTGCGAGTTCGGCATTATAGAGAGGCCCCACACCACTGAACAAGCCGACGCCAAGGCCGGTGAAGAATCGGCCCGCGTACAACATGGCCGGGTTGCCGACCGTCGCGCCGATGTACAGGTAACTTCCGAGAATGACCCAGCAGCAGGCGAAGAACATTGTGTATTTGCGAGAGTAGACTTCGCCCAGGATACCGGCTGCCAGGGAGCCGACGACACCGCCCAATTGCAGGATGGAGGTTAGCCAGCCTGTTGCGGTAGATGAGGCTACTACTGTTGGGAAGTTCTCTGTGAAGCGGGTCATGACCAGGGACTGGCCGAGGACACCTTGTTGGTAGCCATACTCGAAACCACCGAAACTGGGGATTGTTAGTATTTGGATTGTGGATTTGGATGTGAGGGTGTTCTTACGAGGCGAAGAAGGCAATGGCGAGTACTTTGGGGTTGTCGGCGATTGACTGCCACATGGATTTCTTTGCGATTTGGACTCGTGAGATTGATCCCACATCAGTGGATGATCGGACTGTCATATTGGGCAATATTGGAGGGGAATGTCCAAAGTAGCACTAGGAGATGAAATCTGGGGAATTGAAAACATGGGGGAAAGAGGGTCTCAATATATACGTTCATTTTTTTGGTTTGAATTGAAGTTAGTTTAATTCTGTCATAGTCCGAGTGGCACCACGTGAGAAAAAAAAAACACCTCAACCCGTAACTTCTCCAGTTTCTCGTCAAAATCCCCGCGGAACCCCAAATTTTGTTGTTTTGTGGAGGCAAAATGGTGGAGGATCCGGTTCGCTAAACCCTTTTGGGAGGTACGTAGCCTCCAAACTCCCAGAATGGCTCCGATGGTGGAGACGGGATAGGAGTGGATGTTCTCGGGATGAATCGGTTTCTTGTTTTTCTTCGGGCCCTGAACGGGCTAGCCCGACTTAGGCTATAACTCGGTCTCACTCGGACTGTGGGGTGGGCTGTTAAGTCTTTTTTTGGGAAACAGAGCCACCTTCGCGGGATCACTCCTGATCGGGTTGAGTCAAGGTAGTACTCGGGACCGTGTAGTTTGGGGTTGATAATGTTAAATTTCTCCCTAAGTATCACGCGACGTGAAGATGCTTTGAACTGTTAAATTAAGTGGATATAACGGTGTGCTCTATACAATATGCATGGTTCTCTCGTCTCTTTGGCCCTGTGTTGCATTGGTCCACATCGGTTCCGCTGCAATGCAGCTCATTGCCCACTTTCATCACAAGCGGGCTTGTGATACCCCATGCACCGGATAAACAAGACCATAATGGACAATGATTGGTATACGGCAGAGTCTGCGCCGAACGTGATAGCCCGAGATGCTTCTAGGCTTGGCCGCTAGTGAGAGATTAACCTACATGCATCATCGCGATAATGTGCAATGACGACACCCTGATGAGGCCCCAGACGAAGCCGGCAGCTGCAGATGGCACTTTACCCGTTCCCATCTCCTTTGTATGCCGAAAAATAAAGCTGCTCTCCCGTCTACCAGGGCGCAATATGGCGGCGGCTGATCGAGACACCCGACCGTTTCCAGATATGGGAGAATACCTGGATGATGATACTCGACGACCTGTCCTAAGGGAATTTGCACCGGAGTATAAGACGTTGGAAGCCGAGGGCAATGATCCGAGTTCGGGTTTAAGGACCCTTTCAAGGCTTCCCCACGGGCCGACCGGAGAACTCGACTTCGGGTGCAGGTGGCCCACAACCATCCCGGGTATCCATCCGCTCCGCTAGAGCATTGACCAATATCGCGTTTGCTGTGCTTGGGGTTCCGCGATTTGCGTCACTTGCCAAGGATATGGAGATTATTGGTGGATATGTTGATTTGAATATGCTAGAGCCGGCCGATAGGTGAGTCATTTTTCCGTGGTTTGATTTGAAGGCTGGTTTGTGGTTGGTTTTATCGCTGACATCAATGAAATTCAATATATCAATCTGATAATTGATCCCGAAGTCTCGAAGGCCGTCCTGACAGCTAACTTCCTGGACATCTCCATTGCTGGCAATATTGCTAACTAGGTGTTCGACTGAAGTGCATAGAAGAAGTCCACTCCGGCATCACAACCTATGCTTCCCCTTCCGGGATGGGGCAGCCGTTGTGTTGATGGTCGATCCATCTCTGTCTGTCAATCAGACTTTGGATATGTCGATATGGTGTGTTCCATTCCAATCTGTAGCTGTGGCCCGGTATCCCAAGACTTTGCCGGGTTGAAGTAAACTGGTGGAGTGGGTTTTGTTAGACGGAGCTTGTCTTGTGTGGCAAGTATTTTGAACTGGCTAAAACCCCGAAAGGGGCCTCGGATCGGTGTATAGATCGGTTGCAATGTATCCCCCAATTTCCTTCTTTGTGTGACCAGTTTTTCGCAAGTTGCTCGCCGGTCGTCGGACTGCAATTCGAAAATCGTAGGGTCACAATCTCGTCGCAGCAAATGCAAGACACTAAACCGTAACAGAATTGGTACCGTATCATTTGAACAAAATCCTCAAATCACACCCGAGATCTCCCCCGGTTCGTACCCCCAAGCTCTCTCGAGATCCTTGAGTCGCCACAAAGCACCCCACCCAGTCGAGCGCTCAATAATCTTGAACAGCTTCGCCACCTCAACATGCTCACTATGATGACTGAGTAACTTCCCGGCAATGTAAAGTGGCTGGATAGCGTTGATCAAATTGCCGCTATGAGGATTCGTCAACGAAATCCCACAAACCCTACGAGCATGCCAAATAGCCGAAAAATGCGGCTTGGCAGGAGGCGGCCCCCTCTCAACAGGCCTCATATCCAGCATCATAATAGAGGCAGCATGGTACAACTGATTCCCGGAAATAGCTGCCCAATGCGCAAACAGAATCTCCGGGAAGATATGCCCACTTCCCATGCCCGTAGTCTTAATAGGTAGCATAGCAGGCGGGCGCTGCTCAAGCCAATACTGCAGTTCTTCCCAAAGCCTACTCCATTGCTCCGAAAACGGGCGCGGATCATCAGACGCCTCGCCCAATTCCAAGAAGCGTGTTCGACGACAAGAGAGGTCGCAGGTCTTCGCGCACAGATAAACCGCCCAGTTAGCGTGCATATCAGCCGAGACATGGCCCTTCTCACAAAAGGAATCCCGTATAATATCCTCCTGTGCCTCCTTTGAAGAAGCCTGCGGCATAGCGGGGACCCATTTATCCAGCGGGAGGACTGTGCTCTCGGCGCCGTTGGAGATGATCGCGCCGCAGAGCTCCATGCGCGCGTAGCACCAGAACACGGCTTGCAAGTGTCCGCCTGAGAGGCCGTTCACGTTAAATGAGTCGAAGAGTGCGGCGCATCCCTCCACGTGCCGTCGCCAGTCGCGTGGGCTGACGGACATAAGTTCCATCACGGCGAGGATGCATACTGTCACGAGGACGTTTGGGTCTTTTGCTTGCAGTAATGGTGCCAGCAGGCGAATTGATTCTTGGTACAGCTCGAGACTGTCGTATGCTTTGTCCAGGCAGGCTTTTCGCTCTGTTTGCCGTGCGGAGAAAGCGAGGATTGCGTAGAACAGGGCTGGTGAGCCTTGTGCTAGGATTGGAATGTGGACGCCAAAGTGACGCGCCTCATCGAATTTATCGAGATAGGGCGCGCATTCTGTGATCCAGTTTTTTAGGTAGAAGATTAGTCTGATTTTGGGGATTGAGAGCACCCGCGTGAAGTCTAGGCTTTGGCGTGGGGGTCGGGGTTGCGGTCCTTCTGCTGGTTCTAGCGGAGCTGGGGATGTGTAGTTTGCTGGCTCGAGGCTTGCTACTGCGGAAAAGAGTACACAGCGGAGTTCTTCCTGTAATTCGAGGAATCTGGGGTTGGCGGCGTAGTCGTCTGCGCTGGAGAATGTTCCCGGCGATAAGAAGGCCTCTTCTTCGATAAGCGGGGTGGCGCTGTTGAAGGTTTCTGGCATCCTTGATTCAAGACGCAATGGGGGGACTGGTTCCTCCATGTTGAATGTTTGTAGGGACTGGAGAGTCTGGGGATTTTCTGGGGTAGAAGGAAGAAAAAAAAGGCGGAGAATGTCCGAAGAAGGCCCGAAGAAAAATCCCAACCTTGTAAGGCTCAACGCCACTTAGTCGCGGAAGCCATCGGATCCAATTTATTCAGGGATGCATTTTTATATGCTGGTTTATATTATTTCGTCGAGAAGTATCTCAAGCAGTATGATATTTTTTTGTTCGGGTGGTCGACTATATATCTTCAGCTCCGTATGAAATTACAAATGGTACAGATAACAACCGATTTCTAGAGTTGTTATAACTGCAGATTTTCTCTATGCTAAAACATATCATTGAACATTAACATTGAATCATTGCTCAAGGACAATAATCGACAGCACCCACGTAGCCGCTCCACTCAAAATGCACCACATCGACAATCTGCCTCAGCGTTGTCGGCTCTAACAAGCTCCGAGTAGCATCAGCAAGCCATGCAAGATGTCTCCCTGGTGATCCTTGGCAGAGACTATAAGTCTTACCCATCTCAATCCTGTTCTTCGACACCCGCGGTCCAGCATTATTAAGAGTACCGTAGGGCCTCAGCGCTTCGATCAACCGTTCATATCCCATAGTCTGGGACACTGACACATATTCGCAAGGAGATTGTTTTTGAACTTGTCGAATCCCCTTGACTAACTCATAGACTTTGTGATGGGCTGACATGATAGCCCAGTTGCAATATCCCATGACAACCAGTGCTCCCAGTTCGCTCGAATCAATCGCATCAGCCACTAAATCCAAACATTTCCCAATCACCCCATCAAGATATTTGCATAAATCACCTCGAATGCCACGGAGTATAACATTCTCACGCTGCTTCCGCATCGTATCACCACGAAGATCAACAAAATCATTGATATAAACAGTCGCCTCCACGATCCGCGAGTATTGCTCCTCAGTTACCTCCTGACCAGTCCCAAGCGAAGCAGTCAAGACTCCATGAAAAGCAGCAACATCGATATGCCGATGTACCCCGAGTCCCGTCATACGACTTCCATAAATTCCATCTGGCAGACGAGAGCGGGTGTGGTCGCGATAGTAGCCGAGAACCCGGCACTGCACGATGTATGCAGACAGGTTATCAAACTGCCAGTCCGTAACCCGGCCGGACATATTGCAGAGTTTCAAAAATGACATGGCCGCAGCACCGACTTGCTGGAGGAGCTTGAGCCCTTCTGCATCTGCAGCTTCGCAGTAGTCGCCGATCAGGATGTCGTTGCATGAGTCGGCCACAGCGCGAGCCAGACCTTCGTCACAGAGACTTCCACCGCAGGCTATTACACCGAAATACTTTGCATCTGTGCAAATCTTGAGTTGTTCGGCGGTTGGGTAGAGTTGATTTCCGATTCGGGGGTTGCTGTCGACGGATGGGTTTGGCCGACGGTCTGGTGCTTGAATTCTTGGGATGGAAGATGATATATCTGTTCCCTGACATGTCTTGGGAGACTCTTGCATATCGGTGTTTGAGTTCACCAGTTCGTCTACTGCGAGTCTGAGTTTCGTTGGTGTGAAAAGACCGGTATTATGCCATTCATTCTTTCGCTCGATGACTTTTTCCATGACTTCTTTCATGCTTCGGATTGCATGACACTTGTTCTCTCCAGAGTTACATGGATCTTGTTGCTGAATGATGGGCTGAATGTCCTCGCATCTGCAGTCCACCTGTGGATTATATTGTTCGGAAAGCAGATTGATTTCTTCACACGAAGGGGGCCTTTGTCCGCCAAATGTGATTCTTCCATCCTTGAGATGATGCTTCAGAGAGTGGATGGTTTGCATCAAACGGGTATGATCCATCAACTGATAAAGATTTTCTTCTTCGAAAAGAGAAGCTAGTTCGATCAAGTTGATGATTTGCTTGGGCGTTGTATCATGGCCATTTGAGATGAAGAGCCAACCATCCACCCATGCAAGGTATACCTGCAGGAGCGTTGGCTGAAGGTATGATGGCAGGATCTTTGAAATCATTGTTCAAGTCGACGATTAAAGCGCTATAGATGAGAGGAGAAGATCAAAAGCAGGGGTCATGGAAAATTATTTATCTTCTCTATATACTCTCGTTCTTAATGTCAGACAGAACTTCAGCTCACTACGTTATTCCTGACCTTGGCCTAGCTCCACATTTCTTCACTGAAGGGCACTCGACACGCCATATTTCGGTATCTAAGCTGAAGAATGTTAAATCATATAGAGCTGGTAAATATCATGTCAGAGCCAGCCACGTGGTGTTCACGCTACGGTCATCCCGAAAGCCTATCTGGGATGGACTTCCATCGGCTAGTTTTCCCCAATGAGAATATTTCGGTTAGTATAGCCAGAATACCCCATTTACCACTATTTCGGTCCTCTCAAATCCCGATATACTTGGTTTTTACTTTTGATTTGGCTTATTGTCTGACTATGGCCAGCTGAGATGTGGATCATCCTTCCCTGACCAAGGCGCTGGCTCCATGGACTGCGGTGTAGACCTCCCAGCCGAGGCTCTGGTTGCTTTTTTTTTTAAAAAAAAGGATACACTAGTTCGCTCGTTGGGCACCGCTTGGGCTGGCAAACGAATCCTCCCCAAACCGGAGGATGATACGAACACGCAGGATAAGGCGTTTAAAAGATTGTGAAACATACATGTTCTCGGAACTTTTGCCCATCGGGAGCCATGGCGCTACTATACCCTATATTGGTTCCTTGTTTTTAAAAATAATCTCGGCGTAGTGCCACTCTGCAAACGAGCCCTTCGACGCCGTCCACTATAAGTTGTCAAGAGGGATATTACAGAAGCGCCAGCTCTAATGCATTAAGAACGACCATTGGAGAGCTGTGGACATACTATCAACAAAACCCAGTCATCACTTCTCAAGAGATATTCGGATACACCTTGTTGCTTGCCATAGTAGCAGTTTCCAGCCTTTCCAGAAGAGTCTTAGCCAGCCGCTCGATACGAAGTTTGAAGAATATTTCTGGGTCATGATTGCCGAGGTCAAGTCCCAATGGACCCGCCACCTGCTTCAGGTGAGCAGATCGGGTACATTCAATCTTCCAGTCCCGTGCAAATTGCTGAATCATGGTGTAAAACTCAGGAGCTGTGACTTCCCCGTGGTCAATCCCGGCCTTCCGTACCTGCTCGACCGCTCCCTCTGGCGCGTGGCGGCGCATCCGCTCGAGCAATTCTCCGATCGACCGAGATACGTACAAATCGGCGCTTGCGTGAACCACACCCGTCGTTCCTTGAGCAACATGAGCCAGACAAGTACGAGCGACGAGATCAACTGGGATCTCATTGCAGGCTGCGTATGAAGGTAGTGTCTGCTCAAGCTTAAGAGGTCCATATTCCGAGTCTCCTAGGAGTATCTGGATAAAGGAATGTATGGGTATGGCGCCATCGCTGCCGTAGAGCGGGTAGGGCTCCTCGATTGCCGGTGATATGAGACAGGGCCGCACGATGAGGATGGGGAATTTATGGTTGCCACTCAGAAGCAAACATTCAGCCAGGTGTTTGGCCAATGCGTAGGGAGCCGCGAATTCTTTCGAGTAGGATGATTTTCCTGTGACGAGAATCTTGCCTAGTTCCTCTACCGGCTCTTTGTATAGAGGGTAAATTTGCTCCTTGACCACGCCATCCGGGAGGAAGCTGGAGACATATGTAGTTGATATGTGAAGGAAGCGCTGCAGTTGAGTGAGAGTGTCCAGTAGATCAGCCAGTGCTAGATGGGCAGTGCAATTGATTGGTATAGTCTCTGCGAGATCTCGAGATAAAGAGATGTCACCAGCAGCGTTGATCACTACTGTAGTTTCATTTTGAAGGCGTGATAGGTTGGGGGGTGAGAGACCGAGGTTAGGCTGGGTCATGTCACCGAGGAAGAATTGGATTTTGCAAGTTGCAATGATTTCCTCCACTTGCTCTGGCATTGACTGCTCCCATGATTCGATTGCCCTTTGCACAGACCCTCTCACCAGCACAAATATTTTAGCTGTTGGAAGTTGAATGGCTAGCTTGTATAACAGACAGCCGCCAAGATTCCCAGTTACTCCCGTGAGGAAGATGACTTGTCCTCGAAACCATTCGATGTCCATATTGATCAACGGTTGTCTGCTGTTCCTGTGTGGAAATTTATGAGTATTGTTAGAAAATGCAAGGTGTACTAACAAACTTTGCAGGGCCAGCCAGACGATGTACCTGGATAGTCAGTTAGATGGCTGGATAAAGTACTTTGTGGCCAGAGTTATACACAGATATCAATTAGTTGTAATAAAGTTTGTACGCTGTAGTTTAATCTATAGTGGTTATATATCATTCTCTTGCTTTTGGACTTTGTTTCACCCCGGCAGGTTTGGCCTAGAATCACTCGGAGCTGAGCATTGGAGAAATGCCTCACTCTTAAACGGCTGATACCAGTCAAAGGGTTAATATCCGGGTATTTGTTAGTATAAATCAGATACTCCTCATATAATCACACATAAGACGAAACAAATAGTCAAAACCACCATATTGTGTCTCGATTCCGAATAACGGAATGCAACCGCCTAATCGGCGCAAAGCATTAGCTCTCTAAGAATGGATATTGGGTTATACTCGGCCATAGCTTATGGTATTTCTAACACAAGGTGTCTTTTGCGTGCCACATCAGGGACCCAATACCTGGACGATGGTGGGTTACGTTGAACACCAGGAGGGTAGGAGATTGGGTTGGACATCCAGAGGGTTGTGGGCTACTTTGGATCTAGATTTGCTTCAGAATGTCCTCCCTTTCGTCATATCAGGTCTTGATGATGATAAACGACAGCGTGATCTGCTGATGTATCCTATGCCCTGGCTGAGAGTTGCTGTGTGATATAAGGCAAAAGTCTCCAACAATGACACCAGGTCTGAAGAAACGAGTTGATTGTGTTTATAATGCATAGCTATTGATATACTTGTGTTGATATGGCAAGTAATATCAAGATAGCAGCTCGGTGACCAGTTGTGTTGCAGTCACACATACCATGCGGGCTTGGGTTGGAGTAGTGTTGAACAACGTTAAAACAATGTTTTCCGAGGCCAACCTGGAGCTAATTGCCTTCTATCTTTTTCTGCAGTGTCCAGGAATATGACCGAGGAGCCACTGAGGTACATATTATTGATCCGACTGCGGAGGATTTCGGAGGAAATGTGTTTCTTGCACCTCGCAGAACCATGATATGTAGGTACATATTGTGTGTAGACTTGGCCTCATTGCCAATTTTTCGTGAGGTTTATTAATAGTAAAAAGGCAATGCACTGCGATAGCAGAGCTCAAAGCATAGTTCAACCTTTGTTTTGTCTGCTCTGCAGCCATCTTGATCCAGTCTCCAACTACCCATCATTCGCCCAAAAATGAACTCAACAACTGGACAAGGGCAATCATCATGCAGAAACCACGGGGAGGATTTCGGGGAGCCAATTGCCGTCATCGGTATGGCAATGCGGTTACCAGGCGGTGTTCGATGTGGAGATGAATTTTGGGAAATGCTTGTGAAGAAACGAGATGGCTTTTGTGAAGCGCCTCCCTCGCGCTGCTCTAGAGAGGCCTCTAGCAGTTCTGATTGTGGAGATCTGGACGAAAAGAAAAAAGGGTTCTTTTTGCAAGAAGATCCAGCTTGTTTTGATGCTTCATTCTTTTCTGTTCCTCCCCACGAGGCGGCACGCCTAGACCCCCAGCAACGGCTCTTGCTAGAGGTGGTTTGGGAGTGCCTGGAGAACTCGGGGGAGACTAAGTGGCGCGGTGAGAAAATCGGTTGCTTTGTGGGGGTTTTTGGCGAAGATTGGCTAGAAATGTCGCATAAGGATCCCCAGCATCTGAATCAGATATATCCCATCGCCACCGGTGGGTTTGCGTTAGCAAACCAAGTGTCGTATCGGTTTGATCTCCTGGGTCCGAGGTGAGTGCGGTCCGCTGGCTTTATGTCAGAAAGCTCTGACCCTTTGTAGCATGACTATACAAACAGCCTGCTCTTCATCCCTGGTCTGCCTGCACGAGGCCTGCCAAGCACTTCGATCTGGAGAGTGCTCAACAGCTCTAGTGGGCGGGACAAGCCTTATATGGGGCCCAACCATGACAGATGCCATGACCAAAAATATGGTTCTGTCACCAAGTGGTATCTCCCATACCTTTGATGCTGAAGCAGATGGCTATGGTCGTGGTGAAGGGATCAACTGCATCTATCTAAAACCATTGCGGGACGCGCTTCGTGACAACGACGCTATCCGTGCCGTCATCCGCTCCACAGTGACCAACCACGACGGCAAGACCCCTAACTTCTCTCAGCCATGTCCTATATCTCAAGAGAGGTTGATCCGGCACGCCTATCAGATTGCAGGGATTGAAGCCATCCAGGAGACACCCGTTTTTGAATGCCATGGGACTGGAACAGCGGTCGGCGATGTCATCGAAGCATCGGTTGTTGCAAAGATGACCCAAGGAGAAGCAACATATATCAGCGCGGTTAGTATTATCAATTAGCATGGCTAATTATGATGCACCTCATGACTTATGCACATTTCACAGGTCAAACCGAATGTCGGTCATTCTGAGGGTGCCTCAGGCATCACCAGCATCATCAAATCCATTTTATCCTTAGAACACAAGACCATTGCACCCAATATCCATTTCGAAACGCCAAATCCCCAAATTCCATTCACCGAGGCAAATCTCCACGTACCCTTAGAACCGACTCCGTGGCCTGCTGGCAGGCCCGAAAGGATCAGCGTAAATTCGTTCGGTATCGGGGGATCCAATGCCCACGCAATCCTGGAGTCCGCCTCTGCGACCTCTCCAAAGGCCCAAGTCACATCGCTTGGGCTTTCCAATCCACAGCTCTTGCTCCTTTCTGCGCACACCGCAGACACTCTTGGCAAGCGCATTGGACAGATCACCGACTATGTACAGAATCACCCAGACTGCCTGCATGATCTTTCGTACACTCTGGCTGCGCGACGGTCGCATCTTTCCCATCGGACTTTTGCCGTGGTGCAGCCGAGTAATCCAACTTTAGATGATACAGCATTTTCGATCTTCAATGCCAGTTCCCCAAATGTCACCTTTGTGTTCACAGGCCAGGGAGCTCAATGGCCCGGGATGGGGCTAAGGCTTTTGTCTAGCTTCCCAAAGTTCAAGGAGGATATTAGAACGATGGATGCAGCGCTTCAACAGCTACCTGATGGCCCAAATTGGTTATTATATGGTCAGATAGAAGGCCCTACCCCTAACGTCATGAGAACACTTTGACTAACGTACCTACCAGATGAACTAAGCCAAGAGAGTTCTATTTCTCGGGTCCACGAAGCTGAGTTCTCTCAGCCTCTCTGTGTTGCGCTTCAAATTGGGCTGGTAAATATCCTTGGGAGCTGGGGAATCGAGCCATCCACAGTTGTCGGGCATTCGAGCGGAGAGATTGTGGCCGCGTATGCCGCCCGAGCTATCTCGATGACAACTGCTATCGTCCTAGCATTTTACCGAGGCAAAGTCGCACAACCGCTTGAAGGCCGAGGAGCTATGGTGGCCGTTGGCCTTTCCCCGGACGAAGTGGAACGATACATAACACCTGGAGTGGTTGTTGCCTGCCACAATAGTCCACATAGTGTCACTCTATCAGGAGATAACGACTCGGTTGACCGTGCAATTAAATGCATCAAGGCGGCAAACTCAGACACACTATGCAGGCGGCTTACGGTTAAAATTGCTTATCATTCTAGTAAATTGTCTCCCTGCACCCTGCTCTAATATCTTTGCGCTTACATTATTTGCAGACCACATGAAACATATTGGCTCTGAATATGAAGATCGTATCTCTACTCATATCGAACATGAGCACGGAATGATTCCTTTTTATTCCAGTGTAACTGGCGACACGATCACCGACCCTCGCAAACTAGATGCATCATACTGGCGACAGAATCTGGAATCACCGGTATTGTTCACAGAGGCTATCCAAAGTTTACCTACTAGTGGAACCCCGGTCTTCCTCGAAGTTGGGCCACACTCCGCCCTCGCTGCCCCTCTACGACAAATCTTCCGGACTCTGGCGGCGAGGTCACCAGTATATATTCCCACCCTATTCAGGTATGACGAAGATGTTCAAGGCCAGCTACTGCAAACAGCGGGAAAGGCCTACGCGAGTGGCATGGGAGTCAATCTGACAAGCATTATCGAGTGGGGGAATATGTTGACGGACCTTCCACCTTATCCTTGGCAACATGATCGCTCCTACTGGAGCGAGAGTCGACTGAGTCGGGAGTGGAGGCAGCGCAAGTTTCCGCATCATGAAATACTCGGTTCTCGGGTTCTCGATACCACCGATCATGACCCTTCTTGGCGTAATCTAGTCACGCTGGACAATGTGCCCTGGCTCTTGGATCATGTAATTCAAGGAGCTGTCGCATTCCCTGGCGCTGGATTTGTTTCAATGGCAGGCGAGGCAGTCCAGCAGCTGTACCCCAACAACGACAGTTATTCGGTGCGTAATACAACATTTATAACGCCACTGCTATTGCATGAGGGCGATCAGATCGAGATGGTGACTAGCCTCAGTCCGCTCGAAGTAGCCGACAGGGTCCCATCTGGCTGGTATGGCTTCAAAATCATGGTCCATGACGGAGAACGATGGACGATGCATTGTCAGGGTCAAGTAAGAGCAGGGTCCGATCATCCTCCCAAGCCATTCCCCATTTCTTGCTATAAGCGGGCTGTGTCGTCTGAAGGTTTATACCGAGTGCTTCAAAGAAGTGGGATAGATTACGGCACTCAATTTCAGGGCCTTGAGCAGATTACAGCCGATCCCACCGGGCCGAGGGCAACTGCAACTGTTGTGGGTAACCGCGGGCTGCCTGGGAGCAGGTATTCGCTGCACCCTACGGCGATTGATCAATGCCTCCAACTTATGGGTGTGGCCTGTTCCCAGGGTTTGCTGCGGCATCTGACAACAATTTATGTTCCAGCTATGATAGATTCGTTGTTTGTCGGCCCAGGTGGTCCACCTATGCCAGCAAGCGCCCGAACCAAGAGCGGTACAAGGGATGGCCAGCTAGGCGATGCCATTGCAATGCTTGGTGATCGGGTTGTACTATCTATTCAAGGAGCTTACCTTTTCGCCTTGGAAAATGACAATATAGATTCGGGAACTGGGCTCGCGGGCTCAGTAAGCCATCTTGAGTGGAAATCGGACATTAATTTCTTGCCTTCACCAGCACTTTTATCTACACCACATGATTATACATCGCAGGGCATGAATATCAAAGCCATCGGCCAACTTTCCGCGCTTTTTGTTCTCGAGACAGCGGAGAAAATTCGACATTTCGACCCAACTTCATCACATCTCGCAAAATGGAAGAAATTCATTATGGACGCAGCTTTTAATATCAAAACAAGTGGACAACAATCTATCTACCCAGAGTCGCCTCAGTGGGCATTGCTAAGTTCCGCAGACCGACAGGAAATGATACGAAAGGTGTCAGCGGAGACAAATTTTACATTTGATGCTCCACTTGCGGATTGCTTGCAGGTCGTCTTTGATAACTGCATAGCATTTACATCTGGAGAAAGCAGTCCACTGGAAATCCTCATGAAAGACAATCTGCTTCACAACTTCCATGCTGCGCACACACAATATGCCGACTGGAAGCCCTTCCTACCGTTACTCTGCCATTCCAGCCCAGGCCTACGAATACTTGAGATTGGTGCAGGAACTGGCTCTGCAACTGCCATGGCTTTAGAGCTTCTCAAATCCACGAGTGGGGAGCGTATGTACGGGCAGTATGTTTTTACTGACATCTCCTCGGGCTTTATGGCTGCGGCAATAGAGAGGTTTGGTCATGAGCAGTGCATGGAATACAAAGTTCTTGATATTACCCTAGATCCCCTTGAACAAGGGTTCGAACCTCATAGCTTTGACTTGATCATCGCTTCCAATGTGAGTTTTTGCCTAGAATGCCTTGGCTCAACAGCGTTGAACTCACCTTCTCTACCAGGTTCTCCACGCCACCCCCAATCTTCACTCCGCACTTCGTCATGTGCATTCCCTTCTAAAGCCTGCTGGACGCTTCCTACTTCACGAGATTAGCCTAGGTAGGTTATAAGCCTCACGTCTGAAGCATTTAACTGACTTCGCTGGAGAAATTTTACTTGCAAATTTCACCATGGTAGGTGCCGACTTTTCCTTGGAACCATACCCAGCTTACTTACATATTTCCATAGGGTGTATTTCCCGGTTGGTGGCTGGGGGAAGATGATGGCCGAGCAGAGCAACCGTACATCTCACCGGGGCGATGGGATCGGGAGCTACGAGCTGCAGGTTTCACTGGAGCAGATGTAACCGCTTATGACCAAAAGCCGCCATACCATATATCCGCCAGCATTATAACACGGCCAGAAGATCATATCTTCATTCCTACCGATATCTGGCTCTTGACAAAGAAATCTACCCAGTGCCAGTGGGCGAGTGATGTTGAATCGCTGTTCCGCAACGAAGGCTACATAACTAACTGGACAACACTACACCAAGCACCACCCAAATGCAAATTCATCGTATCTCTGCTGGATCTTGAAGGGTCCGCAATAGGTTCCCTACCGAAGAATGACTATGAGGTATTCCAACGCTACATAGAGCAAGCACAGGACTGCCAAATTCTGTGGGTCACGCAGTCAACCTCTCACACCTGCTTGGATCCAATTTTTGGCTTCGTCCATGGGCTCGCCCGCACTTTACGGGCGGAGCTATTGCTTGATTTCTCAATTCTGGAGGTTCCCACATGGGATGCGGCGGGCGCAAGGGCTGTAATCCAAGTGTGCGAGAAAATACAGAAATCCCGTGCGCGCTCCCTTCCCGATCCAGAGTATGAGTTTGCTTTGCATGAAGGCGAGATTAAGGTCGGCCGGTACCACTGGACACCTCTCGTCGAGCAACTCTCAAGTCCACCTCGGTCAGATGCGTCCCGAAAGCTGACTCTCACGGCATACGGACTATTGGACACGCTACACTGGGCCGAGAAAGAGGCATCCTATGAGTTGAAAGAGGGGCAGGTTGAAGTTGAGATGGACTACGTAGGACTAAACTTCAAAGTAGGTTTTCTTCCTCACGAACTAGTCCTGCATAGCTCGCTAATCAATATTCTCTAGGACATGATGGTCGCAATGGGCTTCTTCGGAAGCAAAGAGGATCTTGGGCTCGAAGGCAGCGGTATTGTGCTTCAGGTTGGACTGGACATCGCAGTGGGGGACCGTGTTGTGTTGATGCATTCTGGGGTTCTCGCCTCAAACATTGTAGTACCTCGAGAAGCTTGTATAAAACTACCGCAGGGGCTGTCAATGGCAGATGCTGCCACGATGCTAACAGCATATGTCACTGTTCTCTACTCACTTCTTGAAATTGGAGCTTTGAAGAAGGGCCAGGCGAGTAACTCGTGTTGTTCGGCTAATGATGGTAACTGACACGGTAGCAGTCCGTTCTCATTCATTCAGCGTGCGGCGGAGTCGGATTAGCTGCCCTTCAAGTATGCCAGGCTGTTCGAACCGAGGTTAGCGAACCCTCCCGTGATAAATACGGCTGCGGGGATCTAATACTCTGTCAATATAGATCTATGCCACCGTCGGCAATGATAAAAAGGTAGCCTATTTGATGGAGAATTTTGGCTTACCTCGAGAACGGATATTCAACTCACGCAACACGTCCTTCCAACCAGACTTGATGCGTGCCACCGGTGGACGGGGAGTTGATGTAGTGCTTAATTCGTTGTCGGGGAACTTACTCCACGCTTCGTGGGAATGCGTTGCGAAGTTCGGCCGGATGGTTGAGCTAGGAAAACGTGACTTCATAAGTCATGGAATGCTCAATATGAGCCTTTTCGAGGCCAACCGAGCATTTTTCGGCGTTGATCTTGCACAAGTTTGTAAGGAGACACCGGAGATTCTCACAAGGTTTGTCCCTGTTGGACCTTCAGGTAGCGAAGGCTAACTAACACATCGCAGCACCCTGGCAATATTTTCAGACTGGTATATTCAAGGTAAAATCGGACCTATAAAACCTCTCAAAGTCTTTGACGCGCTCGATATCGTCAGTGCGTTTCGGTATATGCAGGCCGGCACTCACTTGGGTAAGATTTTGGTTCGTATGCCATCCTCGGTGGACACTCTGCCTCCTCCTGTGGTGAAGACATTCCCGTCATTCCGACCTGACGCCGCTTATCTGCTCATCGGTGGTCTCGGTGGTATTGGGCGATCCGTGTCAACATGGATGGTCGAGCAGAATGCGCGAGAGCTCATCTTCCTCTCGCGGTCAGCTGGAAAATCCGATGAGGATCAAGCATTTATTCGCGAACTTGAAGCACAATCTTGCCGAGTTATCTGTGTGCCAGGAAATGTGACGAGTCTTAAGGATGTGAAGGAGGCTGTTGCCGCGTGCACGCAACCCCTTGCTGGTGTCCTCCAGATGGCAGTTGACTTGAATGTAAGTCCTCCCTCTTTCTCACCCCCATGGTGTGTTTAACGTCTAATCTCCGACGTCCTATTAGGATCGGCTCTTTCTACAGATGAGCTATGAGGAATGGGATGCCGCACTGGCGCCGAAAGTCACCGGAACCTGGAACCTGCATCATGCCACAGCGCAACATTCATTAGATTTCTTCGTCGTGTTTGGCTCAATTGCCGGGGTGTGTGGCAACACTGGCCAGGCCAATTATGCTGCAGCAACTACATTCTTAGAAGCGTTCACCCGGTATCGACGACAACAGGGACTTTCTTCTTCTATCTTACACCTCGGCGTGGTTGGAGATGCGGGTGCCGCAAGTCGCAACTCCCGATTCCTCCAGAGAGTCCAATCGATCGCGCTGCATGTGCTTCATGAAGGTGAAGTGATTGACGGGCTTGCTGCAGCTATCAATATATCCCCGGTTAGTGGTTCTAATGCGAGCGGGGCAATGGCGATGGGACTCGCGCACACCAGGCGCCGTACCGATCTCCCCAAGGAAATCTTCCTTGGTGGACGCGACGCTCGATTTGCGATTTATCCCAACCTTGAGTCTACGAGTGCTGGAACTGGCGGGGATCAATCATCTCATGCAAATGCCTTAAAGGCCCTCCTTGCCCAGATACAAGCAGATCCCTCGCTGACAGGCAAAAAGGAGACTGAGGTCGCCTTGATGAGGGAACTGGGCAAATTTATCAGCCATAACCTTACAGGACAGACGCAGGAGCAGGGCCCAGATTCTGCAGATGACACTGAGGCAATGGCCGGTATGGCAGTGGACTCCCTCATGGCCATAGAGGTTAGGAATTGGCTGCGGAGGTCTCTGGGAATGGAGATTCCTACAGTGGAAATTAACCGAGCAGGTACATTAGGAGGTTTGGTAAAGGTCGTTTTGAAGGGGCTTGGGGAGAAGTATGATCAGCATGCTACCTAAAAGGCTTCTGCAGGCCAGTTGCAATTAGATAGCTAGACAGGATTTTGATATACAAATTTGCAAGATTCTTTGGAGCTGTTGGCTCTCAGCAATGAATTCTGTGCCGCTTTTCCACTCGGAATTGTTTACCTTGACTACTTGCATCGCACTTGATGATCCAGTTTCTCCCATGCCAACAAAGCTCTCCTTCTGTATTCAGCCAAATACAGCAATTCATGATGCTAGAAGATTTGGGTGTGGGTGGGTGCTTATCTGGTTTGTAGCACCCAGGAGGTAAGTACAAAGACTGGGTTTTATTAAAAATACAGGTGGTTGGTATCCATACATTCGCACATACACCATAGAAGGCCCCGAAACAAATTTCTTCCGCAGAGACCAAGCAGCGCTATGCGTAGTGCCCAATATGACGAAGCCATGTCTGCTAGCTCACTCTCAACTTGTTACACAGCAGTAGTAGAATATATCCGAGTTTGTTGTTCTTAGATCGGCAATGCTGTGAATTCTGCTCCGTATTCGATCGATACTTTGAATTCTCACATACAACCAAGACGTCATCCTCTCCGGCATATGTGAGTTCTAAATCCCCCAGGCTGGTATAAAACCAGTCTACATATGCTGAACTCCATATATCCGTAGTATTATCGTTCCATTGCCCTACTCAATTAAGCACGAACAATTTTCTATTTTCCACCATGTCTTCTCTCATAGAAACTCGCCAGAGCCTCGTCGGCACTTGGATCCTCGTTGAATACAAAGCTACAGATACCGAAACCGGCCAGGTTATCCATCCTATGGGTCCCAAAGCCCAGGGTTTTCTTATATACAGCGCCGACGGATTTGTGTCTGCGCACCTCATGCAACCCGGAGCCCCAGCTTTCTCCGGCAATGATATGGAACGAGGTACGCAGGAAGAGCTTGCTGAGTCCATGAAGCACTACCTAGCATATTGCGGGCGTTACAACCTAGAGGAGGTAAACGGAGCAATTAAGGTCAAGCATAACATGGAAGTTGCCTCGTTTCCCAACTGGCTTGGAAACGAGCAAGGGCGCTTGGTCACATTGAATGGCAACAATTTGGAGCTCGATACTGCTAACGTGTATCTCATTGATGTATGTCTTATCTTACCTTCTCTCTCTACGTCAACAGTTCTTTATTTTCTTGTTCAAGCTTACTTAGCTCTACTTTAGGGCCAGTATGTGCGCGGGTCGCTTGTATGGCGAAAGGCACAGTCAACAGCCGATTATTGATGCCTTTTGTGGCCAACTTGCTTCTGTGGTGGTGATACGAGGTAGTTAGATTCAGTTTTTCTTTTGTTCAGAAGATATAATTGTCGATTCAGTCGTGCCTTTTTCGGAACCCTTGATTGTATTGGTGATACTACCACCCCAAACCCGCCGCCACCATGAGATCAGCCATTGCACAGATCGAATTGTCCTCTCATACCTAGATATATCTGAGATAAATAGATTTGGTTTGCATATATCTGTACCACATCCTCACACTGGGTAAATGAATCAAAGTTATAGGGCAGTTGGAACCAACAAAATGCACCAGGATCAGAGAAATCTTTCCCAGCGTAGATTCAAGTCCACCCTCGTGTCTTGGGGGTACCCTGGAGTACACTTACTGATGCCACTTCGAGTATTGCAAATAATCCCATGTGGCCAGGTCATTCAGTCTCACTCGCATTCTATCGATTGTACAAAGTTACTCTCTATATAGTGATATCGCCCCAGTAAAGACCTTTTTTCTACTAAGAAGTTGATAATACATCACACAGTGACGTTATGGTTGATCAGCGATATTGCTGTTTCTTTTGAGAGTAACACAGACGATCCGCAAAGTTGATCGCCCCGACATCCTTCTATATGTAGAAATCTGTGCATTAGTATTTGATCATATGGTTGGTAACACTCGGGATACACTTATACATTTTGGTCTTCTCGCCTTTAGATTCCTATCTTGATACGTGTACTTGTTGCTCGATCCATAACTATTCCTCTTCCGCAAGATATATGCATGCAATTAATTTTGGATAGATTAGGTACTCCACCACACTCTAAGGGTTGTTCCCATGTAGGAAGACAGACACAGCTCACTTAAAATATATAATTGAATCATCTATCTCGGGAAGTCTGAACCATAGGTCCATCGAGATAAGGGGATCTCCAGAGGTTTACATCTACGAAATTAGGTTGTACCGAGGCGCTTTAATTCAATAAGAGATATCTTTTCAATCTTTGGAGTATCATATGGTGTAACACCGGCAAAGATCAGTGATTGTGAAAATCACGTCTTGCATCTTCGAAGATTGGGGAGAAAAGATTACTTATGAACGAATGGGATATTATCACAAAGCTAGCCCACCTTGGGTATCATTTGTCTCGAAACTCAATTATACTACCAATTATGTCCAAACTATATCCATTTTCACAGTTCACCATCTTAAAATTCACCCATGTGTCATCGAATACACACTATTCTAGATCTTCAACTCAATTCCAGTTCAAGCCCACTTTCCGAGCAGAGCCATGATACCAGCACCAAGGATCATAGTCAGGACCATGAAAGTCAACCGCTTGTTATCCTGAGTGCGGTGAGGGTCAAACAAGAAATCACGAGCAAGCAGCTCAACGAGACCAGTGTATAGCAAGATCCCAGCCGAGATGGAGTCCAGCACACCAGAGACAACATTTGCAGTGAAAGAGCCAGGGTTATAAGTCGTGCGCAAACCAAGACCAATAGCAATGGCAATGGGGGTAGTTAGTCCATAAGCAGAGCACAAGAACCAAGGCAACCAGCTTCCCTTTTTGAATGGGATACTCGACATGCGCGCTCCAATACCAAGCCCTTCAAACGACTGGTGGAAGACCAGAACAGGGTAAAGTGTAGCAAACTCATCACCCGCAACACCGAGGTTGAGACCAATGATCACAGAGTGGAAGATAACGCCGAACTCCAAAATCAACAGCGCAGCAATTTGCTGCTTGACTGAGCGCTCGATCGCCAGCTCCTGTGTCTGCGACTCAATCTCCTTGACATGCTTGTGGGATGAGTGGGGTGCCGAAGCACACAAGTCCACACGTCGCACTTCACCCCCAGTCGACATCATGGGCTCTGGGTCTTCTCGACAGATACCGTACTTGAGCTCGACCCAGCGCTCGGCGCCGAAGTCCATGAGAAATACGACCATCAATGATGTCAACACAATTGCCGGACACCATGAGTAATCCGCCCAGTGGCCGGTGAGTCCGACGCAGGAGTTTCCACCGATTTCGTCGTACGCGGGATCGAGGAGGTGGATGAATGCCGTTGCGATGATCACACCAGCGCCGAAGTATTTTGCGAAGAGATACACGTAGATCGGGATGCGCAGGCGTGGTGCGCGTTGTGCTAGCACGGGGAAGAAGGTCGCTGCTGAGGAGACGATGAGAATCACGAAGATGGCGGAGACGCGCGCGCCTAGTTGGCCGTTGTATTCGTTTTCCCCGGCATTGAGATAGCAAACAATTTGAGCGGCGTCGGCTGTATCCAGATCGACATTGTGAGGATCGAATGCCATCTTGGCTGGTTATGTGTTGTGTGTTGTAAATCGTCCTCTGACGTTGGATGGGAGGAAGAATGGCCTCTGTGGTGTGGAGCCGATATAAAAGCTCGAAAGGAAATGAACAAGACGATCTTGACCTACAGATATTACAGGAATTGTCTGCCCGTTTTATAAAGGAGCAAAGATACAGGCTTCTTCGGGTCCTCCGTTGCGTTGAGGACCTTGGGACGTTTCGCCCCCGATTATATTAGCTTGGTGTTAGCTTGGACTCTTCGTCGGAGGCTACATTGACTAGGCAATTTGACCCATGTTAAACTTTCTAATATCGCTACAATATTCAATTGATGTTCGAAATTCCCGGTCTGCGTGGTGTGTTGCTATTGTCCCGAGAACTTCTGCTCCTTGCTGAATATCAAATGCCCAGCCGGGAGCAACCATCAGCCCTACACACGGTATCGGAAAACCAAGGCTCGGAGAGTTTCTTGTCAAAGCTTGGAACGATGCAAGCATTTTACACAAGTCTTGTCAGTGGGCCAATTCTGGTGGGAGTGATTGGGTGTCAGCACCGTGAGTTGCCCCCAAGGTCCTTCAACTAAGATTGCGCGTGGGTCAAAACCACATCAAACGTTTTTCATCGAGGATACGCTACTTGAAAAGGCAGGTGTATAATGGCTTGAACTTAGATGTTATTCCATCATCGCATATGGATATTTAGAGGTGCGCATAGTGGCTAATATCAACATACTGACCTGACATCTCCGATCCGCAGATAGACTTCCGTTGTCAAACTCCGAAAGAATATGCTGAGTCGGCTAGAAACGAGCCAGCAGCAGATTGAATACTAGAAATTACATCGCAAGAGCGTATCATGTCGCGGGGTGAGACATCACATTGTCATCTCTTCATCACATTCGTAGGCGTTCGTCGGCCATTTGTGGATTCAGCACAAAATCGCTCAAGCTAAGACAACCTTGCAAGTTAAGTCTGGAGCCTAGACTTGACCTTCCAGGGCCGAAGAGCTGAGGATAAAAAGTCATTTGGAAACATGAAAAAGCAAGTTCATCCAGCCCGAAAGCACGAGACCATCCCATCCCATCCCATTCCTAATGCCTGACACTGTCCCAGCCCAGATCGCAAAATAGTAAACATAAACATAAGACATAGGTCATAAAACAAGTCATAATAAGCACAGTTGAAAGACCTCACATGCAAGGTTTCTTCATAACTCGTTTCGTTTCTCGTACCCCATACCCAAGATCTCATCCCAGTTTGGAGAGAGGAGCCCGGGTCTGTACACATAAACACATAATTCAGGTTTCCACCCTGCCGTTCGTATAATATAGTTCCCCTCCCATCAGTCAAAACAAGAAACAGAAACACGCTCCGAAGCCAATCGCTAAAATCATTCGCTGAACAAAGCCCTGTGCCCGAGTGAACCTGACCCTGGGACCGAGCTGAAAAAAGACAAGACAATGAAAATTATATCAAAAAGATACACAAATAAGAGAAGAATAAAAAGTGTTGCGTGATCTATCGTTGCACGCTAGAATTTCAAGGGCCATTGCTAGCCCGTATTTTTGAAGAAGAAAAAGAAGGAGAAGAAAGGGGGCTAGATCAAGTAACAATCCCAAGCAGAGATGTCACAAGAAATGCAAGAAAGGTAGAAGAAAAAAATCACAAGAAATACGGTCGTGTCGAAAATCTCAAGATTAATCCCGAAATGAAGCCATCAAGGATAGAAAATACCCTCCACCTTGACGGAAGTATCGTAATCATGACTATTCACCATACGTTGGAAGTCCTGAACAACCTTCTCAGGCACACAGTCCCACATCAATGATCGAGAATGCACACCCGAAGATAGAGCGGAGTGCATGCGAGTCCGCTGCGCGGTGGTATCGCGCATCGCAGCAAACGCCTGCTGCAGAGTAGATGGCTTCTGTGACTTGAAGTCCCCGCTGTGATCCTCGAACGTCGTCAGGGAGTTATACTGGTCGACGTTTATCGAGAAAGCCTGATCACGCTCCTGCTCCTCTGTCGGCATCACGAGCGTGTTGTGCAGCTGGTCTAAGTTTGATGGCAGGGGTTGTGCAGAGGTCATCTGCGCCATCTCTATGCCGCTGATAGTTGCCGGCGAAGGTCCGGTTGTTGTCCCATGGTTGATGGAGTGTTGGTGGGTGATCTCGTGACCGGATGACGAGGCTAGTACTGCTTTTAGCACGTTGGCTGACTCGGCCCGGTACTCTTCAGAGAGTTGGGGCAGGGAGCGGCCCAGTAGGGAAGTACTGTTTGAGGCGCAGAAGGCACCCAGAAGTAGGAACATGCAGAAGGCATTCCAGTTGACCGGCAGGTCTGATCCGTTGTTGGATTTCTCCGGGACCTTGACCTGCTGGCTAACCTGAGAACGGGGAGTTTGGATACCATCTGGTTGCAAGGGAGGTCCAGCCATTGAGAAGCCGTCCCATGAGGGGTTTTCCATGGGGTTCTCGAAGCTGGTGAAGTCGCCGGGCTGGCTTTCTTGAGCGAGCTTGGCGCCGTGCTCAAGCTGTTTAATTCTCTCCTCCAGATGTCTGTTTCTTTTTAAAAGATTGGCTGTCTCTCGCGTATGTGTGATGATAATTTCATCTTTCTCGATGTCCTGACGTTGGATGTGCTCTGCCAGCTGCATGTTGTAGTCAATCAACTGGCGATTCTCGTACTCCAGGTTTTCCCTTGCCCTCTGCATGTTCTGGATTTCCTCTCTGAGTGCCTCGATCATTGCGTCCAGTTGCTTGATCCTTGCGTTCAGTTCGCTGATCGTTGCTTCCAGTTCCTTGATCTTCTCGACGTGGCCCTCGGCTTCCTTTTTCTTGCGTTGCCGAGAATGCAGCCTATTACAACAAGGTTAGCATTTAATCCAACTCAACGCATGAATTTCAACTTACGCTGCACAACGATTCCGCAGTAGTCGTTTGATAGCCTTGAGGTTCTTTTTCTCCTCCTCGTCGGTGCAATTCCTGATCGCCTCATCGATGTTGTCCAAGTTCAGTTCGGGGGAGATTGGAATGCGGGAATTCCTCTTCCGAACCCCATCCCCCCGATGCGCCGGCAAAGCAACCCGGTAGTTTGGGCTCTTTCTTGAGTGCATTTCTGCCTCAGCCATGTCCATCGGCGCCGGCATCCAGCCCTGGCTTGATTGCGGTGACATGGCGACGCTTCCGGGAGTCGCAAAGGCCATGCTACCGCGGTACGACATGGAGTTTACGGGCATAGCGCCAACGGGTCCAACCGCACCGCCAGAGAACGGAGTGATGGCACTCTGGTCTCCATTGGCAGCATAGTTATCATAGTTGACGGTCGGGGTGCATGAGCCTGAATCTGTGCGCGGCATTGACCACGATGCCTGGGGGTAGGAAGATAACTGCGGGCCATCGACGGGGATGAACGAGGCACCCGTTGAATTTAGCATGGCGTGTCCGACTTGCGAATGCGAATTTGACTGTGACTGGCCGGAGGTATTTGAGTAGTTGGACCAGACGGAATCGCGATGTGAGTAGGCTGGTGGAGCGTCGTAGGAGGCGCGGCGGTTGGAAAGGTCTTCGGAGCTTGGGTCCAAGATCTTGTCGTCCAACACGCTCATCTCGTCGTCTTCCGGTGTCACATCTAACGTTGATGGTGATTGTTGGTAGAATTCAGACTGGAAATATTGTGCCATCATGAAGAGGCGGTGTGTGTGTGTAAGAGGGGTGGGGCGGGAAGAGGTTGATTTATAGAGAAATAGGTGTAGAGGGTAAAATCGAGGGAAAATTGTAGGAAGTATAGAAATGAAGATGAATATGACGATATAATTGTGCAGAGGGGGGAAATATGCTGTGATCTAGTTCCGGGGGAAGCAGGCTATGTATGAGCAGATGCAGTCCTCGTGCGGTTGACACTGTACCCACAGGTACCGAGTACCCATGTGGATGATGGAGAATAGGCTGTCGATCAAGTACCCAGTACTCATCCAGCGGTCTACGCGGGAGTGCAAGAGTGGCCCCCGGGGCAGCATCTCCGTTATTGGCTGCATTGTTTTGCTTGGGCAGACCTGCATCTGTTGATGTTTGATTATTTTGGTATTTTGGTTATTCAGCTTTAATTTCTCTTTGGGCCTTTATTTTATATTTTATTGGAAGATTTTTCCTTTTAGTTTTGTTTTTATGATCCAGTCTCAATGGTAATGTTATTCATTTTACAGGTATGAAATAATATCCGGTTATACATTAGTACGGAGTATGTATACATGTACACTAACTATGTAATCTTCAATAGAGGATTGCCCCTTTTCCCCTGTATAATGTACTCCGTATATTGTAAACCCGAAGCCATCACGAAAAATCTCAAGTGGGGGAAATCGGACGGGCTTATCGATAAACGATAGCCTATCGATCGATCCTCGTTCCGCCGGCGTGAGACAATCCCTGTCGTGGGGAGTATATGGTCTGTGCTATACCTTATTCACGGCGCTTACGTAGAATACTAACTGCTACTTAAAACATGACCTGCACATTTACTTAAAATAAGTATTTTTAAGTATCTTTCGGTACCTTTTTGGTACTAAACCCTTCACCCGTGAATGGTCAGATGTCCAGTTTAGATGTCATCCTCCTTTCTATCCGCCGCTAACAGCCAATCATTCCCGAGTCAGTGCGACGATCCCTTTGGGCTATGATCCATGGCGGTTTGATGTTTTGTTTTTCTCTTTGTTTTTCTTCCTTATTTTGGGATTCCTTATTTCTTTCCCCCCGGTATGCCCAGGTGGTCTTGGAGTATAGAATGAATGTCTGGGACGGGCTCGGCCCGCCGATCCACTGTTGGGCCGACCATGGATGAGAAAAGAAGAAATAAAAAAATAAAAACCAAAAGCACGGATGTCATGCACTGATCACTCGTCCCATCCAGATGACGACCTCCCGTCCAAAATCAAAATATCTATATGGAAATACCCTGGAGGTTAAGGCTCTGGGAGAGCTTGGGTTGAAAATCCCACACGCCTGATCTTGTCCTTGCCGTGATCTACTTGGCAGCTCCCTTTGCAGCTCCCATATGGCTGAAGCAGCCATCTTTCCAACTCTTCTAGGCTCACAGACCACATTTAATCCGTGATCGACTATGCGGAGTGCAGGGACATGATGCCATCGTATTTGACGGGTGCCTTCCGGTCTGTCTTTGCGCTGCGGGGTGAACACCCATAATCTACTACCATTATTGCCCCAACATACCAGGATCTCCAAATTATACTAGGATTAAACTTGGGCTGTCACTTAGCCATTCTTGCTTTTTTCTACTTCCCCCATAGTTCAATAAATCCCCTGTCGAGTCTTGCCGCCCAAAGCGCTGGCCCGGTTCCTGTTCCTGTAAGTTCGTCTCGACAATTCCCCGGAGCACAAACCCCCTCGGCGGCAGCCCCTGAGTCTGTTCGCAGTCTATACATAGTACACAGAATGGAGCCCTGTGATAATGATAGGCCTGTCACCTGGGCGGCAGCTCGGCGGGTGGAAAACTTGGCCCGGATAAGATCTGGCGGTGAAAAGGCCGAGTTTGTCCAATTGAGATCTAGTCTACCGTCGGCCACCCCGTTCCCTACTATATTAGTCATAAACAGGAAATTCTTTCCAGTGCAAGGTACCCGATGGCATTTTCGTTTCTGCTCGCCAATGACGCGTCTACAACATATAGTGCACTAATCTGAGAATCTGGGACCAGTGTCATGGTGGTTTCTTCATGTAAAGACCGATATATTCGGCACCTCATACCTTCCCTCATGCGAGACTAACACTTCGACCTTCCTGCGGTGAAGCTGAAACCACTGTTTTGCCATATGACTCAGAATGAAACCGGCGATCTACCTTCTCTGAACAAACTAGAAGGCCATGGCAGGTCCACCGCTCCACTTCTATTCTATTACTTATGTAGCCAAAGGCCCACTTCTTCTACGGCTCCATACAACTTCAATACACCGTACGCTGTATGTGCCCAAGGTCTCCAATACATCTCCTCGGTACAAGCTAAGCCGCATATGATCTCAAAGCCTCACTTTGAACCGGTACCTGCCTGATATGCCGTGCACCGGGTACATTGGGCACATCATATGGGGACAAACCAGCGTCTAGGATTGGATGCGACTGGGCCACTAGATGTTCATTACTGGGCTCATGGTATGCTCCACATGCCGAATCGGGGACTCGTTGACGTTTTTCGTGTCTGTAGCCTACCTATCGGGGAATCCGTCTTTCTTGGACCCGTCGGTGGAAGGACACTTGATCTCTGCCGAGGACCTTCATTCACCGTTTTAATGACTCATTCTGTAACAGGGCGAGCGATGGACGAGAGGATTTGGGAGTTTCTGTCGCTTTCTGCGGTTATTACCAACCAACACGTCGAAATAGGTTTAGAATAGGTGGGCCAACGACCTACGATGATCACAATATTGGGACAAAGAAGCTATTATTCAGTATCTCAGGCAGACTGAGTCATTATCTCTTTCTTCTTTTGTTCTCGTCCGATAGACTGTCTTTCTCTGCTACTATTCCCGTCCGATGGATTCATATCCTTTTGTTCGATGACGTTCATGGTCTTGGTTTGAGTAGGCTTTCCGTCCTGCACTAAAGCCCAACGGCAAATTCCGACGTAGTACAATGGCTGGCCCCATGATTAAATAGAGCTCAAGAGCCAAACCTTACACCAGATAGTCTTGATAGGCAAGGGTCGGTATGTGTGGCTTGACTTAGCCGACGACGCTTTCAAGTGTTGGTGATACACAGAGCCTATGTCTAACTATAGCGCGCCCACAGTATAGATCACTTGATTCCCAAGTAATCATGTACTATTCGTCCAGGCTAGATCTAGACTGCTTTTCGTTGGGACAAGGGAGTGCTTGACTCTATTTCGTAGTCACCATCTCGACATCCAAGCCGTAGCGTTGATCACGATATTACATATTTGTAAATGTTTAAACTTGAACTCCGACTATAATCTATGACTGTACTTATCCTCAGCTTTGGTATTATTTGAGGTACAAGTTCGCATCGTTGCTTTCTATATCACTGGGTTCATTTGATATACCCCTCCATGTCTGTACTTGGCAATTCCAGGGCATAGATATGATATTCCAACTACATAGAAAGTACTACATATACACTACAACCAACAAGTACACAGCACATTCTAGGCCCTGGCTATGTCTCGCTCAGCCTACTTTAATTTTGGTTCTGTGGCTTCAGCAAGTTTCACCGGCTGGGGGTCATCCTTGTAGGTCTCGGAAGGATATCCTGGGGTGCGAATTTTAATATTGCGCTGCCTACCACACGGGTCCATTTAGCTTCCAAATATTATACAATAGTGAGGCTCATACATTCTTCTATGGTCACACAACTTCCTACTTCATGTAACCAGTCAGCAGGACATGGACCCTGCAGTTGTTTCTACCACCGTCACATGGTTCGGTGTAGGTTGGTTGCCGCACCATGTCAACAGGTGCATCTATGATCAACAAATATAGAATCTAAGGAACTAGGTACACATCCAGGAAGAAATTTCAAATAAGATATTCGATTTCAACTTTTTTTCAATTTCTTTTCAGCTCAGTACTATCGACATGTTTTCGGGGTATGGGCAAAGCAAACGAAAAGCAAGAAAGAAAGCGCAAACTATCCAATCAACTACAAATGGCAGGATTTAGGATTTAGAAGCGGATGAAGTCTTGCTGCTGCGACATCTCGCCGCTATCCACACCTTCGATCAGTTCTTCGGGAGAATCGTCGAACGCATCCGAGTCAACGTCATCCGAATCAATAGCATCGTAGTTTTCTTCCTCGCTAGACGGGTCAGAGTCATCCTCACCCAAATCGGCTTTACTAGCAGCAGCCGCAGCAGCCTTGCGGATTTGGCCCGCGCGGTCGACGTGTGGCAGCTGGCAGCGCTTCTTGTGGCAGGCGCCGGTGTTGGCATAGTCTGGGCACTCGTGGACGTGCTTCTCTTCGCATGCGTCGCCCTTTTCACAGTATCCTAGTGTTGCAAAGGCGCGGCAGACGGGGGCACCGGGTGTCACGCGGACGTGGGCGTAGCGACATTCCGGGTTGGCGCAGCGTCCTCTAAGGAAATGCATACAGGAGGGGGAGCGGTGGGGCGAGGGCTCATGGGATAGATCACAGCTACTACCTGCGGCACATTGGCCTGTCTGGAGGAAGTCCTTGCACATAGCGACCTTACTGGGGTCGTGGACGAACTGGCAAGTCGGGCCTTTGTAGCAGGTGCCTGGGAAAAGCAGACGTGTTAGTTGTTGGACATGCGGATAGGGTGGAACATAGCAATATGGCCCGTCGGAAAACAAAATACCGGTTGTTGTGAATCTTTTGCAGAGCTCATTGCGTTTCTTAACCGTATGGTTCCTATGGCAAGGTCAGTATCAAGGTAGCCATCGCTAAAATCAAAACTCACTTCTTCATGGCCACAGCACCGAGGCGGTGCAGGTTTCCATTTTTGCTTCGCACAAAGGACACATCGGCCACTGTGACGCGCTTGGGGGTATTGTTGGCAGTACTGGGGTCATCTATGAAGGGTAAGCAAATTCGAGGTGTAGAGCGAAGAGAATACGCACTCGAAATACGAATCAGTTTGCTTCCGCCATTTGCAACCCTGAAAGCAACATCATTGACAAGAATCTGGTGGCCAGCTGCAGGGTTTGCGGTGGTGGAAACCATTGCATTAGAACCTGGACCCTGTGCATATCGAAGTACTTTCGCTTTTTCGTACTCGGTCTTTTTCTGTTCTCTAAGCTTGCGCGTTCGTTCCATATCCTTTGACCTGTCCTGTGTTTTCCGATCGTAGACGGCAGGGTTGATAAGCTGCATGTGGCGATCGTGCTTCACAACCCAGCCACTACCAGTCGAAGATGGTGTCGGAATCGCTGCGCTCTCGCTGGAGCTTGCCGGAGCGGGGGAGGAGTTTGCGCTAGGATTTGAGCCAGCACCCGCAGTGTTTAGAACAAGCGTACGGTGCCGGTGCGGAGCAGCTGCTCCTCGACGTCCTCGGCCGCGTCCCCTGTAGTATGGGGCCCAGCCTGGATGAGAAGGGACATGGCGAGACACATATTGAGACTGGTGGTTAGCTGGGTGGGTCTCTTGTGTCTTGTGGCGGTTTATTTGGCCTTCTCAAATTAGCTTTATGTTGACAGTAAGCTAATATCGAGCGCACCTGCAAGTTGGCCGATTTTGGCCAGGAGATCGTCGTTTTCGCTCATGGTGACTATCTGAAGCTAAATGATGTAAGTGAGTGCCAGAGACAAGAATCTGAGAGTTTCTCGGATTAAGATCCAAAGGTGGGGAATATTTCAGAGGAAGATCTGAGCCAGTGATGCGGATGAAGCAGCAAAGACGCGCCCATTTAGCGCTGGTGTGATTCCGAGAGGTGGGTTTGTATGGTTTGCATAGATTTGATGCCTTGGGCGTAAAGAGTGGCGAAGAGGTCCGTGCTCAGCTAGACGAGGACGTCACCATCAGGGTAAACAGACGGAGTCCGCTGAGACAGAAAAACGCCTCTTCGAGGCCTGTGCAGTTCATTGAGGCCAAAGAAAACTCGCTCCAGCATGAAGACTTAACTTTACCGTCACTAGAGAGCCGCTCCATCCCCGACTTATCCCAATGAAATACTCCGCATCTCGCGTATAAGTATGTTGTACATGAAAAGTACCAGGATTGAGAAGGAAAAATAATTGTCTGATGGACCAAGGAGCTTGTTAATATGTATTCGCTGCCTATATCAGCGATATCATTCTCATGTAAGCGGACGCAGCTACCTAGGTATAGTTCGCAACATATGTGGGCATACTACTTCATCACACGCTTACCACACTATCTGAAGTTTATACCAAAGCCAGCCGGTAATTTCTGGCTTACGGGTCACTGGATTAACTTGCCTAAGCCATGCTCAATAAAAAAAATGTCTCCAAGTTTGGGGAAACCAGTTTCCCAGTGGGCCAAGGAAATGCTCAAAGAGTGGTCACTGCGAATCCTACAAAGGTATGGGCTTCAAATATAACAATCGAAGGCCACGCAGGATCATCTACTGCCACAGAGTGTATTGCAGTGGACGGGTGATTATACTCTATCCTTGAGGCAAAGCATCATCTTAGAAAGTGGTATCTAAAGCACAGATAACCAACCCTTCTCTAGAGCGATTCCAAGCCAAGGGGCTTGGTCCGCTATAGTATCTTGCCATAACTCGTATATATGTTTCGTATATCCCATTAGTCATGTCAGTCAGTACGAGTCCCTTTCTACTCAATAGACTTTCACCTACCCAACACTTCAACCACTAATGTGTCAGCCTTGCATGAAAATTGTGACTATTGTTTAGGATAAAGTCCAACATTGTATGTAACTCATTTGTTCATTCCATTCTATGACTATTTTCCGAATTAAACCTGGACTCCCAGCCTGTCCTTGAAAGCCTTAACGCCCGGACCCTGCTTATGCAACATATCGAAGCCGTTATTTTGTTTGTATTTGTTTAAACGTTCTCAAAGTGAACGTCGTCCTGATCCGTGGCCATTCCAGAAGCTGGATCCTCCTCTGACTCGAAAGGATCGTCGGCTCCTGGTGGCAACTCTGCCTTGGCATTGTCCATTGCGTTCGAGTATTGACTGTGGGTTGCCTCGGGCTTCAGTTCCCAGGTCATAGCGAAATCACCCGCCTTGACAAGGTGGGCAACCATCTCCAAAGTCTGCTTGAGATAGGCCTCTGGCTGCGCCAACCGGGCCTTGAGTGTCTTAAAGGGCCAGTATTTGAATTCGCGGAAGCACTGGAAGATAAGATCGAGAAGCTCGTTTTGCGGCATACGGGTGGACTTGTTCTCTTGGGCTTTTCCTTTCGAGGTTCGTGTGGCTTGCTGCAGACGAAGTGAGTAATCTAGCCCCAAAAAAGAAAGAGAAATGGAAAAGACACACCACAAATTGACCCCTCTCGGTGGGAAGAGCATGGCGGGCCTGGATGATCTTCCCGGGAATCTTATCAATAAAGACAGTTTCCTTTCGAGGTTTCAGAGCTTCCAGCGCTCGCTTTTCGGAGATCCGTCTGAATTCTTCATTCTCCACGGGAAGGCAATTGAATTCTTCGCTGACCGCGCCGGCGAGGGCAGTGTGTTCTAAAAATTGTGAGCAAATACAACTCCCCATGTCTGCAAGATGACATACTTGGTATCGTCTTTCGCACATAAGGCTCCCATCTTTTGCCCTGTTCCCGCCGCTTCGCTTCGCGTTTCTGGGCTTCGTACAGAACTGAGCGCGTTTCGCCAAATGTAGCCATGCGGTTCTCGACACCGGGGATATCCTTCTCGGTGAAAAGGTACGTATTGTGAGTGAGATGTGATCCAGTGCCTGATGGGTCGACCGTTTGACGCTGGAGTGTGTAGTCCTTGGGAATGTCCCGATTATCTGGGCGATCATGTAGGCGCAAACTGACCTGAGAAACGGATGGATGTCAGAATATGCCTGGCACGCCGCATGCGCATGTCTTTCTACTTACCCTCTTGATGTCGTTCGGTGTCCCCTCCACTCTCATTGTACCAAGCTCAATCTCTTCGTCATCGTCCAGGTGGGCCCAGTGCTCCCACAGCTGCCTAGGCAGACGGGAGAGCCACACATTCTGATTTGCTTGCGTGAAGTCAAGGTCTCCAGCATCTTCGTAAAGGTCTTCTTCGTCGATGTCCCTAAGGGCGATATCCTTGCTGTCGGGGTCCTGTTTGAAGTACGGGCGATCCGGATCTTGCTTGACCTGAGCCATATTTGGTGCGGGATGGCTCGACGACGGTCAGAACTTAGAGAAAGTGATGATGTAGGAAATGCGACCGTCGATACGCCGCTGAATTTATCGGGAGAGAAAGTGGTGGATGGAGTGAGAAGCGCGTTTGAGCGATAAAGTCCGCGCCACCCAAGTCTGGAGCTATTCAGTCAACCCGAAGTGGTAGGCGGTGAGAGCCAGCTCTATTTGTACGTATGACGACTTACTTTTCGACCCTTCACCTGAGGTTTACAGCTTGTATTAGGTGCATAGCTAGTGCTTTATACGCTCAACTTTAATCCAATCCCGAATGGGGCTCTGGGACATAATTACTAGCTACGTAACTAGGTAGTATTCTATTCACCTGGACACTCACTGAGCGAGACCTTAAGACCTTCCTGATTCATTCTCTCGTGAACTGTCATAACAATCACATAATTGACAAGTATCCTGCTACCAATATCATGCCTTTGCCAACTGTGAATAGTATGTTACACGATGCTATTTGCTCCCCCGAATACAAGGAAGACTAGGAGGGTCCTCACTCGGAGGGTCAGACTATTGCCCGGTGCTATGGCCTCGGGCCAGGTAAGCCGATAATGGAAAAACGCAGAAGGCTGGACAACAATTTTCTAATCCGACGACAAATTATATTAGTAGGCGCGGATGAGCAATGATGTTGAAGAAATAATCTGCCAAGATATCCGCGAGATTGCGAGTTTGATTGAACAGAGCCAAAAGAGCCGCATCACTTATTGTATGATGACCAAGACAAGGCTGAAAAAGCAAGCATGTCTTCTCTTGGCCTCGAGGTATTTACTGTGATAGCATTGGCTGAATGAGTCCCTACCACGTATTCATGCAGAGGTCAGTTCGCGGGATATGTCCAATCTGAAAGTAGGGTTGGGCGCGTATCCTCGAGGCTAGGTGATTGGCCGGGGTGTTGCCTCCCCCAACACCCCCCGGCCCCAGGCAGAGGTGAAGACATTCATGACCTCTCCTGTCTTTTTGAGATTGGTCTCTTTGGCCATTTCTTAGATCAAGCATCATGAACGAGCTCAACCCAAGCATATATACGGTCGTGTGGATAGCGCCGCTTGAAATCGAGGCACAGGCTGCCCTTCATATGTTGGACAATCATCACCGAGGCCGATTCTCGTTGGATAAGGGTGACGACTATGTCTTCCGCGCCGGTGATATTGGTGGACATAACATCGTCATCGCTACTCTACCGGCAGGCCAAGAGTATGGCACCGGGTCTGCAGCTGCGCTTGCCAGTCAAGTCAAGAAATTCTTTCCAAATCTCTGGTTCGGATTACTGGTTGGTGTTGCTGCTGGTCTCCCAAGCCTTTCGCGACAACCACCTCGTGATATCCGACTTGGTGATGTCCTCGTGGGTCTTCCAGAGGGTAACAGCGCAGGCCTCATAGCCTACGACTTGGGCAAAGAAACGGGAGCTAGTGGTTTCCAACTTTTACGAGGTGGACACGTCCTGGCAAATACCGAAACTGTTGTCCGATCAGCCATCCAGAATATCAAACTGATGGCGCCTCGGGATGTAAACGAATTTCAGCCATATTACGAAAGCATCCGGGATAAGCAGCATTCCAATGGTGAATTCAATGATCCAGGACAGGATCATGACAATCTATACCAAATAGACGATACAGGGGTTAGTCATATCGTCCAACGAGAACGGCGACCTGATTCAGAGCGAACTCGGGCGTGGTATGGACCGATCGGATCTGGGGAGAAGCTCATGAAGAACGCCCAGAGGCGGGATGAATTGAGAGACAAGCATGGCATCATCGGGCTAGAAATGGAAGCCGCTGGAACATTGAATCGTATACCTGTTGGTGTGATCCGAGGGGTTTGTGATTATGGGGATGAACACAAGAACAAAGACTGGCAACCATATGCAGCGGCAATGGCAGCCGCCTATGCCAAAGCAATTTTATATGAGATTAGACCCAAGGCCTCCGCCCCGGCATATGTGCACCGTGGTTAGTACGCAATGTATTGTTCTTATATTCCCAATATTCTTCAATCCATGAAAGATTATCCATTTCTACAAACTCCAGGAATGCATACTGACCGATTCAAATATCTTCCTAGAAACCGATGCCCAAGGAATTCAGTCAAGATTACCCGTTCGCACAGCCTTTCTTGGGAGAGAGGGAGAATTGTCTCAGATGCAACAATGCTTTGGCTCCGGATTGTGTAGAAAATCTTTGGTACTATGGGGTCTTAGCGGGTCTGGGAAAACACAGCTCGCCGTCCACTATGTCACTACCAACAAACAGTCCTACCAGTCTGTGTTGTGGATTGACGGATCGTCTTCCGCTTTGATTCATCAATCTTTCGAGAACCTTTCACATCATATTTCAGGTTACAACCAAGAGAGACCAGCTATTGAGCAAGTTATCGAGTGGCTGGAGAGAGGAACGAACCGTTCTTGGATGATGGTTTTCGACGGTGTCCCAGGAGCTTACGATGTCGATGATCCTGAGGACTTCGATATCCGAAAATACCTACCTGCCTGTGACCACGGTCACATTTTGCTGGTGACAACAGCGTCGGATCTACACCTGCGTTTAGCCCTCTCCGACTCCGAGATCCATCTGGAAGGCGTCGATGACACTACGGGCTCGGATATATTGCTAAGGTGCGCGGGAATCCAAGAACCCGAAGATTCTGGTATGCAGAAAAGCCAAAATTCTCACTTTGTTGATGTTTGACAATTTTCAGGGAAAGCGACAGCGCGGTCGATTTCTCGCAAGTTGGGAGGCCTACCACTTGCCCTTGAACAAGCTGGCACTTTGTTGTCCTACGGCATCATCCGGATGGATGACTTCAACAAGCAGTTTCAACAGCGCTTTTCTAGTAAGACCCTCAAAACTCCCACGAAAAGGTATGTAGGGTCTTATGAGAAAGGTCGCACTCTGTGGACGGTTTTTGAACTTTCATATGATGGTCTCATTCAGAGAAGTCCTGACGCAGTCAAGCTTCTTCACCTTGCGATATTTCTCAGTCCAGGGTCCATTCCATTCATTTTTGGGAACAAGCCCGAGCCGGGAGTACCTTCTGACTCTGCTCTCGAGACACCTGTCTTTGAAACGGGTCTAGCTGAGACGCAGTCATTCGGCCTTCTTTGCTGGTTGAACAAATTACGGTGGAAGGTAGAAAGATTTGGTGCTGCCGTTAATGAGCTCGAATCGTCTGGATTTGTCAAACTTTGTCGCAGTCAAAGCGATACTTCCATCGAAAGCCTTGCGGTGCATGCCCTGGTTCGTGCTTTTGTTTGTTCAAAGGCATCAGAAGAAGACATCCATGAGAGCTTAGTGACTGCTTTTCTGCTTGGTGGGAAAACACTTCATTACGGAACAAAAGGTTTCCAATTGACAGGGCTATGGAAACATACTGGTGAACTCAGCCGACTCCTAGTGGCCTTTCTTTCCTCAGTTCCCACATCATTCTTCCAAGACCCAGGTGGTAAATACTTTGTATTATGCGGAGCTGTAGCGCCTGTGTACGCCTATACTTGCCGTTTTCTGGGCGATTTGGAAGGATCCAAACGTTTTTGGGATATTGCAATCAAGTACAGACTCATTGCTGGCACGAACTGGCCGGATACCGAGTTGCACATGAATGAGATCTTCGAAGCGGCAAGCATTGATGTGAAGGTTGGAAGCTTCGATATGGGGATAGAGCGATATGAGTTGTTACTTGCTCATTGTGATCGTATCTTCCCAGACAATGATGAAAGAGTCGTCCAATGCGCTGCTGCGCTCCGCGAAGCTCGAGAAATCTCTCGAAGGCATGAACAGAACTTTGGCCGGGCCATCGTGGCACAGAGAGTCGCAAAACAAAGACCTGGTAGTCCGACATCGGGTGAGGCGACGTCATCTCTTCATAAAGCCACAAAAAGTGGAGATATAGAAGAAGTGAAGTTGCTGCTCGAAAATGGAGCAGACATTGCCGCCCCAGATGATCAAGGATGGACGCCATTACATATAGCCTCAGGTGAGGGCCACACTAATATTGTGTGTCTTCTTCTACAAAAAAAGGCAGACATAAATCCTACAGATAATCGTGATCGCACCCCGTTACATCTAGCCTCTCAATTTGGACGCTCACAGGAGGCAAAACTATTACTGGAACACGGCGCCGAAGTCGACCGTCAAGACGTTAGAGGCGAAACGGCTTTGATATGTGCAGCCCAACAAGGACATGAGCTGACTGTACGGTACTTGCTGCAACATGGACCCAGTCTGGATATACAAGACATCGCCGGCGGCACAGCCCTATATTGGGCATCATGCCGTGGCTCTGAGAAGGTTGTAGAAGCTTTGCTGAAGCATGCTCCTAAACTGGATCTACAAAACTACACTACAGGGACGGCTCTGACTCAGGCCCTTGCTGCAAAGCAAGAAAAAACGTCTTGCTTGTTGATAAAACATGGTGCTGATCCGAACATACGAGGCAGAGATGGTTATTTTGCGCTGTACTGGGCAGCTAATTATAGCCTGAATGACACCGTCCTCATGTTACTGGAAAATGGTGCTGATCCAAATCTTCAAAATGGCAACGGCCGAACGCCTTTGATAAGTGCGGCTATGTTGGGTCGTGATGCAACGATCACTTTACTGCTGAAATACAACGCTCGGCTTGATATAAAAGATAATACAGGGTCCACAGCCGCAAATTGGGCAGCTCGCGTGGGTCATCCAAATAGATCGCTTTTGTCGGAAAAGGGCGCTGCTTTCTTGAATTTTCAGGACGGCATCGGAGCCCTTCAAATGCACGAGTATATCGAGCATAAAAGAGACCCTAAAGAGATGAGCGGCGTGTTGAGAGGTCTAAGAAAGCAGCGGAGAAAGACTGCAAGGACGATGGGCGAAGCTTGGAAGCGTTTGACGAAGCGCTCAAGGAAGGGGGAGGGTAGAATGGAGAGCGATGGTGATGATGATACTTCTCAGGCTGATGACGATGATGAGAGTATCATTAGTCTTGAGTCACTTGCGCTGGGATAACATACTACAATATACTACAATATACATACTCATGTGTATTAAAATGCTGTTTTGCAGTTGTAGTTTCGTTTGGATATGCAGGATTTATTGTGTGTACCGAGAATTGGAGAGCTATAAGTGGTTGAGAAGTAAAGACGTCAATGGCAAACCACCTCAGTCGCAAGACACAAGGTACCCGGGGGCAGTCAATTTCTAGCTCTATATAGGCATGATTATAGGATCTTCATAAAACTTATTCTATGTAAGACCAAATTAAATGAGCTCCATTGTTCTGTGCCGGTATACATCCAAGCTCCCCTTATCGATAAGAGTCGGCCATCCCCACCAGCACTCCGCGTCTAACATTAACTCTCTTTACCACCTCTCCTTCATTCAACCACCAGCATGGCCTCCCAAAAGATGACCAACGCCCTAGCGGGCATCGAAACGAACCCGCACCAACCAACAAAGCTACAGCAATACACCGATCTCCTCAATGAGATGGTAGCAACCTCCAGCGGCCACGAACTAGCCCAAGATCTAGTCTACTACCTCGACTCAATCCTCAGCGAAGAAGTGAGCATCGTCGCCGCCCGCCCCCTCCTCGACGCCTTCATCACAGTCCTTCAATCCCTCGCCCCAGAAACAAAAATAAAAGTCGGCCAACACGCCATCACCCTCCTCCACACGCGCTCCGCCTCAGTCGAAGAACAAGACTCGCAGATCCGCGAGATCCTCGCAGACGCCTACGAATCCCAGGAAGAATACACAGCCGCCGCCCGTGCCCTACAAGGAATCCACATCGACAGCTCACAGCGTCTAGTCTCCGACGCCGCCAAATCCCGCCTCTGGATCCGTATCGTGCGCTACTACCTCGAAGACGACGACACCACCAGCGCCGAAGCATTCCTCAACCGCATCAAAAACCTCCCCTCCAAAATAGAAGACCACGATGCAAAACTGTACTTTAAGCTCTCCCAGGCCCGCATCCTGGATGCCCGACGCCGCTTCCTCGACGCCGCACAGGAATACTTCAGCGTGAGTCTCGTGTCGGGCGTCGACGAAGAAGACCGTCTGACAGCTTTATCCGCGGCGATCCGATGTGCGGTCCTTGCACCCGCTGGTCCGCAGCGCTCTCGCTCCCTCGCCCGTCTATACAAAGACGACCGCGCGCCCTCCGTTGAGGAATTCGGTATCCTGGAGAAGATGTTCCTCGATAGGCTCCTGACGGCGGATGAAGTTGCCGCGTTCGCGAAGAAACTCGCCCCGCACCAGCTTGCTGTTACGGCGGATGGAACGACCGTTCTCGATAAGGCAGTTATCGAGCACAATCTTGTGGCAGCGAGCAAGCTGTATGAGAATATCCATGTTGATGACCTGGGCTCGATTCTGGGATTGCAGGATTCGGGTGATCTGTCTGCTGGTGAGAAGGCGGAGGCTTATGCGGCGCGTATGGTTGAGCAGGGACGGTTGCGTGGTCGGATTGATCAGATTGATGGGGTTATTTCGTTTGATGCTGAGACTCTTGGTGGTTCTTCGGCGGGTGCTTCTAATGGGACGAAGCTGAGGCAGTGGGATCTTGGTGTGCAGGAGCTTACGGAGGATGTAGAGCGTGTTGCCACTAGTATCTCTGATCAGTTCCCGGTATGTGTTGGCTTTCGTTCTGTCTGAGGTTGTTTTTTGCTAATGTTTTGATTCTAGGAATTTGCCACAAGCCAGATGGTCCATTGAATGGTCTGTTCTATCTCGTTGTGTGTCCATCTGATGAAAGATCTACGAATTCATGCCTTTTACCTACTCTTGCATATCCTTTAGCCAGTCTGAGAAATGAAAAGCAAGCTCTATTTGCTAATATTTCTGTCTCTGTTTCTTTGAGCACTGTACTTCGTTATAAATGCTGTCGTTGAAAAGCGACATTCATGACTTCATAGGCCTGTCTATCGACTAACACGCTTCTAGATGTTTCGAGCTCGATAAATATGCGACAATCTAAATAAACACGAAACCAAATTATATACAGCCTGAAAGGACAAGGCCAGAGCAGGAAATCAAATATAGAAAATATAAACACGAAAGTTGTAGTATGAATGGTATAGGCACATCATATTCTAACACTCGGTGAAGCCGACATATATCAAAAACGGCAGGTAAAGTTGGCAAGGGTAATGGATTGCAAGAAATGCCGTGGCAAGTCGTATATGCATGAACATAAAAGTGAAGCAAAGTATTTAAAAAAGGAGTGGATGGATGGAGTCGATTGGCGTCCCCTGGCACACTGATATGCCCACTCTAGGGTTGGAACACCGTACCTCTGTTTGGTCATATTATGGGTTCCAGTAGGCCGTTCCGGTCCTGGCTCTGGCTGCAAGTAACCATAGCCGGAGCGTATTCCAGAGAAGTGTCTATTCTTTCTGCACAAATTCGATCATCTCGAAGAAGATCAGCTTCTCTCCATGTTAAACTCCCATCGCTCCAACATCCCATCTCAGCAACAAAAGATAAAAAAATATCATCACATCGTAACGGCGTAAATCAACAGCCCACCACCTCAATGGTTCAGCCTAGTAGTGGAGTCATTCCCAGGAAGGATAGAAATATCCGTCTGGACATTGATAATCCTCGGGTGAAGATCATCACCAAGATGTCCGGGCGACTTGCTCTCGACCTGTGCATTGTACATCTTAACATACTCCAGATCCGGCGAGCGGGGACTAGACTTCGACAAGAACAAAGAGTTCGTATAATCGGTATTAATATACGCCGGACCGGTTCCATTGCGCGATGTCTTCAACTTGAGTGCAGGGAACAAGCCACGGATGATGGGTAGGTTGGAGCAAATCAGACCAACAGCCGGCTCAATATGCGTCCATAGAGTTGCCTGGTAGACGGTAAAGGTTGGGTCCGTCGGACTGATCCAGAAGAGCACGACGATGCGGTAGATACTAGCGAAGCAGACGAAAGCGCCGAGTGCGAAGACACCGTTTAGCGCGAGCTTATCTTGCCATGCGCGGTGGAGGTTCCAGATCATTGGGATTGGTAGGACTAGGATGACGAAGTCCATGAAGACGTTGAAGGCTTGATTGACGATGATGAATTGCTGTGCGTCGAAACATGTTCCTTCGATGTTGTGGTCCCAGTATGCGCGTAGGGGTCGACATTGTCCTGCGCATGCTAGGAAGATTCCTGTGCCCCAGGCGGCGATTAGGCAGTTTAGGCCGAAAGTGACTTTTTGGAACTTTGGGGTTGCGAAGAGTCGGCGGTAGAAGCAGATGATGGAGATTTTGATACAGGGGCAGAGTACGAAGTAGGTGAATTGGTTGGCGAGGAAGATCTGGGTGTTGTTAGGTTGGGTTGTTAGGGTTGGACGTTGGACCTGCGGGGTACATACCTTCCAGTAGTTCGTGAGGGTTTCGGGGGAGAGATCCGCGATGTGAGCTCCATTGCCTCCAATAGCACACCCTATGATAACTGTTAGTATTGAACACAATTGTAATCCGGAGTAATGCCTTACAAAGAATCAGCTCGACCAACATGGCAATGAGGAGCACCATGGAGACCATGCTCAGATAATCATCGATGCCGAACCCGACTCTCCTCCGAAGGCGAGCGACGACCCGCAGCACCACAGAGACCAGACATAGACCGACCAAGACCGAAACGATCTCGATCATCTGCCATCCCTTCTTACTTGGCGCCATTGCACTTCTCTCAACAGCACGGTAGTAAAGGAGTGTGGGGTGCACAGAAAAAGGCAAGGTATGAATAAAAAAGGAATGAATGGGTAACGCATAATCGGGCGCGTCCACTGATATAAAACATGTAGGTACACGAATATCAGATCCCGGAGCGGTGGTACCCTAGACCTCTAAAATTCCACATTCCACTTTATCCACTCACACACTAGTGGCCGATCATTGTCCTGATAGGGGATCTCGGTTTATGCGGGCTATATGTACAGCGCCACGTGAAGGATGCGATGTGACATACCGCTTACATTGATAGTAACCCTTGTTTCTGATTTTTGGGTGTTGTCTCTTTGAACCGTACAATGGTATAAGAAGTAGTATAGCTTCATTGTTTAGGCGACAAAACAGGCCAGTGGATACCAAGTGGAGATTATCAAATGAGGAAAGATATCCCCTACGATCACCATCTGATACCACGAGTCATGCAAACCTTGAGAACCTTGTAAAGATCACTATTACTTAGACTATTGCTTTTATACTATCCATTCTCTATTTTGTACATCGTCTATATATTCTCATTTATATAACATAGAACTTCCACAGGCGAGCAAAAGCCACCCGCACCCTTGCGCGCCACCAGGTCCTCATCCACGGTTGACTCCGGGTTTCGGTTAGAAACTGACATGTAGATCCCGAAGCTCAATGGCGTCAAAAAAACCACGCTATTAACTTGCCAAGCCGTGTTTAAGAACATGCGAACGCATCCGAATATAGAAGTTGGTATCAAGTACTTTGTACTATACGAACTATGTATACATTATGCACATCGTATCACCATTGTAGACCGCTCTACAAGCCATATCAAGTGGGGGGTTCAGATAGAAAATAGCTCAAGGTCCTCACTCTTCCAGGCACAATGACACACAGTGGGTCTATTGATTGTCAAAATCTTCAGTTACCTCATAACTATGTCGATCACTAGAACGACCCCCTGAACGTGCCGATTTGGTGTTCGATGTACTCCGTAGCCTGCTGGAATTGGGTAGGTACAGCACGAGTCTGTGATCCACAGTGGGAAAAAAAACCCGCATTAATCCTCGAAAGCAGAAAAAGCAAAAATGAAGTTTGAGCCAGTCAAATAGTTGGTCGCATGGCGCGGAATAGCGGGCGACCAGTTGGCAAAGATCGTCCAGATCCGAATTCTGTACAATTGGTGGAACCGAGGCATATGTATGTTGTAGAGTAAAAAAAAATATATTTATCCATATTCTCTATATTCCCCATTACTCTGTAGACCTGCAAACACACATTCTATACCTCTCTACCCCTCCACCA